AGGCTAAGTTTGTAACCCGATTCAAATTTTTCGAAGAAATTAGGCTCGTAACCCGAAAAGTTCATAAATATTCATTCGTAAGCCGAGGTGTCACTATATATAACTAAAAAATTAAACTCAAGATTACTTTCAACCCCCACCCCTTTTGCTCTACTCCATCGCCACCTACCTTCACCCCCCTCTATGATGTACTCTTCCATAGACACCTACTTTTGCCCCCCTCCTCCCCTCTACTCCTCCATCATCACCTACCTTCACACCCCCTCCCTTCTCCTCCTCCATCGTCACCTTCCTTTCACCCTCCTCTATGATGTACTCTTCCATAGACACCTACGTTCACTGCATATAATGCTCCCCTCTACTCCTCCATCGTCACCTACTTTCACCCCCCCTCCGCTCTACTCCTCCAGGGTCGCAGACAATTTCACGAGCGTGAGAACTACGAGTTCTCTAACCACTCACACTCCTACTCTCTCACCAGTGAGGGGGAGGGAAGGAGGGAGGAAATGAAGGAAGAAAGGTGGGGGAGAGAGAATAGGCAGGGGGGAGGAGGGCCTAGATACATTTCTTCCATATAGATAGGTAGACTGAGGGAGAGCTGCTTGCCAAGAGCCCTATCAGACAGGCTTCCTATTCCTCAACCCTCCCTAATATGCCACATCCTGGTCAGGACAACTTGCTCGATTGTTATTCTTGGTGTGACTCGAGAACTGACCTCGAGGCGGGGCATGGGCATGGATTATCTCCCTGGGGCACGCACCTCCCTGCCCCAGCTCTCTCTCTCTCTCACATAATCTATCAAGGGTCTAACATGAGGTCATTGTGCCTACCAGAAGTGTATATGTCCAAGGCTGGCCACCTGTCTGGACCATTCAAATGTATAAACACGTAATTAGTCTATTAAAATTATATATAGTGCTACAATTATAAATTAATTTGTTCATGGTCATTCGTTTATCAGTATTTTAATATGAGGTATATATACGCATGTATGTATACGTTGACGTACACATATATGATTATGTGTATGGAATGATTATGATTATGTGTAATCATATATGATTATATCTAATGGAATGTATTAGTAAGTGATGTGGTGGAGGCTGACTCCATACACAGGTTCAAGTGTAGATATGATAAAGCCCAATAGGCTCAGAAACCTGTACACCTGTTGACTGATGGTTGAGAGGTGGAACTAAAGAGCCAGAGCTCAACCCCAGCAAGCACAATTAGGCGAGTATATGAACGAATGCACATGTACACTTTCAAATGAATTAAGATACCTTGAGATACACAATGACTTAGTTTAAATAGTTTAAACACATTATGGTACTGATTTTGACATGCTGATGTCTGGAAGGGAGAGGGGGTGTGGGGGGTTATTGTCTGAGGTGGAGGACCAGAGGAGGGGGTCAGTGGAAGGATGGTGGCTGGAGGGATGCCATTGTTCTAATGGTTATGAAAACAAATATTGATGGCAGGAATTCAGTGGGTGTGTACTTCAGCCGCACCATCACCATACTGTGCCCTGCTACAACCCCCCCCCCCAACTCCACCCATGCTGTGCGGGGCGTATTACACATTATGGGATAACCAACTGTCTGTCCATTCCTGTCTGCTCGTTATACTGCCCTTCCTTTTGAAAATTGTCTGCTTTATCGACTTCCTTCAAGACCACACGTTAGCCTCTTATCACGCCCTCTTACCACTCTCAGGGAGCCGGCTCTTCTATACAATAGTTACCACTCAGTCCCCAAGGTGAAAGAGTGTCCGGGCATATGACTTGTTACGTGTACTTATTTGCGATTCGTTTGGGCTGTCACGTGTGGTGATTAGTGTTGGGTAAGGCTAGGCCAGGTCAGGTCAGACTAGGCCAGGTCAGACTAGGCTAGGTAAGGCTAGGCCAGGTCAGGTCTGGTCAGGTCTGGCTAGGCCAGGTCAGGCCAGGTCAGGTCAGGCCAGGCCAGGCTAGGCAGGGTGAGAGAAGTAAAGCGGCAGGTACTTACGTTTCCGAGAAAGTAGCGGCGGTAGTATATTGTTGATTTAGATTCGACGACATCCTGAAGCTAGTAGGTGGCGGCCTCATCGCTCTCGAACTTCTTGTTGTTGTAGGGGATACGAGGCACACCCAATATCCCCCTTACATTGATCACATCGCACACTAATATTTTTACTATTTCGGACACCAGATTTGTCTGTTTCGTATATGTATAATTGTTCAATATTAAAACCACAATAGAATGCTCTTAACAGTTACAATTTTCAACTTAACAGCCATATAGTTGGCAAGAACGCCGCCCGCCAGTGCAAATATCTCAGACCCTGTTGGAATATAACCAGTCCGTCAATCGGGTCAACCCAAGTGTTGCGTTTCCATGCGTTTCCAAAAGGGTCGCCCTATACTCACAGGATGAGTATAGGGTACACAATAAACTACCACTCACATCATGGGTATGGGTTGCACAAGAAACTATCGCGCAGAGGATGAATATGGAGAGCAAAGTAAACAAAGATTCACACGATGAGAAAGGGTTGCGCAATGTCCTGTGACTCACAGGTTGAGTATTAGCTGCACAATAAACTACAGGTCACAGGATAAGTATGGGTTGCACAATAAATTACAGGTCACAGGATGGGTATGGGCTGCACAAACTACCGGTAACAGGATGAGTATGGGATGCACAATAAATTACGGGTCACAGGATGAGTATGGGTTGCACAAACTACCGGTAACAAGATGAGTATGGGGTGCACAATAAATTACCGCACAGAGGATGAGTATAGGGTGCACAAACTGGTTGGGTAAATGGAAATGGTTGGGTACATTTCCTTTCACCTAATGCGACTATTCATGTGTCCGGACACCGGCGATTGTGTGGTATTGGCTATTTATTTAACCATAACTTTGCATTCATTTAATAATTATATTAAGATATGTTTTCCTTGAAATGTAGTTACATTATCGTCTACATGTCTTTATTCTGACATAAAGACCTATGGCGTTACTTTGCATATATGCAAAGTAATTATAAAATAGATTGGCTTGTGTGGAGGCCTTCACACTCCCTGAGCGAGCCATCAAGTAACTATAAAAAGGCATATATCTTCACTTTCACTTCAGTTATATTTATGCCAAAGTATTAACATGCAGCTTATATTTATGTCTTTATGATGACATAGAAAACTTCGTTTATTACAATATCTAGATTAAATTAACATTGATCTTCGGAAGGTCATAGTTCCTATATCGGTAAGGAGAGCGTCGGCCATGAAGCCTTGTTTAAAGTATGAATATTTTTCCTCTCTAATAAGGTATAATCTCTGTGATGGATTCACAAAAACTATTTTATATCTGCCTTTCTGATAACATATACAAATATAATCTTTATTTGTGAATATTTGTTAATTAAGCAATATATCAGAGGGCGTGTAGGGTTCGGTGTTCAATGAACGAAAAGGACTGGATCACTGTGTACAGGAGGCTGATATGGCAGCAAACACTGTCCTGGCGACCATATTTCTTGGATAAGTCGCTCCACACAATTGTCGCTTGGACCATCGACTTCCTATGGCGTCACCTCTCACATATTTACGTCTCATTTCGTTATGAAATTAGATTATTTCAGAGTAAAAATAGGTTTGATCATGTTCTACGTGTAGCATCAACATTATAGTAAGTAAATATACCATATTTCTTCATTACTTACGTAATGCTAGGACGATTTGTGTAGTTTTGGGCCGATTTGGGCTGATTTGGATAATTCTATGGACCGCTGCCTAATACATTCCATCTGTTAACTACTCTGACACTGGAAAAGTTCTTTCTAACGTCCCTGTGGCTCCTGTGGGTACTCAATTTCCACTTGTGACCCCTTGTTCGCGTACCACCAGTGTTAAACAGTTTATCTTTATCTACCCTGTCAATTCCTGAGAATTTTGTAGGTAGTGATCATGTCTCCCCTTACTCTTCTGTCTCCCAGTGTAGTGAGGTGCATTTCACGCAGCCTTTCCTCGTAACTCATGCCTCTTGGTTCTGGGACTAGCCTAATGGCATACCTCTGAACTTTTTCCAGCTTCGCCTTGTGCTTGACAAGGTACGGGCTCCATGCTGGGGCCGCATACTCCGGGATTGGTCTTACATATCTGGTATACAAGGTTTTGAATGAATCCTTACACAGGTTTCTGAAGGCAGTTCTAATGTTAGTCCAGTTCTAATGTCAGTTCTAGTCCAGCCTCTCATACGCCGCAGATGTTATTCTCTTGATGTGGGCTTCAAGAGGCAGGTTTGGTGTGATATCAACTCCTAGATCTTTCTCTCTGTTTAAGTACTTCATCTCCCATTCTGTATCTTGTGTCTGGCCTCCTGTTTCTACTGCCTAGTTTCCTTACCTTCTTGAGGTTATCTTGAGATGATTTCGGAGCTTAGTGTCCCCGCGGTCCGGTCCTCGACCAGGCCTCCACCCCCAGGAAGTAGCCCGTGACAGCTGACTAACTCCCAGGTACCTATTTACTGCTAGATAACAGGGGCATCAGAGTGAAAGAAACTCTGCCCATTGTTTCTCGCCACCACAGGATCATGCATCCAATGTTCTGTCCACTCAGTCACCGGCTCCCCATGCATTTACCTTGCATTTACTCGGGTTGAACTTCAGTAGCCATTCGTTGGACCATTCATTCAGTCTGTCTAGGTCATCTTGTAGCCTCCTGCTATCATCCTCTGTTTTAATCCTCCTCAAAATTTTTACATCATCAGCAAACAATGAGAGGAATGATTCTATACCCTCTGGTAGATCATTTACATATATCAGAAACAGTATGGGTCCAAGGACTGAACCATGCGGGACTCCACTGGAGACGTCTCGCCAGTCTGAGACCTCACCCCGCACAGTGACTCGCTGCCTTCTGTTACTTAGGTACTCCCTTATCCAATGGAGTACCTTCCCTTTCACTCCTGCCTGCATCTCCAGCTTTCGTACTTTTCTCTGGTGTGAAGTGTAGATAGTCAGTGGTGGTGTTGGCAGCAAGAAGATGTTAGCGAAGTTAGCGGTGGTGATGGCAACATGTGAAGTACAGTATAGGGTAATCAGTGTTGGTGATGGCAGGAAGAAGACGTTAGCGAAGGTAGCGGGGGTGATGGCAGCGTGTGAAGTGTAGGCTAGTCAGTGGTGGTGATGGCAGCAAGAAAACGTTAGCAAAGTTAGCGTTGATGATGGCAGCAGGCGGTGGCAAGAGCGGGTCAGCTGTGATGGTAAACAAAGCTCCAGTCAGCTGGTGTGGGCGTCCGGCCTGATCTTTCTGCTTACCACAAAAGCACTCAGCTGGGCAGCCAGCTGCACAAATAGCTTCAGTCACATTCCTCCTATATCATAGCAGCCAGTTCTCACCATCTGACAAGCGCCGTATGTGAAATGGTTTTGCCTTACTAGAAGCGTTCGCAATTAAGCAACACGCCTAACCTGTCGAGGCTAATGCTCATTAGTGCCAGGAAGCGTCAGTATTGCAGTGTACCCGAATTTTGATGGTGGTCGATTGCGTCACAATTGCATAAGTCAGTCGTGGCGAGGAACTGTTTTAGCCAACATGCCTTCAGATATCATAACATTGAAGGGGGTTTGTATTTAAATATATTTAGATTTCATTATGTGAACCTACACATTTTGGTTAAGATCTATTTTTAAAATTAATATTAATCATTGAGTCTCATTAAGGCCCACATCTCTCGGTTGCTTTACATTGTGGTTGAAATGAGTCTGCTGTAGGCATGTCCTTATTCCGAACTTCTACAAAAAAATACCTGTTCATAAGGCATTCTTTTCCTGCACTGACATAAGAATGCGGAGTTTTGGTGGTAGAACTCGATGTTTGCATCCAGATTCCTTCCCATGATTCCTCACCTGTGCTGTCAGGGTGTCACCTTCAGCAGGCTGCCATGGCTTGTTTAGTAAGATGATACAGTACTCTCATTAGAAATCTATAAACTTGTATTTTATTTTGTGTTGAAGTAAACTGTACTGGAGATTATATCTTTTATATACTGTATATAATTGTGTTTGTATGACAAAGTAGACATCATCAAAAAAAAAAGGATGGCTAGGTAACAAAGAAAATTCATCAAGGTTTTGTAAAATATATGGTTATGCTTACTAGAATTAAATAAAATTTGGTTAGACTGATCAGATCTGACATGTTCATTCCAATATAAATGAATAATTAATTTTTATATACCAGTTTCTTTCAGTGATTGGAAGTGCAGTACTGTCAAAATGCAGTAGATACAGTATGCAATAATTCGGTGCCAAGGTTCAAGATGAATACATGTGAAAGTGACCGCCTCTCGTGGACAGGCCATAGCCTCGTGCTGGCAAATAGCTTGTATCATTTGTATGCACAGTCGAGCCTGCTGGATGTGAGGCTTGTGTGTGACGAGGCACACATTTATGCACATAAGGCTGTCTTAGCTGCTGGAAGCCGGTTCTTTCTGGAGCGCTTGCAGTCACTGGGATCAGGAATGGTTGAGCTACAAATGTCCACTGCAAACCTTGGCCTGCTTATTTCTCCAAGTAAGCTCAACATGCTTAATATAAATATGTTGTATATACATTGCATCGTTTATCCTATGTACAGTACAATTCATGTTTTAATGCATCATATAACATAGTATGTAGCTAACCATTGCATTATTAATAATGAGATCAAATAATATTTTATACAATATTAAACGATATTCTGTACAGTATAATATATTGTAAATTATAATATACTGAATAAATATAAGAAAATACTGTGTAATATTATACTGTAAAATATAATGAAATATTGTATATAAATATATAAGAATGATTACAAAAAACTCTGCCTCTTACAGGTGATTTGCGGGCAGTGGTAGAGTATATGTACTGCGGGGAGCTCTTGGTTCCTCACCACCGTTTGCCACATGTTTTGGCCCTAGTACGATCTCTCCAAGTTTTTGGGTTCCAGACTGATGCAGGAGGATATATTACGGGAGCAGAGCCCCAATATATAGCACACACTGAGATGAATTATGCCTCTTTAGATGTCCCAGGTGTAATGGAAATACCCATAGATAGTTCACACATGCAGTTAGAAAGAACTGAAGATAGTAGCAGTGGTCTTGGTGACAACACATCCCTTCCACTAATAACCATTAAACCCCTTGAACAAAGCATACTTCAGGATCCTCCTAAATATTCTGAGCCACTTAAAATAGATACCAATATTAGTACACTGTGTTCTTCAAATAATATGTCATTTAGTGAATTATGCACTGCACAAGGAACGGATGGAGATGCATTTGCTATTCAATGTAATCAGATGAAGAATAATGTTCCTTCAATATTTGAAAGCTCGGTGTTAGAAGAAACTATTTCAGTTTTAAAGAATAGACCTCCAGAGTGTGGAGAGGTGTACAGCAAACCTAACAGTGATGTTGTGTACACACGAACTGTTCTCAATTATAGGGGGGAACCTGATGTTATTATTGAAGGTGGAAAAACAATGAATACACAATTAGATGATCTTGATAAAGAGGAGTGTAATGCTCGGCTTGACCCTCGACAGTCCAATACCTGCGTCCTTGAAGGAGATACGGATGATGCCTACAACACTGTCATGTTATTGGAAGCTCTGGCAGCAGAAGGTAAGAGGAACTTATGTGTAAAATTGTTAAGAAAAAATGCAGAGTTTGTATGTACTGGAATAAGAAGGTAACAGATTGTACAAGGTATACAGTAGCTACATATGGTAGGGAGAGATGTAAACAAAGTAAAGGATAAAATATTCTGTATGTAGCATAAAGTCTTGCCAGAGAAATTCTCTGGTGAAGATGAGAAGATGTGTAAATATAAATAGAGTTTTGTAGTGTCTAGTATTGATTCAATAACAAATTAAGATGAAACGATAAATTGGAAGAAAATCTAATAACTAATAAAACAAAGTAAAGCATATTATCCCTTATTAAGCAATTTTAATTTGTATCTAACAACTACCAAGACTTTATTGGTGATAATTTTTGTGAAGAGAGCTTTCCCAAGTGAAAAGTTGTCAACAAATAATATCTGCTTCTATTTTGGCGTTGAACGGTGTGTCATTGAAAGTGGTGTTGATAGTTTATAACATTATAATGTGAATATGAGAACCAAAAATGTTCAAGAGCAATTATATTTTCATCTTAGTGTGTATAGTGAAGAAAGGGTACGTGACAGTTTTATGATTACTGTATTTGTGCTTGTATTGTTTTCTTCCTACTTAATATTACAGTGCCTGTACATTAATTACAAAATGTTTAGGGAAATGTGCTTATTAATTTCACAGGTGTATGTTTCTTCTTGCAACAGCCCCCAGCCCATCAGTGGTAGATGTGGATAGCATTCTCTTGACCGATGAAGCAAAAATGGCCATTAGTCCCAGGTGGCTGCGATCTCGGAGGTCCCTGAGGGCAACTGCAGATTCTCGAGTTAGATTAAAAGTGAAGGACAGCATTGGTGGTGTCTCGCTGCAGGACACATCTCAGAGACTGTCGGCAGTTTCCTCATCTCTTCCCTCAGTCAGGTACACAATGCACCATAATTAGGATTCATCATCATTAATCATTATTAGTGCTATGTTTTCAGCATTCATTCTCTTTGTCTCAAGTCTGGTCTGATCAACTAGGCCATTCGATGCAGCTCCTCGCAGCCTACTCAAGTAGTAGTCTTGCATAGGCAGTATGTATGGACTTGAAAACCTCCTTGTTTATATTTTTAAATTATATTTTTTTGTTTACTAACTTCCCATATGTTTCTGATATAGTGTTCACATGTGCTCCTGATGTTAGTGTTGAGATTATTCTACTCCCAGCTCTTTTCTCTGATTGTTTCTTGTACTGCAATTGCTTTCCTTGTGGTGTAGTTAAACACAGGTCTCCCTCTCTCCCTTACCCATTTTCATTACTGTACTTTACACTTATTTAGATTGAATTCCAGCAACCATTTATCTGTCCATTCATGAAGTTTACCTAGGCCTTCTTGCAGCACCATACAATCCTCTTCAGTTCTTACTCTCATTAACTTTACAGTATTTGTAAATGTTGACATGCATGAACTCTCTGAGGTTATTTACATGAATTATTCAGAGAAATGGTCCTAGGACAAAGCCATGTGGAACACCCCTTTCCACTCCTCTCCAGCCTGACATATCTTCACCATGACACTTTGTTTTCTGTCTGTTAGGTACTCCAATACTTTTCTTGTTATCCCGACTTGTCTCTCCATCTTGTGTAATAGTCTTTTGTAAGGGACTGCATCAAAAGATTTCTGGTAGTCTATGAAAATACAATCTACCCATCCTTCCTTCTATTGTCTTATTTTGGTGACCCTGTCATAAAATTCAGTCAAGTTTGTTAAGCATGATTTTTCTCTTTCTGAAACTGTACTGTGCCTTTGTTATAAAATTACTCTCCCTAAATGTTCTAGAATCCTTTTTCTCATTACTTTTTCCAGCATTTTGCTTGGTATACATGTTAATGATACTGGTCCATAATTTAGTACTCCATGTCTATCCCCTTTATTGAATATTGAACTACTTTTGCCTTTTTTCAAATTTCTAGTAGCTCTCTTATCTTTAGTGTAATGTTGAACACTATAGTTAATGGGTAATGCAACTTCCCTTTAGCTTCTTTCAGTATCTGTGGTGATATCTGGTTTGGTCCTACTGCTTTTGTTACATCCAATTTCTCCAGATATCTTTTTAGCTCTTCTATATGAACTTCAGTTCTATCTAGTGTTGTTTCTGGCTGTCTGTTGTCTCCTCTCACTGTTCACCAATCTGTTTCCAGTTTGTAGACCTTGTAGAACCTCTTGTTGAGTTATATACACACTTTGTCATTCTCCAAGAATGTTCTGCAATCTTTTCTGCACTGTCTCTGCAGTCTGATCACATGGATTGTTTTCCTCAGTTTGGCTATGCAACAGTTAATTTCACTGTGTTAAGAATTCTGAAGTATTAGGATGTTTGCTCTGGCTCTCCTTGCCACTATGGCTGTCTTTTCTATTATCTTCAGGCATGTTTTGTTGCATTTATCATATTCTTTCCTTAACTTTCCTGCAGTTAATGAAGGGGTTGCAAAAACTACAACTATCTAAATGGTTATCACTGTTATCATACCTAGTATGAATTTCTGCTAGTTGTTTATCTCTGGAATCTCTCTCTCTCCTCAAAGCTCCAGTGTTGTATCAGTAGATGCTGGTACTCCTGCCCCCCATTTATCCTCTCTTTTCTTACTACTTGGCATCCTCTATTGCGTTCCTCAATTTTGTCTCTTAACTGCAAAGATATGAGGATGTAGTCTGCATTTGTGTTATAATTCTATTGTGTTTTTCTGCACTGCTTGGTTTCTTCCTGGTGGGTAGATTCTTCCTCTGGGCTAGTCCTATTCTAGAGGATGGTATTCATGTGTGTTGATCCAGTGACTGTCTAGTCACACACTTGGTTCACTTCAGCACAGTTGATTTATAATGAAAATATCCCAGGTTCAATTCCTGCACCAGGACAGAGATGGACATGCTTCCTTTCACTTGATATGTGTTCATCTAACAGTAAATAGGTACTCAGGAGTAAGGCGACTGTTGTGGGTTGCATCCTGGGAAATGTCAGCAGTTGACCTAGGAAAACCTTGATAAGCCTAACAGGCTTCCTGTCTTTTGACAATGAGTAAGAAAGTGGTTTGTAAAAGCTGTGTCGTGCACAATCGCGAGTGTACACTTATTGGGTTTGAGCTACAGTACAGTATTGTTGTTAAATATTACTTTAAGTGTTACAAAAGTAACACGAGTTATTTTTATCATCTTTGTTGACTTTCTTGTGTTTTCTTATGTCATCATGTGTGGTGTGTGTAATTTATATTATTTGTTTTTAAGTAATTTGTAAAATATAATGTCTCTTCCAGCCCAGAAGATGACGCAACCATCAGGGACAACAAGGAGAATTGGATGATGGTCTTACCTGATACTCGTACATCTGTGATTCCCCATATACCCAGTGCCAATACACTTTACTCACAAGCATCTATTGCTGACACTTCCTTATTGCCTCAGATTTCAAATGAAGATCCTGTACATGTACAGACGTCTCTGGCTAACTCTTCCTTTTTAAACCGGGCCATAGCATCTAATACAGGTCCACTTATACCCTCCCCGATGCCTATGGCCACTTCTCTTTTAGCACAATCATCTTGTGCAAATGGTATATCTATGTTTACGCACCCCACAGCCTCCAACAGTAATCCATTATTAGTGCAACCTTCTCTTTCTAATCCAAATCCGTTGCTTACACAATCAAATATCTCTTTCACTCCATTTCTTCAGCCCTCTGTTTTGTCAGCAGCTGTTGTAAATCAATCTGATTTCTCACATATTCACCATACTCTGTCTACTCTTCCTATACAAGCTGTCTCTGCTCAGTCTATAGATTCTGAAACTACTACTGCTTATACTTCAAATATTTCTTATTCCCAGTCTACCAGCCCAGTTTTTCCAGAGTCGTCTTCCTCTCCATCACATATCTTGACTCAAACATCCTCTGTTCCCACTCATATACAATCTCCAGTGTCCACTTCATCCCCTCTAAGTGAGTCTTCTGTCTCAATCTTGACCCCTGTTACCCAATCAGATAGATCTATTACCCCCTCTACTCTATCACATTCATCAGTAAGCTTGGTTTCCCAACTCATGCAGTCAACTGGATCTTCTGTTTCCAGCTCCAGTATTTCAGATTCATTTGCTCTACAGTCTTCCATTTCCAACAGCATTCTTAGCCAGTCATCCACATCCACTCCAGCATTGTCAGTAGCCTCACCTCCCACAGCTTCTTTACTCTCACAGTCATCTTCCAACCCACAGGTAATAGAGTCTTTTAATACTTCAACTCCTTCCTATCCTGCAGTTGTATCATCTCCAGTTGCCTGCCTATCTGGTGTGACAAATGTCAACTGTTCCTTAACAGATACAACTTTCCCACTTGCCTCCTCCTCCTCTTCATTTGCAAGTTCTTCACCAGTTGTATCTTGGCCTAATTCACTCTATTTATCCCACACAACAACCTCTTTAACAGACTCACCAATTGTTTCTCTTTCTCCTTCATCAAGATCTTGCAGAAACACAAACACAGTAATATCAACTACTACACCTTTGGCACTAGATGGCACTCTGCCTGTGACCTCAAGAGCTACCTCAAGTCCATCTCTTAATATTCCTCGCTCTGTAGGCACTGTAAATAAAACAAAATGCCTTGCCACCACCCTTACTACTTCCACCACTACTAGTACCACTGCGTTCTCTTCAAATGATGGCAAATTTACTACAAGTCCTTCAAGCACTGCTCCAACAAGTCCCTGTTTAGTGTCCGAGGATGGTGATGGCAGCAGCGAGGAAGAGGATGCCCACCAGTGTTCACAGTGCCCTAGAGCATTTAAGAATTTAGATAAACTTACTCTTCATCTGTGGAATGAACATGAAATTGGTACTTTAGCTAAATGTAAGTATATAATCATTTACTACTGTTAGGAAGTAATAATGTTGTTCAAATTATACATCTGATGAAGGTCACTAGCTCAGACCTGGAATATTTTCATGTATAGATATTTCTTAAAAGGTTTTTCTACTCGAGTACAGTATAAATTCCCATATAATGAGTAGTTTACTTGTTTAGGAAGTACAGTACAGTAACAATACACTGGAAATGTAAGTTTTGGACAACCTTGTACAGTAGAGTATATATTATTTTACCTGAATTTACCTGAGGCCACTGACACTAGTGGCCTTTATGAGGACAGGAAGCCTGCAGCTTGTTGAAGGTCCCCTATTTGCCTTGATAATCTTTTCCAGTTGGATTTTAATATTCAACAATCTTGGCATTTATGGCTTCAGCAGGTAAGTGGTTCCATGTGTTTATAACCCTGTGTGTGATAAAGCATCTTCTGTTCTCAGTCCAACATTGTGGCTTGTTAAGCTTGAAACCATTGCTCCTTGTTTGTGTTACATCTGACCGTTTGAAGAAATTGACCATATCAACATCCTCCAAATTGTTCAGTATTTTAAAAGTTTCAGTGAGATCCACCCAGTCATGCCTGGTTTGTAGTGGTGTTAGCCCTCAACCATTCCTGATACTAGAGATGACTAAGTTCTGGAATGATTTTTGTTGCCCAGTGTTGCACCTTCTTTAGAGTAGCTATGCCTTTCTGAAGATGGGGTCTCTATCTTCCATATTATGTAAAGTGTGTGGGATTTTTATGAGGGAGAAAAGTAAATCCTATTCTTAAATGTAAACAAAAAGTATATACAGTACAGTACATATTTCTAAAATTTTCATGGTTTTATGACACGAGCAATTGCAGTGTCCATATATCCGGAATTATATTGTTTGTGTTAACCCATTGTACAGGTCAGCTGTGTGAATACAGCAGTCCTCTACACAGCTCCTTGGTGGAACATGCAACTTCTCATATCACCAAAGACTGTAATACATGCGCTGTGTGCAACAAAAAGTTCAAGACTCGTTCCACAATGAAAATCCATCTACGCGTGCATCGTGGAGAGGAGGTCATGTACAAGGTGAAATGCATTTGTATTTAATTAAACTTGTGTAAATTATGTTGCAAAAATTCAGCAAAAAATGTCTTAAGATTGAAGCTTTACATTTTCTCATCCAGGAAACCTTCACCTTAAAATGTTTTGTATTTTTCAGTGTGAATCCTGCCCTGTGATGTACAGCCAGAAATTCAACCTGACCAAACACTTGGCATCAAAACACCAACGTGATGCAAATGGTCGGCCTCTTACACAATCACTCTCGTGCCCTTATTGTGCCTTCACTACCCTTGCTGATTACAAGCTTAAGGCACATATTGTAAGTTGTTTTTTATTTGCCTTAAGTTATGACATAAACAGTAGCAGCTCTACTAATCCTTAGCCAGATCCATGTATGAGGTTGGGTGTTAATAATCAAGCAAGACTACAACATTTAGAAAAGATTTGAAGTTCTCAAAGAAACATAGCACGGGTGTGTTTTCTCTGAATGGAGTTGAGAATGGGAATAAATCTTTTAAGAAATAAATTTTTATACAATAATGTTGGGAATATTATGAGTTTGGGAATTTTAGTTTCATAAAGAGTTGCTTTATACTATACAGTACATACATAGATATATCATTAGTCACTTACAGGCTTAATAAGTGTGTGTGTGTGACATTGTGCAGGTGCGCCGTCATACTGTGGACAAGCCTTTCAAGTGTAATGAATGTTCATATGCAGCAACAGAAAAGACAGCCCTGGCTAAACATATAAGGACGCACACTAGAGAACGGCCATATATTTGTGAAACTTGTGGATTCCAGTAAGTAAAACATTTATTACATATTTACTACAGTATTTTGTTCTAGTTCAAATGTGGCCAAGTATTAATACAAAATTTGCATTTAATATATTATTGTCTCAAATGGGTTCTTATTCAACAAATAAAATCTGTTAGAATTACAATTAATCAGTGTTTACATTACAATATATTGGCAGCTCCAGATGTGATATGATAAACTAACTCAGTCTTTGAAATGGAGGTACTTTATTTAGAATTTTATAAATAAACTCAAATTGTTCTCTTACTTTGTTATAGTCTTCCATGAAGGGAATATACCTTCCTTCATAGAGGAGACCTTCCATGAAGGTTTCCTCTGTATATGGACCTGGATGTTGTAAATTTCAATGCTAATTATCCATTTTATTTAAAATACAAATTAGTTGTAGTTTCAGATTGGGGCTGAAGGGACTCCAGCTCTCCTATAAGTATAGGTGTTGCAGTACTTTTCTGTTTTAAGCTACAAATTGTTATGAAATGAGCACTTAAATTAGTACAGTATCAGTTTTTGTATAGCTGATATCTGGTACATCTGTGTACTTTTCAGAGATTCGAGACTACACTTGTCACCCCTTGAACTGTAGCTGTCCATTTTTAACACATTTAGGTCTTGAATATTTGTCCAATTTTATTATCTGCCCTATTTGAGTATTATGTACAGTATTGGCAAATCTTCCTGAACACATAACTGAAGTTTATTTGCATTTAATTCTAGTGCGCTAACCCTAAGTAGTCTTGGGCGTCATCGTCGAAGTCACACTGGAGAGAAGCCATTCGAATGTGAACAGTGTGGTCAACAATATGCTGATAGTAAACGTTTGCGTGATCATATGTATAAACACAACAATGTTAAACCATACATGTGTCACATGTGTGGTTACACGTGCAGACGGAAAGACAATCTGCAGGTCAGTTAATCTTTGAGATGTACTGATGAATGCAAGCTATTTTATGTGTGTGGAGGGGTGGGGACTTTTTTTAATGTTATATAACAATCTGTAACTATAGTCAACTTTATAAGTGGCTATTTTTGCTTGTGCATATTTCCCCACGATGTACAGATTGTATCTTGGAAGTTGAAGGAAAGAATGTAGATTTTAATTAGTCATTTGAGGAACTAAGACTGTAGTACTGCTCATTAAACTTTTACCAATTTTTATGGTAATGTCATGCAGCATTATAAACAGTTAACAATTTGAATGATCTCTTGGCAAATTCACACGTCGTAATTATAAAGAAGCACTTTTTTAACACTTTTTATATCCTATGTTTCTGTATTGTACTTGTTAATTTCTTATTCACTTCCATTGTGGAGTCAGATTATTTATACAACTCTTCATCAGTGGAATTTTGTACATATACAAACAGTAATGCATCTAAATTTTTATACATACCTGTAATTTGCATCTTTGTTAATATTTATAGCAAATTAAAATAGTATCAAATTTCCTCTGCAGACTCATCTTCACAATATCCACAAGATAGAAGACCATAAAGGTAATGACGCTGCAAGATCACATGCCCCTGCACTACCTCGATCTGGTAACTACGCTACCTGTTTGTTATGCTCCATTATGGAACATAAGGTCCATTAGGTTACCTTCCTTTGTGTATTAAACTACCATGCAGGCCTCTGTAATATATGCAAGCCAAAAATGTTTATTTTGGCCATTTTCCCAAATTTAATGTTAAGAGCTGGAGAGTTTTGTTAATATTGTTTTTTAAGTGCATTGTTAAGCAAGTTAAAATTACTGTATAATGTTGTCATGGTCAGAATGCAAGGGTTTTATGTTAACATTTTCCTTCCTGGAAATATTATTTTATTTGGATGGATAAGGTTTCCAGCCATGTCTGTATTTCCCTTTGCATTTATTGATCCTTTAGATGTAATCTTTAGTTTAATAGGGAACAGTATTTACATCTGCCATTTTGTTGTAGATTTTGATTATGTTCACCAGGTTCCTAACAAATTATTTATGGTTTTGATAACCTGAATTGTGAGCAAAGCATTATAACTGTCTGTAGCTAAAAGTTGAGCCTGGGTGTGAATGGTCACTGATTGGCTACATGTTGTAACTGGTTATAGTGGAACCATTTTATTATTTTTTAATTTAAATGCTGTGCATTGTTTGGAAGTGGTTCTATTTGCAACTCGCTGTCCAAACAAAGGGCCCCTGTTTATCAATTTTTTTTCTTTTCTCTTTTCACATGACTGAACCAACAATGCTCTAACTTTTCTTGCAAAAGAATTTTCTGCACTTCCAAAAATGACTTGCGTTTCTTAAATCTATGCAGGAGAGGGCTTAGGATGTTCTTTATTTTATTTGTTAATCTTAAATATGTTGTAGGCAAAGCCAAAAGGGTGAAAGCAGGATCATCTGTGGAATCAACTTGTGATCCACTCAGAATCACACCAGAGGTGATTGATCAGACCTCTAACCATGGTACCTGCTTAGATGATGTCAAAGTCAAAATGGGACCTGAAGTATCTAAATTACAGGTAAGGCAACTGATAAATTTCTTAATTAACCATACTTGAATTATGATTCTTGAGGGAGGGGATGAGGGGATAGGTAGAAGCACATGCCAGATATGTCAAAGGATGCCAGACATCTATACAGTAGACATTGTTTTAATATTAGTCAGAAATTTGCCACATTTCTGAAGGCAATAACCAGTACTGTAGTGCTTAATTTAACCATAATGTAAAACCAAAAATAATTTTTAAACAATTCTACACATTGGCCTCAAGAGATACTGACTACAGGCTAATATCACTTCCATACATGGCTGCTTTTTTAGTGAGAGTAGTCGAGGTGAAGATAATGGCAGTAGCACTTTTCTGGCTATGAACATGTGCTATGTTACACACTTAACATTATGCCTTGTTTCTCATATTAAAATGTACAGCAAAGATTAGTCCATTGTTAAGAGCCTAGATAAGGCAATTTACACATCCTACACGAAGCACTTGAAGCATTAGAATGAATGTTGGCAGTGAGCAAATTAAGAATGTAGTGGGTACTTTTGTCATACTTTGCACTTTGAGAATTTTCATTAAAGTTCTGGGTGGCTTCATTATTTCAAAAAATGGTATAGAAGTGCTATAAAATGGTGCATATTTGTGTGATGTTATATCTTGTATTCTGAAAATAACAAGCAATGATTTCCCTTTTTAATGTCTATAGCCTTCAACTATACAGTTAAAGTTTTACACAGTTTTTCATCTTTGCTGCTACCTCCTCACCCCTTGAATGTGGAACTGACCAATTTTCATAATAATGCTAACTTGAACATTCTAGGTATGGTCAGAACACAGCTATGACAACCGTAACCCGACGCAGAATAGTGATGGTGGATCTGTGATGCTTGGCAGTACTGCAGCAGTTGTAGGATGTGGTGAATTAGATCCTGGAGGAAGAGAACTGATGGTATCTCACACATCTTTTACAACTACACTTGCTGCACCAACACTTCAGAGTGAGTTGCTATAAGGTCTGCTGTTATTCATTAAACTATACCGTGCCCAGATATTTACATCTCCATTTTCAGGATGATAGAAAAGCAAAATTTCCAGACTTCCTTTAAGTTACATCTTCCTCATTAAAAACCCATGGTGAATTAAATTTGACATCCTTAATATCTATTTAACTTTTGAATAATCTGATATGGATGGTGTTAGTTTTCTGGGCGTGATATCGTCTTTTGATATTTACCTGTCATAGTACTGAGAATTATTTATGATTGATTGCAGTCTTTGGATGTGGTGATTCACATTGACTGTGGTTGTTACACTGCAGTGGTTCCCAAACTCTTAAGTCATTACTCCTTTTCATATAGCATCCTAATTAATGGCTCCTACACTCATGTACAGTATTACTAAGCAACATATCCACTAGCTGGTTATTTTCCCACTATCCTCTGGTAACATAACCTATACACTATCTTAACTTATGGCCCCCTTATATATTGCAAAAAGCCCCCCGCCCCATAATTTGGGAACTAGTGTGTTACAGTATCAAATATGATACAATAAGGGAACAAGACATATACCTAAGGGGCAAGTTAATGCAATACTATTGATATGTGTAATTTTCCCATTAGGTCCTGGGTGTATGGCCATTGGTGGAACTGGACCAGCATTACAGCTTGGATACCTGCTACCCATGACTGCCCCAACAGATCCCACCATAGCCTTGACCTCCTCTACTGATGGAGTGATATTGGTTAGTCAGCCGCAAGTCCCTCACACATCAAAGCCATTTCTCTGAACTTCGCAGAAATCTAAATGTCAAAATTAATATTTTAGTTATATTTTGTATGGAGTAACATGCCTTTAAAGCTGAAAGAAATTATTTAAAAATCACAATATAGCAATTATCTCATGAACGCCGACCTTCAGCATATACAAAAACAAGCCAAAGATTTTTGTACAGTATTTAGATAAACTGAAATTCTACACAGTATTTTATTTAGTATACTAATCACCTTTATTTAATACTTGTCTGATGCTTAGGTTTATTGTACAAATTTATTTATTGTATTTACTTTTTATTACAAAAATCACAATGTGCTTAGTTGAGAAGCTTACTACAATACTGCAGTGTTTTATAATACATATTTTCTTCATTCAAACTGAATTTTTCAGACAAACCTAGATTCTTTAAAAAATAATTGTACTATAAGTAAAGATTCATTCATAAAGTGCTTTCATTTACGTCTTGCAGGAGCCTTGTGTGGCGTCCATCATTAGAAGTCGCTCCCCAGGCATTCTGCAATGGATGGAGAAACTTCTGATGAATAATCAGAGTCCTGGTTTCTGGGAACTGTTGGCAAGGTATTGCGAGGACAAAATCACCATAAGGTCTGTGCTTATTATTTTTATAATGAAATTAAACTTAATTTAACTGCAAAATTAACTAGTCTCAATTTATCAGATCTACTTTCAGTAAAGGGCAACAAACCTGTGAGTAATCTATAATTACTTCTTTTAGTAGGCATCTCTGATACTTGAGCAGTTGTGCACAATTCTATATTTAAAATCAATTCTGTAATTGAAATCCCAACAATCATTAGCAATGGCTTTATTCCTAACAAATTTTGTTATGGTTTGTGTTCAATAATCCACGACTGGTCTCTCCAACACCATTACCTACATGGTTTTTATTATTACCATTAAGAACAATGTAGTTAAATGGTATTTGCGATAAATTGCAATAATTGCTATGGATTTTAATCATAGACTTGTACACAACAGCTCAAATATCAGAGATGGCTACTAGAAGGGGGGTAATTAGAGATTCCAGAGACTGTAAAGGGGAAACAAATCTTTTATTAAAAGTACTTGTTCCTTGGTGAATCAGATACCTTTGATATCTCTCATCTTGTGCATTTTTGTTCTCATACTTAGTACCTTTGATTATCCTGTGACTTTGATGATGCTACAAAGTCTCCCCAGCTTGGTGTCTTACTTTGATAATTACTTTTACTTTTAGTAAAGTAATTAATTACCAAAGTAAGACACCAAGCTGGGGAGACTTTGTAGCATCATCAAAGTCACAGGATAATCAAAGGTACTAAGTATGAGAACAAAAATGCACAAGATGAGAGATCAAAGGTATACGATTCACCAAGGAACAAGTACTTTTATTAAAAGATTTGTTTCCCCTTTACAGTCTATGGAATCTATAATTACCCCCTTCTAGTAGGCATCTCTCTGATATTTGAGTTGTTGTTTTACAATTCTATCCTGTGATTGAAATGCCAACACTGGCATTATTCCCATAAACATTTGTTTATTGCCTTCTTGCCTTCGTCAACCCTTTTTAATAAGCCACGAAAACTCTTTAACGTGATAATTTGCAGTACAGTACTTGCAATTTATCAGAAGTACCATTAACTACATGGTTCATCATCATCACTAAGAACTACATAGGTAATGGTGTTTGCAACATTGCAATTTATGTTGGAGACCAGTAGTGGGTTATTAAAATGTGTTGTTGTGCACAAGCCATAACAAAATTTGCTAGGAATAATGCCATTGCTAATGATTGTTGGGATTTCAATCACACGATTCATTTTAAATACAGAATTGTGCACAAAAGCTCAAATATCAGAGATATGCCTAATAAAAGGGGTAATTATAGATTATTTAAAGGTTTGTTGCCCTTTACTGAAAATAGATCTGATTAAATAAAGTTAAATTGAGAATAATTTTGCAGTTAACTAATTTCATTAAAAAAAAAAGGCACAGACCTTGTGGTATTGAGTGGGGATATTAATCTTGCAATACCTTGCCAACAGTTCCAGAAGCCAGGACTCTGATCATTCATCAGAAGTTTCTCCATCCACTGGAGAATTCCTGGGGAGTGATGTCTAATGAAGGATACCACGTGAAGAACCCTGCCAGAAACACAAGCAATTAGAATATTTATCAAGGTGGTTTGAACAAAGGATGTTGGTTCATCTGAAAATTCAGTTTAATAATACACTTACACATGTAGTGGATCTTTTGTCGCCTTCTTTGTACAGTACTTTAATGTTAAAATTCATTTATCTTCCTTTTTTTGGAGAGAGAGAGATTAAAGAATACTGAAAATACCTTGGGTGTAACATTTAGGAACTAGTATAAAATTTGCCACATGTTCTCAAAATTTTTTTTTTTTTTTTTTTTTTTTTTTGGGGGGGGGGGGAAGGTTCTAGTATTATTGGACTATGGTTGGTGTGCCAATAATACAAAATGTGAACTATATGAGGACACCATTCTGTGTATACTAATAGAACATATTATAATTAGAGGACTGGTTGACAAATTTGAGTGGCAGCTCGAAATAAGACACGGGTGAATTGTGTGGGACAGAAAAACTTACACTTCAGAGATAAGGCTGCAAAAATGTTCTGGGTGTGTTTACTGGTGTTTAGAAAGATTGAATACACGTTGCTCAAGTCTCCCTGTTCAAGAGGTGGGACAGGTATGCATTGTTACGAGCCAAAATTTCCTGCCGCATTGCGTCGACTTCTTTATGTACCTCTTCTTCAGTCATGCTTTCAGTGTCAAGTGAAGATACCCTTTCAAGGTATTCCTCTATTATCTTCTCACCCTCCTGAAAGATTATGCAGAGTTTACTATGTTTACTTCTACTTATATCTTTACTTCAAAACATATGGGGAACCATAAGAATCTTAGGATACACAAGCTCATTGTCCAGAGGAGATAAAAATAACTTTTACACTATACCTGCTTCTCTGACTTCCTCCTTTTGACAGCTTCCTCAGAATCATCATCATCACCAAAATCATCTTCCAGTTCTCCAGCTTTCCTCTTGGCATACTGTAATAATTAATTGTATTCAATGTACAATACATTAAATGATTTAAAATTTCATCTTCACTACATAGTTGTGTTTTTAATGAAAATTAAAAATATTCAAGTTTTCACACAGTACTGCAGGTTTCAGACCTTAATTCTAACTAGTGTAAAGATGCTTATTTCATCATCTAATGAATAATGCAAGTATTGTTAGCAAACCATTGTATAAACAAGGAAAATACAGTATAGGCAACCCTTGCTGATATTGGTTAACTACTATTATATAAACTTTAGAAGTGCGCCACTACCTTAACACTTTCGCACACCCACACTAACATATGTACTCTTTCCATTATTCTGACCTCAATTTTTGAGCTACGTTGTTCATTTTATTATAAAATTCTTCAATCTAAATGCGCACATTTTAAAACTAGTACCATAATAATTGAACATTAAATGGAATTTTAACATTTTAATTTTGGACATTCATCACCAGTAGAATTTATAATCTTTCCAGTAGTCTGACCTCAATTGTCATACTACGTCGTTCATTATGGTATCAAATTGTTTGCAATCTAAAGGTGCACATTTTAAAACTAATCTCATTATAAACAAACAAACAAATGGAATTTTAAACATTTTAATTTCAGACGCAACATGCATCCCCATCGGACATGCGTAAGATTATTAATGGATGCAAACTGCATCCCCCGGCAGACGAAAGTATTAAGCTGATGTCTATTAAAGTAGGGAATACTGTATTAAAAGCATAAAGCACTATTGGACTAAAATATATGTATATTACAGTGGAGTTGACCTGATTCGTTCAAGGTGGAACCTTTACCCATTCCTAAGCCCCTGGCTGTACAGTATTTAACATCAGTTTGTTTACTTTTGTCTCCCCTCCCTCAAATACACAGCTAGGTACCTTGTCACTGTTGGTCGACGAGATCTTGGCATCTGTGCAGTGTCCACACTAAGGGCTTGGGGAGTAAGAGTGGAGCCTTGCTCAGAAATATGCATGAGTAAAATCACTATAAATACATGCATCCATAAACACCAAGAGGAGACTTTACTAACCTCAATTACACTAGCAGGGAAATTGGCCAATTCTGCTACATGGATACCAAAACTGCGATCACAAGGCCCTGGCTGCACCTATGGACAAGTGTAACCAGTCAAAACATACACTGGTAATCATGAACAGAAACAGGAAATGAGTTACTTTCAACAGCAAACCAGTTGCTTTTGATTAAGTACAATTAAATGTACTTAACTTCTATTATTGCTTTCTTTTTCTTTCCCTGAGCTATGCTGAATGCAGCCTCTGTACTAAACTAGCACATTCACCGATTCTAATGATATACAGTATAATGACAATTTCACATTTCTTCTAATTCTTTGCAAAGAAATATTTCCCCATTCCCATTATCATGGGGAGACATCTATCAGGCTGGAAAAAATGGGATAATACAGAAGATTACTGTAGTTATACACATTAATAAACACCCGTTCATTCCTGTCAATACTTTCACTGTATAACATCACACCACTAAACTCCAGCACCCGACCATTTCACAATACCACTTTTACAGCTCGTCTTGAAGACTACAGTATAAATACAGTACTCATATTACAGATTGCATACACATGAATCAACTTAAAGCTAGGCCCTGTTTTATGATGATTGGTTCCCAGCCCAGGCTCTAATGCCACTTTGGGGAAAAGGGAACAGTTACAAAATTTAGAAAAGATAAGGAAACTTTGGAATAGTAACTCTCTGGGGAAAGGTTGCTTCAAAATTAACAAACACTATAGTCTTCATCGTCAAAGCACATGTGAATGAATCTTCTTTTTTAAATTGGCATTGCAATGGCAACAAAAGTTTAATTGTCAATACTTATTGCATTTTTGAGCGGCAGTAATTTTAGAGAGGAGTGTAACTTACCTGATAGAGAAGAGTAAGAGCACCATGAGCGGTGGTAGCCGTAACGTGGAAGTTCTTCACTGTCTCCACCTCATCACTAAGTGCTGTCAGTTCATGAAAATGTGTCGCAAACAAGCAAAATGACCCAATCTCCTTAGCTATATGCCTGAAAATTTTGATTTAGAAACCAACACCATTAAGGCTTTATTTCCATGCTCTGACCCATCTTATATCAACCACAACCTTAACTAAATCTTACACTATACTTGAAAAATCTTGGCTGCTTGCCATCCATCCGTTTCAATATTTATATGTACTAACTTAAGGTGTTAACACACTCCCATCTGCCTTTATCCCACCTGTAATTTTGTACCTGCATTATAAACCAAATTACTTTTCATGCATTAATTTAACATAATATAAAATGGGCACCCAATACTGTAGTACTAAAGATGCCTTTAAATATGATTTTGTATAAAAAAAACCTTATACAAGTCTTATCTGTATACATCTCATTCTTCTATTTTCCCACAAAATTACCACTACACACATTAAGTTCACAGCAAATACTTTAACTATTTTAGTACTGTATTAAGCTCGACACTCGGGTTGCTTCCGAGTATCCTTTCCTATTTTTAACGATAATGAGTATCATGGCACACATGAGATTTAACTATTATCCATTAACTAAAGAAATTAAAGAGTACTAAAATAATAAAATACAGTTTAGTAAATCTATACAAGAGGTATGCATGACATCTCAAGTGAACAGGAACGATTACAAGGCAAAATTATTTAGGTAAATAATGACTTTTTCAAAATAGCACATCAAAGATGATTATGCATTATCTTAGCCTGTTCCACAGTCATATCACACCATTGTTGTAGCAACTGGATGATAAAAGTAGACAACTTACTCCGATATCGCCCATGCTAATCCAAACCCATCGTATGTTGAAGTTCCACGGCCGAGTTCATCAATAATGATGAGGGACTCGTTGCTTGCAGACTACAGTGGAAGAGAAACAACTAATTTAAACAATTTATATATTAAATGAAAAGTAAAATTACTTATTACTTTGATAGTATGTACAATTAACTTCATTGATTTTATTTAAATAAAAACTAAAGCAGAATGAATTCCTACAACCCTAAATTATTGTATATGGAGTCAAATACCAATTTTAGTACTTGGAATGTGATAAACATGTACAATATATCAAAATTTCAAACACTAGGCAACATGATATGCAACAATTAATACTTAAAGGACTTAAATAAACTGTGTTGAATATCAAGCCAATATGTAAAAGCATTCACCAATTTTGAAGAAGAGTGTCACGTAAAAACAATTAGGTAACAACAGAGCTTACTTACCCGAAGAATGGAAGCGGTCTCTAACATTTCTGCCATGAAAGTTGAAACCCCTTTCAACTGGCAGTCTCCAGCACCCACACGAGCTATAATAAAACATTGTACCGTGCAGTATTTAATACTGTACTACATAACTTGCTCTCCACAACAGCAAAATGAAATTGAAAAATTAATATTATACTTCAAAATTATTGGTACCTAAATGACCAAGGTGTTATGTATTGTACTGACCACTGTTTGGCTTTCTATGTGCTATGTAGGATTCTGTCTTCTCATGTATAGTGTCTGTACACAAGTCATTGTTACCTTTGACACATTTGACATTTTTATTAAGGAGAACTACAATTGATACTAAGTAGGCCATCTTTGGTCAATCACTCATAAGGAGATACTGAATAATGTGGGTAGCAATAATCCAACATTTCTTAAATAACCTGTAACAAGCATAGAGTACAAACAAAAGGACAATGACAACTTACCCAGGATACTATCAACAATAGACATTTCTGCCTCTTGACAGGCAACAAATGAGCCGACTTGAGCCATCAACACAGCTGCTCCAACTGATCTCAGGTAAGTACTCTTACCTCCCATGTTTGGGCCGGTGATAATGTGGAACATTCCATTATCTGCAACAAATATCACAAATGATCAGTCAAGTTCCTCTGATAAATTTGATATTTTAGAATTCAATTGTACATTTATTTGGCTTGTTGACCAGACCACACACTAGAAAGTGAAGGGACGACGACGTTTCGGTCCGTCCTGGACCATTCTCAAGTCGATTGTGTACATTTGGCTTCATTATTAAATAAAACTGGCTCTATACCGACAATACAAGGTAAAACACAAACATTAAATTCTTGATTAACATCCCATTTAAAAATCTATTGCTACAAAAATAAAGTTGGGCGAGTCTCCTGTGTCCAATCTACGATTAGCCACGTGTGTCTAAAAAGAAAATTATGACACCTACATCGCTGAAAATAAAACAGTAAATTAACAGGTGTTTTATAGTGGAAAATTTGGACTTTAATAGGATATCTGTGAAATGAAACCTCATTTTCCCAATATATATATATACAGCTTGTTTTGCTTGGATTTACTATGCAAAAGATTTTCAAAGAAATCATCCCTCATGTACATCATCAAACATCCACTGTATTTTGCAACAAACAAGGTGGTGTACAAACTAGAAAATCATTTAGATAGAACTATGCAAAGTTACTGACCTTTATCAAAATTACAGTCATTTGCTATAAATGAGACATCATCTTGTAGTTCTAAACATGGATGACGAATACCTTCCAGCTTTAGTACACCAGATCCCCTAGCCAGGAGTTTGGGTCGTATGTAAGGAATGGGTGCAGATACCGCAGCAGAGGCCAAGGCATAAATACAGTCTAAAGTAGCCAGCACATGACCTAGATTTTGTATCACTTCAACATAACCAGCTGGAAAAAAATATATAGAAATTTAGTAAAACAATCCTACATAAAGACATTGCACGACAACATCGACAACTGTCACTACATTTTTTCAACTTCCTAAGCATTGCCAAACTACTCATTACTGTACTTTATGTGACTTAACAAAAGGAAATTATAAGCAAACTTATTTTAGTCCCCCTTTAAAATTTAACAAATTTTATTACTGAATTAAAAGTAAATGAAGCAAATGCAGATGTGACAAAAATGTTAACAATTGACTCGTCACCAAAACACAAACTGAACACTCGCCTGCAATATTCATGATCTCGTCAACAACAGTTTTTTGCTGTTCATTGTACTCCTCTCGTGAAGCCATGTGCTGATCATTCAGATCTTGAAGGGCACCGTTTCTGAATCGTACTCCAGCTTTGTTGGTGTCAATCATCCGGTAGTTCCTATTGTTACGCAGCACTTTTTCTTCCTGTAAATGTTAAATTTAGTGATACTGATTACATCACTATCTCTATGTATTCTCTATTGCAAGTTAACATTTACAAGCTGATGCACAGAACAAAGATTTTGTATCACTATCTAAATACAGTACATAATAGGGAATGTAGCATGAATAATACACCGTGCCCTCCACTGATAGGTAAGCACTGTGCCACACTGAAGCTTAAAGAAACTGCTAACCTTAAGAGCATGCAGAAAACATTCACTGCCATTTTAACTGTCAACAATTCCACCGAATCATCCATAAAAAAAATAGCTTAGTACAGACGAGCATATTTTTAACTTAAGAGTACATGCTAACCCCACCAGGACAAGCCATTCCCTATACTCAAGGTGTTCTAACACAGCAAGAAGCAACAAACATGTCACCAGCTACAAAGAAATCAAGGGTAGAAATGTTCGATATGATAAAGAAGCAGAGAAAGGAACAGTAGACAACCAAAATGAGGAGCACGAGTACAGCAGTCATCCATGTGGTGCTGATGGCGATAGTTTACCTTAAGCGTGACTCTGAAAAAGTAGCCAAGCTGAGCATTGGACTCCAATTTGACACTTTTTCCGGCATCAAGACCAAGATCATTTGCCACCTTTTTCAACTGATTTTGAATATCTGTTTCCAAGCCATTCATCGTTTCTCGCAGGTCTGAAATCATCAGAACATAAAACACATGCAGTCTTGTGGTAATTTATACACAGGTGTGTGTGAAATGTTACAAGCTCTTTTTTGCAGTGAATCTAAATAAACAACAGTTGAAAACTGCTAAACTTACCTCCTAGTGTCTCGTCAAAATCTGGCTTGATGACATAGTCTCCCTGACCGGCTTGTTCCATATCTACAGTAGTCTCTATCATTTCTTGAAACTTTGACAGGTCTGACAGCAGCTCCTTTATTGATGAGAGCAAACAATATGAATTTAACAGCAGAATGCATCAACAATAACTGCTAAATATTTAAGTACTGTACTGTATAATTATTATGAACCAAGCAAATAAATTATACAGTATTGTATTAAGGAAATCTAAATATTTTACAAAATTATGTAATTTGGGGACCAATGTTTGCCATCATTTTTTATTATTGCATTTTGAAAATTATTTCCAGAAAATTACCAAAAGATGATGATCATGTAAAACAGCTCTAATCCAGCTGAAATGTCGAACTATGCAATAAAAACAGGATTTCTCTCCTAATCAACATTTGGTTTGTCTGCACCTCACCTGAAGAGGAGTTGTGAAGACTGCTGCCAGGGAGGCTATGTGAGGCCCTTCATACTTGGCTATAGCTTCACACAAATTTGGCAATCGATCAACACACTGATAAAATCTGTTAACATGATGCATTATTGTTAATGACAAAAGAATTTCCTATACTGCACATAAGCTGGTACAAATACAAGTCTCGGAAATGTAACAAAAAGAAAAATAATTTAAGAACATCAAGAACTTGGTACAGGGCAGTATTGTATTTGGTATTCACTACACAACAATTGCAATTTTGTTCATATTCTGCCAAGGGTAATCCTAATTACTTGTACTTCAATTTGTAACGTACTTGTAACAGTCTTGGAGTGTGGCCGCTTTGCGTGCCAGTTTCCGAGCCAGGCGATTCAGGTCAGGAATACGACGAAGATGCTCTTCCCCAAGACTGTGACGCAGCTCTACTGATGAAACTACGGCCTCAACCAAGTCCTGTCGTTCTTCTGCAAAATGAAAAACTAGTGAATATAGGTTCTACAAGATCCATTAAACACAACAAAACAGAACAAACATTTGAGCCATGCACAGAAACATGGAAAATCTAAGCTGTGGATTTGTATTTAAATTGTAGGCTAGGTTAGGGTCAGTTTGGGAAGATTCCAAATTTTCACAACTATGGAATACAAAGAAACCATACTACCTGTAATATGAAATATATAAATGAGAAAGGTGCGTGGCTGGGAGTGCCTTGATCGCTGGTCTAAGTCATCTCATTACTTCAATTGATTTTCTCAACTATAGTATTCTATGTTTTAGGCCTTGCTAACATTTCTTGGGTGTAGTTTTTTATACATCACTGCTGACACTAAAGGCTTTTAATGTTTACAATTGTGGCAACAACCACCAACTTTACTAGACTAGTGAAGGACTAATGAGCTGCAACTGCACGTCTGTAACTTGGGAAAACTGAAATGTTAGAAGACTCACCAATCTTGTTGATGTCTACCAATGGCTGTCTAAGCCACTGTAAGAGCAGGCGATGACCAAGCGGAGTGCGACACTTATCCAGAAGACCAAGAATGGTGTGTGTTTTAGCAGCAGCACCAGACAGTTCCCCACTCCCAAGGGGTTCCACGTGCAATGCCCGAACTGCTGCACTGTCGAGTCGCATATACTGACTCAGGTCATACAAGGACATTGTAAACTGGCCAAAGTTTGACTCGTCCCCAAGGAGCTATAACAAAAATATTTCATGCTATTGTACTATAATAATAATAAAAAAAAAATCAGACATTATTAATGCTTTACAATCACTTATCACACTTCCATCAACCTTCACTATCACTGCCCATGAACAATTCACAAAAGTATTTGTTGTACATTAATCTTTGACTACAGCCAACACAAACCTCAAGGTACTTTATGACAGCAGCCAGCGCAGCAATGGCACTAGTACGATCCATTTCTGGACGTGCCGAAGTAGTCGACGCATCTCCACCCTTTGTATGTAAGAGGCGGTTTAAGTCCTGAGTGGCATCTTTATTGTTGAACTCTGCTTTCTTCCTTTCAGTAACAAGCAATGGATTTCGAGACAACACCTGTAAAGATAACACAAGTTACTAAACTAACTTTTATAATGCAATAACAAATGGATAAATGGACGAGATGAAATTTAGGCTCAACGGCTGGAATTTCTTGGTCAACAATGGCAGATGATGAAAAATAGTAACCCTTGAAACAAGTAAATAACAAAACTAGCATGTTTAAGACACTGAAAATACTGCTTATCAGGTGAGCAAGTAACCTATAAAACAAATTATTAGAAAAATACATTAACCATACAGCTTCCATTACACTTGTATAACTAGCAAACCTTTAAATCTAAATTTTGTTTTGTTTCAGTGTACAGTACTGTACTATGCATAAAATGGTTTACAAAGAATTAATTGATAAACCCATTTTCCAGCATATTACAAAACATTATTAATTACAAGTTTTTGGCTCTTTACTGATAAGACTGGGAAACATTGTGTTTAGTATAAATTGGAATATGTAGAGAGAAAATCTTTGGAGTAGTGATGGAATTGAACTCACATTCTGGGTCAACCCCAGGGCATGCATTACCTACTGGACCATGATGAGCATTATTAGGCGTTTAAGCTCATCATGGTTCTGTGGGTAATGCAGGTGTCTGAGGTGACCCAAACACATACACAAATTGTGCAAAAGGAAATTAATTATACTGTATGTGATATTGATTTTTTTGTCAGAAAACCACATTACTGTAATTCCATCAATCACATAGTTAGAAACCAAACTGTGGAGGTGGTCACCTGTTCACAATAATTTTGCTGTACCTGCCACTCACCCTGAGTCCCACCCAACCCTCATGCAAGTCAACCACCTCTCAACCATTTTCTTCAATCCCACTGCTGTGTACAGAAATTGCATATTTCCAGCAGCAACTCCATCATCAATGCAAATTGCTGTAAATGTCACTCAGACCATGGGGCCTCATTTTATGGGTTTTGATTGAACTTGTATGTGCAGAGCCACCTGGTTCTCCAGCGGCAATCATATCTGTTACTCTTACTGTAGTTACCTTCCGAGTTCAAAGACTGTGGATTATAAACCAAGTACTGTACCATGTAGGCAAGCAACTAGGTAACATCCAAGTCACACTCTTTTGTGCCTTGTCCTTCCTGAGCCGTGTTTCTGGACGCTCCCGAGCCATGTTTCTGGACACCTGCAGATACAGTCGTGTTTTTGGGACACTTTTGGGCTGTGTTCCTGAGTACTACCAGGTAGGGTACTTGGCTGTTTCTGGACTATGTGCCAGGTCATTGGGGTATGTCGTTACTGGGGTATGTTGTTGTTAGGATGGGTATTGAAAGCTTCCCGAGTATGGTGTCCAGCAAAAATTTCATGTTGATTTAAGGGAATATACGCTATTGGACAGGATGAATGGCCAGACATCGTGAAGTGTGCATAAATCGCCGAATGAATAAACTTACAGATACCACACGAGAACTGTACTGGATACATACGAAGCTGATGACAGCCAATAGAAATATTCAGTAGAAACAAAATAAAAACTTCAACTTTCAGAAAAAATTATGCTGCACTATTGTGAGAGAACATCCTACCTGCTTGAGCTTTGTGCCATCTGGGCCCATATCCCCCAAAGGAATAAGACACTCCCGAGGCCCCAGTTGCACTACCAGAGCCTCCAGGTTACTGAATGTGTCATTGTCATTGAACTCCGACACAGTCATTAGCCGGCCTGACACGTCCACATACCCAACTCCCACAACCTAAAAATAAATAAAAAAATTAATAAAAACATACCAGTACAAGAGCTACAAAAATATTGCAAAAAGTATTCATTAACATTGCCCAACTAAACAATATTATAAAATGTTATTATGAACTTAAAAGGCTTATGCCAAAGGTGTTATGTCAAAAGTTCCATCCATTCTCTCAAACTAGATTAGTCTTAAGGGAGTTAGATCAGATACAACAGGTATGACACATCTCAAGATCATATTTAGACAATTATAAAGTTGCTAAAAATTCTTACTCTCTGGCCATTTTCAGTGGCTAGCTTGACAGCCATGACACCTGTTGTAACTGTAAGCTCATTGTTAGCCCCAAACAGCACTTCTTCAAACTGACTCAAGTTACCCGGAGAAGCCTGAAACATAAGGAAAATTGAATAAATATTTAGAATACAATTTATCACATATTTTCTTGGTATTATCAATATATATATCCTGGTGTTCTTTTCCAATTGTCAAACTAAATCATTTTACAAAAATTTACTTTTCTGTTCAACCCACTTGTTAAAACTTAATTTTGCTGGACCCATTCCATCATCCTGTAGTTGGTACCCAACGTTTGTCTACTCTTGAAGCCAGGCATGGCACCATGCGTAACTAATGACTTGCTTGATTCAACCAGGCGACAGTTGCTTGTAACCCACATACATCAAAATTTACCTTATCTATAACCTACTATGCTTTAATTTATCAACTGAAAGGAAAAATTAATTTTTCCTTTCAAGTCATCCCCTGGCAGTGTTCTTCACTGCTTGTGTGAGCCAGGCCTTGTGGCCCCTAGTGTGCCAGTCACTACCAGGCAACACTACTTCTTGGGGACCATGGTGTGCCAGTCAACACTGCTCCTCACTGGAGAGTAGTGTAATAAAAAGAGGAATGAACTTGAAAAAAGTGGTAGAAGCAACCACCATTCACAGTTTTAAGAGCAAGTACAGTATGGAAGAATACTGGACCATTGGCACGTATAAATTCACCAAGTACATTAGCAATTAGGCAGAGCTCTACAGCTGGATCTCACTTCCTGTAGACAACTATATTAGCACAATCCTCTTTACTAGTTCTATTAACCAGTTCCACCTATTGAAAATGTTACTGCACTCACAAGATACTATAAATTATATCTACAGTATTGATAATAATTTTGTTCTAATCAGAAAAATATTACAGACCATTTATAATCCTAATTTTGAAACAGATTTAACTTTAAATTTAATATACAATAACTGTGTACTATATACTGTACTCATTCTACTCCCATCAGGACTTGTATCATCACTGCATAATGTAATTTAGATACAAATAGTAATGCTTAACCTTTAATTAGTTGCTCCTTATATACTTGCAACAATACAATATGCTACAAAACTTGCACCTAGAAATAATATACTGGACTAAATATCTGTTCTGTATAAATCAGTCCATCCTGGACACGACTCAATAATGGTCCAGGACAGACCGAAACGTAGTCTTTTCTCTGTGGTTTGGTCATCACATTTGTGCTGCATCAGTGCGAAATACTGAACCCAAATGCATCCGAGCTAACCTTATATTCAACCTCCCAGTCACTTTTTGCCGAGCTCTTCTGTTTATACACTTCCACTCTGTAGTGCTTGACCAGCAAAAGATCCCGCACAAATGACTCAAAGTTCAGTCGACTCAGCACTACAGATTCCAACTTCTTGTTGCCTGTGAAATAATAATAATAAAGTTTAACAAGTGAGCACAAACAACCGAGTTCTCCACAGAAGGATTTACAGAAGCAAAATCCACTTTTTTTCTAGGTCAATATTTGCGCTGACAGTAAGTGACCTTGTGCTGATTATACTGTGGATGATTATTAACAGTAGAAAACATCCTAACCTCAACCAAATGCACTTCCCTCATCCCAAGTATAAGGCACTAACCTGAACCCAAGTGTTTGACCACAGAATTGGTGCGGAAGAGGTCTCGTGCAGCCAGCAGGGCATCCTGGCCATGCACAGTGTAGTATTCCCCACGGTCGAACACTCTTACCGTAGTGTTTGGTTTCTGATGCAAGAGAAAATATATAACATAAAATGACATGTCCTGCAAAATATTGTAAATACATTAATTTTCTCTCTTTACAATCATGCACATAGGATTTAAAATCACTATGAATGACCAATAAAAGACTAGCCCTGAAAATTCATGTACAGTACGAGGAATCTCTGGCCAGTATTACAATCATAAAATGGATAAAACATGCATTGTACTGGTCTGATGAACAAATATTATGGGCGATATTAAGAGTTTAAAAATACATGTGACACTTGGCTGTTGTTGAGTGACTTATATACCTGTACTATGTACCATTTGAAATATATTTTTAGTGAATATCGACGAGTTAGGTTTTAAAATCCATACACAAAATATAGACCTCGATATAAGCTAAACGACTATTAATACACTCTGGCTTCCTGTCCCCCCGACACAATGACTTAAGTAGGCTTCAAAATCCGCTGGAGAATTGCTTGTGAAGGCTGTGTGACCTGTGTGTGGCAGGTCTTACCTCAGGCAGGCCGCGGTGGAAGGCGAGGAAGCCCTGCTCGCTGGCCCCATCTACAAGAGAAGAGAAGCATGTGTGAATGTGGGTGGGGGTGTTGGGGCGTGTGGTGGGCGGGTGAGTGAGGTAGAGGCGGGTACTGACCGAGGGCGAGCTGTTCCTTGGGCTGGAGAGTGGCCATCTTCACACACCGTAGTGGTGGCGGGAACCACACACACACACACAAGCCCACCACGGCTCGGCTCACACACAAACATGCGCTGGCTGCTGTTTGCAGCTCGGCTCCTCTTATTTATTTATTTATTTATTTACTTATTTATATATATACAAGAAGGTACATTGGGTTTGTGAGAATACATTGGATAGTACAGTATTTACACTCTTGAAAAGCCACTAGTACGCGCAGCGTTTCGGGCAGAAAAGCCAATTATTGTGGCTCTTCAGTCACAATAATTTACCTGATGGGCCATTACTGCTATGTGGTCTGTATATTACTATATATTACTGCTAGTGATCTCGACGAGGAAAGTAAGCCGGCGGCTAGTCAAAGGTCCCCCCATTTGATATGTTTGATGTTTCCATATCAATTAACACTAGCTCTCCACATATGTCAGTTGCTTAAATTTAGAAACTGTACTTGTGGTCGATCTCGAGCCCACTGATGATGTGACGATGTGTATTTAATTTTGTAACTAGTTCATCAAGATTGTAACTTGCTTAGCTAAATGAATTGTGGGGTTCAGTCCCTGAGCCCATTATGTGCCTCTGTAACCCTTTCCACTACACCCCACAAGATGGGTATGGGGTGCATAATAAAAGAACTAAACTAAAAACTGTAGACAATCTACACCGCTTATGTTAGACCGATATTGGAATAAAATAAATAAATAAATAAATGTTTATTCAGGTAAAAGCATATACATACAAGATGAGTTAGAAACAGAACGTTGGATTTCTAGAGAGCTAGTACATAGTATGCCTAAAGCCACTAATACGCATAGCGTTTCGGCCAAACGCTGCACCAACCTGGCATCAGCATCTTATGAAGAACACAAGTGAAAGGTGTGAGAGGTTTGCAACACTATTAGTGCCAGGACAAAGAGGGTCATGTTATGTGGATATGCTACAGGAACTACATCTCACAACCGTAGAGGAGAGAAGAAACGGAGAGGCTACGGTGATAACATATCCCGAGGGAATAGACAAGGTAGAAAAGGACAGCCTTTTTATACTGAGAAAAAACAGGACAAGAGAACACAGGTCGATACTGAAAACGCAAATGAGTTGAACCGGTAAGTAAATACACCTGTATGGGTGATCAACAAGTGGACAGTTTTTTAGTTAGTTTAGTTCATTTATTATGCACCCCATACCCATCTTGTGGGCGGTAGTGGAAAGGGTTACAGAGGCACATAATGGGCTCAGGGACTGAACCCCACAATTCATTTAGCTAAGCAAGTTACAATCTTGATGAGCTAGTTACAAACTTTAATATAAGTCGTAAGTGGACAGCCATGAAAGAAGTCGTGGAAGCCACCTCCATGTACAACTTTAAGGCCAGATTCGACAAAGAATTCGAAAGTTAGGATAGTTAAATTACAACCCAACAATAACCACAAAGATAGTAGGCGGGCATAAGGAGCTAGACATCACTTCCCTGTAGTAAAAGTTGAAAGCGAAATTCGTAGATTTATAGGTCAAATCACATATCGATAGAAAACATGAAGTAGGATCGACAAATTAGTAAGTTCGATTATTTTTACTTAAAATCACACAACATGAAAAAAGTTTAAGTAACCACCACCACCACTCTCTTACCCCTCCCGCTTGCGTGACCCTCCCAGTATATATCTTAATAGCCTCGTACATTCCCCTTGTCAGGTATTATTATAAACCACTATATTGGCACTAATTACCCCAGCAGCCCTGGCCAAGACGGGAGGTTAAAACCACGAGGAAATATGTTAAGACAATTACTGGAGCACAACCGCCTGCCTGACTCTTCCCTCCGTGATTGACGAGACAACATATTATCATAGATCTTGTGTAATTAACGACCACTCGGGGAGATGAGGTCGTCAAGTGTCATGCCTTGTAACAAGCATGAAAACAAATAATAATATAATTAGTGTTACCAAGGAAGTTATCTGTCTTTGCTTCAGGAAATTTACAACATTTAAATGAAGGCAAGGGATGGGAAGGCACTTATATATATATAATAAAAACAGGGAAAGTGGTGAGTGTGGAGGTGGTAGTGGAAGGGATCGATCAGGTGGCATTCCTAGCTCACCTGGGGAGGGGTGAGGGGCCTTGCCTCACTCAGTACACCATGTGCCCTCACTACGGCCTCACCTCCCACGCCGCCTCTCACACACCTGCCTCACACTGAGACACCTTCATCGTGGGTCGAGAGTGTGAGCGCAAAAGTTTGTTATGGTGTGAACCCGCCAGAGTTAGTGGTCCTGACCTCTCGGGAGTGATGCTCGGGGTCCTGTGATGCACCTCTACTAGTGATGGAGCCCAGAGTGAACCACTACTAGTGATGGAGCCCAGAGTGAACCTCTACTAGTGATGGAGCCCAGAGTGAACCTCTACTAGTGATGGAACCCGGCGTGAACCTCTACAGTAATGGATCCCAAAGTACTGCAGCACTTATAATGACACCGGAGTAATCCTGCACGAGAGAGAGAGAGGGATACGAGCGTGAAGCTATACCCTACAGCCATGTAGCCCAGAGTGACCCTGCACTAGCGCTGGAGGTTTGAGAACTTGCGCCAGTAGTAATGCAGGCGGGCCAGCGCGAGTCTGCACTAGCCTCAACCACAAGTATCAGCAACTTCAGAGTCAGGGGCTCTACCCGGTCACCCATAGCGGTAAGACTATATACCTCGTGGTCTTCACACACAGCAGTTGTAAAACCCAACTTAACTTCTGCTCTCTCAGCTTTTGAAACATCAAATTCGATGGTATTATACTCTTTATATCCATTATTCAAACTAGCAGGGAAGCCAAGCATCCAGCCAAGCACCTCCGTAGCCACCTGATGATCTAAAATACTCAAGAATTATGATATAGATGTTTTCACACATTTAATCCATCTCGATTTTGTTTTTCTAGTAAGGCGGACTATTATACGGTAATAATATTAATACCGATAAAATGAATCTTAGAGTCACAGACATCAGCAAACGGGGAAAAAAGACGACATTCCGTTTCGTCCAAGAATATTATTGTTCAGGATGGACTTAAACGTTTGTCCTGGACCATTATCAAGTCCAGGATGGACTTAAACGTTTGTCCTGGACCATTGACAAGTCCAGGATGGACCTAAATGTTTGACTCTTTTATGGATGTACTGTACTTTTTATGTAAACTTTCTCACAGTTATCAATGTACAACCATTTACGTAAAAAAATCTTTGATTTCATTAATTGTCAAGTGAGGTAAATTCAGGTAAAGTCCAAGACGGCCCTAAACGTTAATTCTGGACCATCATTAATTACAATGAAGACCCAACCCACAGTCTTGAACCATTATAAAGTCCAGAGCGTAATCAAACCTAACCACTTTTCCAGTAAAATGTGTATGCTCACTGTTTAATAATAATAATAATAATAATAATAATAATAATAATTATTATTATTATTATTAATATTATTATCACACTTTTAAAATAATAATTCAATAAAAAATATAAGGTCTACGGACAAAGGCTGCCACATCTCATGTTGGTTCAATGTCGTGTAGTTGGCGTGACCTTATCTCCAGCAGTCTCTGGCATTCAGCACACGAGTAATCAAAACTTCACAAATTGTCTATAATTATATTTTCTTACGGTCTTGTTTTACATTCCCAGACGAAGGTATAAGAGTTCGCCGAACACCACGCCTCGTCTGACCTTTTTATTCCGTGAAGTGTTTTAACTCTTTCCGTCTCGCATCTCCCCTCCCATGACCTTATCCAAAATCTCCACCTTCCCTAGCTCTCTTCCTCATTTTCCTCAGCCCCTTCACCTTCCTTCCCCCTCATCCCCTATCCTCCCCTTAGCGTCTTAACCTTTCTATTCCACCGACCCTCGCCCTCCCTATTACCTATATAGCTCCTACCCCTTCCTCCTCCCCATCCCAGTCAGTGGGTAAAGGTACTGCTGCCACCTGTAGGATGGGGGTACGAGTGAATTAGCAAAAATGTTAAATAATATATTACATTTAACTGTCTCCTCAGAGCTTAGGAAATAGCACCAAGCCGAGGTAATAATACAGCGGATGGCCACCAGATTTAATCAGGAACACGGTGGATAGCAAGGTCGTGGCGCAAGCAAATTATCTTAATTGCGTTCCTGGGGCCTGATTTACCCGCAGCGAGAGGCAGGTGGAGGTATTTTTACTCTCTTGCTCAAATTTATTATAGTGTAAGACGAGCCTCGCCCTGTGGATATACCAGTATGCCATCCGTCTTTATCTGTGATTTATTTCGAGTTTTATTACTCTCATAGCCTAGCCCCACCAGGCGTGTCCGTGAGATTGTCGTGATGATCCATGGAGGTCCAAATAGCCATCACAGCAGGACGCTGTCAAGTTCATTCTTGGAAATTTTAACCTTTGCCCCAGCTATAGTTCTTATATTTGCTATAGTTTGAGGTTGAAGACCTCCGCCGTTGTTCTCCAGCTGTGCTCAAACCAACGCCATATTCATATTTAATTTTGTTTTCGTTATATTTTATTGTATCTGTTCAGAACCTGTAAATAAAATTCTTATTATTATTTTTATTATTATTATTATTAAGTGATTATACGATAGCCGTAAAGGTTCACTGAATATTTTTTAGCTTGACTGGGGACGTGGACAATATTACATTTGCAAGATCACCAATGCCTTGATGAAGACCTGCCATCATTGGAGTAACATTCATTGTTTTGACAGTTCTCATTGCCGTATCTATCTTCCTAGCTGATATTACAGGGCTATATTTTATTCCTATGATTGGACTTCTCATTCTCGGAGACAGGAATGAGAAACCAATTTCTCATTTCTGTCAATTTCAGGAATTTCTGACTTTTCCCAAGATACAATTCACAGTAGTTGCTTATACTCCTCCGGTGAACAAGCCCATCAGCTGAAAGGAAACAAGACCAAACGTTTCGGTACAGCATATTTAGCATTTCGTAGAATTTCTTTTAATTTTATGTTTCCTATATTGTTATATCAACATAGTCCCCTCAGCAGGTATATACATATAATGTTCTCTCTCTTGTTGTGCCTGTGGCATTTGATGGTGTATTGTACCTGTAGACGCCTGTCTGTGGCGCTTGCAAGGATCACTCTCCCATGGGCTTCTATGTCTACTGTTCCTTATACTCCATATTCCTGTTTTCATTTCCTCAATTGGTTTAACAGTATTTATCAGTTTTTCTACCTTTGTGTAAGATGATCTGGTGTCGATATTAATGAATTAATTAGTATAATTAATAAGTCATAATTACATTTAACTCTCGAGAGTGCTTTTAATAGTGTTTGATAAATATAAGTGTATATTGCATACAGGGATCAAGGCAACAGTATGGATTTGTCACGGCCCTTGTGGATTTATTCAACAGTGTCATCTCGCCTGACTGCAGTTGTCCCCATATGTTGCGAGTGCTAACACCGTAGCAGGATGCAGGTGGCAGACAGTGTCAGGTACAGGGAGGCTGTCACCAGACTCAAGAGACTCCTCTACGACCAGCCAGGTTGGGAGTCTGTTCCAGAACCCCCTACAACCTGCCCCCACCCCCAGCAAGCCTCACACACACATGCGGCCCACACCAACCACCACCTCCCCTACCAGCCCACAGGTACGCTATTTCCCACGTCTTTATCATTACAGTATTTCATATTTTCAGTGTCGTTTTGTAGAGGATTTTCCGTTTTTTTGTGTGTGTCAGGGTAGATGTATATTGTAATGTATTTCCTATTTCGTGTCAAATTCTTCAAAAATAATATATTTGCTATGTGAAGCAGAACAATATTTAAAGAAACTTAAACCCCATTTTAAACTTAACTAACAAATTAATTAAATACAATTTTTTAAACTTTTTGTTTTATACTATTCCTTATATAATAATAATAATAATAAACTATCTGGAGCAAGTGTTGCCAATGCACCAACTCACAGGCTGTGTACAGAAGCTGGCAGGGTATAAGTTGTTGTTGTGTTAGATTCAGCTACTGGGAACAAAAGTTCCAAGTAGCACGGGCTATGGTGAGCCCGTGGTGGACTTACCTGGCACAGGAGCGGGGCTGTGTCGAGTAGCCGAACCTCATTAATACTGAGCATCTTTATTACGTGTACCGCACCTGTTGATGCCATCCCACTCTATCCGTATCATCCCACACATCCACCACTAACATATTGTAGCGAAAATCCAGTGCTACTCATGGGCCAGATTCACGAAGTAGTTACGCAAGCACTTACGAACCTGTACATCTTTTCTCAATCTTTTGCGGCTTTGTTTACAATTATTAAACAGTTAATGAGCTCCGAAGCACCAGGAGGCTGTTTATATCAATAACAACAGTTTGGCAAGTTTTCATGCTTGTAAACTGTTTAATAAATATAACCAAAGCCGTCAAAGATTGAGGAAAGATGTACACGTTCGTAAGTACTTGCGTAACTGCTTCGTAAATCTGGCCCCATAGCAACAACATCTGCACTTTTTGTCAGGAACTTAAATGAGGTGAACAATATGGAACACAGGCTCTGTTCAGCCGTGAATAGGGCCCATTTTGGCAGCCTGTACATTGTGCAAAAAAAGTATGTACATATAGAGGGAATGACTGGCGGAGTTCTACTCACAGAGTTATACTGCAGAAAATGAATCTTTCAAACTGTAATGTAGACTAATGTAGGCTAATGTAGACTCTGAAAAAGAGCTAGGACACTTCAGCATTATATAGGTGAATGTACGCAGGCGATGACGAGTCACAATAACGTGGCTGAAGTAGTTTGACCAGACCACACACTAGAAGGTGAAGGGACGACTTGAGAATAGTCCAGGACGGACCGAAACGTCGTCGTCCCTTCACCTTCTAGTGAGTGGTCTGGTCAAACAGGTGAATGTACACTTACCAAATATTTGAGAGCAAATGGTATGATTTACCTGGAGCTTGTTACTCTTTCATTTATTCCCGATACGAGATAATATCCTAATATGGATTAGGTGAACCTAGCTAACTTTTCACCTAAACTCAAACCTACCATATAGATAAGAGTAAAACAACAGTGTTCTGAGCCTAAAATGATAATACACAACTAAAGATTGGTATATATGCGTGTGTTTCAGTAAGGTGGGATGGTGGGGGTGTAGGTGGCGTGAGCACCCAGGTGGGCAGGGAGGAGGCGGCGTCACGATGGCTGCTGGAGCTCCTCAGACACCAGGAGGATCTCATAACCCAGCTCGAGCGGGAGAACGACTTTCTCAAGGTCAGCAACACCTCTTAGGAGAGCATTACACCCAAGCTTGTGATTTGAATTTTCCCGCAATCACATAAATGTTATTAATGCAACATCTACTTAAATTACAAATGCTTGATATATTCCTGTCGCTACTAAATATGCTGTTATTAAAGTAATCAAATCCTTTGTGGACGACATGATTGTGTGGTCAGCGAGAGGTGGTGTCTGTGGGTGAGGGAGTCCGGAGAATGGGTCAAGACAACCAGGAACTTAATCGCCGCCTCGCTGACGCTCTCAGTCAGGCCATCGCCATGGTCAGTATCTCCGTCTCTCTCGGTCTATATTTCTTAAGTGTTCGTAGCCCCTCAGAAGGCAAAGCTGCCATCACAACATACGCTTTGTATATAACAACATCTGAATTCTGAATATTATGAACAGATAATGCAGACGAGGAGTCACAATAACGTGGCTGAAGCACGTTGGCCAGACCACACACTAGAAAGTGAAGGGACGACGACGTTTCAGTCCGTCCTGGACCATTCTCAAGTCGATTGTGAGAATGGTCCAGGACGGACCGAAACGTCGTCGTCCCTTAACTTTCTAGTGTGAGGTCTGGTCGAGATAATGCAACTCTATGGACTCAGTGGTCCCCATTTCAGTCTCCAGTGAAGACTGATACAGACCCGGACAACGCCTGGTACCCCTTCCAGTTATATATATAATTCATACACAAGGGGAAACAGTAAGATATAGGCTCTAGAGGTCTTCAAGATCCTCAGATGTTCGAGGAAACAAGGATGTTCATTACATCCTTGTTTTCTCAGGCCAGAATCAAGGATCCATACAGCATTTTGCCTGTGGATCGCCGCACTAAGATGGCCGCCCTTGAGTTACATGTTTTACATCACATTAGCTTCAACAGTGACAGGCAAGCTCAGGACAGTTCCCATTTTATTTATGCTATTGCCATTTATATAATTCATGCACGCAATTCCTATACAACTGTGCGTTTGTAACCGTGTTAATTTCAGTAACGTCTAAATAACATAGTTTGCATTCCAGGAGTTTCCTAATGTGTTAAAGATATGGATAAAATAGGTGTAAATGTTTGAAAAGACACTTGAATGCGAAAATGCTATCTGGTTTATAAATATCCAGCTAATTGTGGAGATACAGTTTCTTGTCCCACTGGGCCTGTGGTGTGGTAGGCCCAGGGGACAGATTCACGAAACAGTTATGCAAGCACTTACGAACGCCTACATCTTTCCTCAATATTTGACGGCTCTGGTTACGTTTATTAAACAGTTTACAAGCATGAAAACTTCCCAATAAACTGTTGTTATTGTTATAAACAGTCACCTGGTGCTTCGGAGCTCATTAACTGTTTATTAATTGTAAACAAAGCCGCCAAAGATTGAGAAAAGATGTACAGGTTCGTAAGTGCTTGCGTAACTGCTTCGTGAATCTGGCCCCAGAGCTTGGATGTGGGTCGACTCGTACACCACGAGTGGCCAACTTTACCCTTGTTTGGGGCCTGGATATAAAGTGTTATATATGTACTGTCCATCAGGGGGAGGCGTCGGAGGCGACCAGCAGCAGCAGCAGCAGCACGGAGAGTGGACAGAAAGACGCCACCAACTCCAGGATCGCGACACTCACAAGGTCTCACACTCTTCCTCTTGCATGGCGAATTATTTGCCATTTCTAATAATTGTATAACATTTAAACTGACGTGATTTTTCAAAGCATATTACCACGGAATAAAAAATATAATTATAGCATGAAACATCTTGGAAATTCCAGGTAAAAAAATGGTGTGGATATGTTTGTTGTATCTTCCCTGGCAGGGAGAAGGCGACGCTGCAGGAGGAGGTGCGTCGCCTGCAGCACTCCCTCTCAGTCATGACCCAGAGAGAACAGGAGGCCCTCACCAAGCTGAGGCAGGCCCTCACACTCGCTCAGGACACACACACTCACACCGCTCAGGTATGGAAATACTCAGTGTCCTCTCACACGTCTTGGCTGAGAAAATAATGAACCTGGCAGCTATAATAGAACACATCAACTGACAAAGTACAGCGACATTTGCCGATTTCCGGCAGAGAAATGGATTTGTGCATCCACACTATTACAACATAACAATAAAGTTACACTGATTAATATTATTTTCGTGTGAGACTTGATTTACCATCTGCATTCATTTAATTTATATGGACTGGTCAGTGTAGTCGGTACACAACTAAATAGTCCAGGGTTAGATTTCCGAACAAGGCGAAACGTTTGCTTCAAACGTTTACCTAGGGGGTAAATATTGAATTCTATCAATGGCCTAGGGCTCTACGGGGAACTCATTAAGCTTAACAGCCTTCCTGTCCCCGACAATAAGAACTAAGTAATTATCAAAAGAATGCACCAAGCCTGGAAGATTATGTAGCAAGTTAACAGAAAAAAAGCATATTTAACGATATGAACGAATGGACAGTAGAACGCCCTGGTCTCTTACGATTCTCCACTACAGGTTCGCGCCAGCAGCGAGTCAGCCCTGGAGGAGCTGTCTACGCTACTAGCGGCGACGAAGCAGGAGGGTCAGGAGCTGCGGAGGCTCCTAGAGGAGGCGGACAACAAACAGAAGAGGAAGCAAGAGCAAAAGGATGAGCAGGTGGCCAAACAACAACAGAGAATCAAGGCCCTTCAAGAGGAACGGGAGGAGCAGGAGCAAGCAATAAGTGGGCTGCGGCAGGAGGTGCGAGAGAGCAGCAGGAAGGTAACGGCCCTGGAGGAGGACCTGCTGGCGGCGAGGGCTGCCAGGACGCGCCTGGAGGTTCAGCTGGAGGAACAGCGTCAGCACTCAAGGGACGCTCATGCCAGACTCGATCAGATCATCGTGGCGTGAGTACTTTAAATAATAACTTTACCTCAACTCCCTTCCGCCATATATTTCTCTCTTATCAACTGCCTTCACAAGCAGTGTTTTGAGCAGTTTACAATAAAGCCTTACTAGTATTTGATGATAACTTGCTTGGGAGGATCCATAAATTTTCAAGGTAAAAAGTACACCCATAGTGGAAGTACGATTCCCACTCAAAAGTCACGAATGGTAACTAATAACGCATACCGGTGTGTTAGACACTGCTAGGATGGCGGCGCCGGCGCCAAGACACTTTCCTCCTCACTTACTTCTTGTTTTGATGTATTAACTTCCCTGTCGCTTCTTTCATTTCATAATTATTATGAGTAATACGTTGCCTCTGTTTTTACGACTGATTCAACGCATTATTTTCTCCCGTTTTTGTGACCGTCTGTGTTTTTTGTTTCCTGACGTGTCATCCGGATGCTTAGTCGGAGCGGGGAGGCGGCGGCGGGGACGGCCAGGGCCCAGGAGCTAGAGGACAGGCTGACGGCGGCTAGGGAGGACACCTCTCGTCTCCTGCTCGCCATCACCACACTGGCGCAGGTAGGTCACTACCTTCTACTGTACTCCAGCTGCTTACCTGCTAAATCATTCCCTCTTCTGTCCTGCTACCGAACTTTTTTACTCGCGTCTTGATTTATTGCACTGTTGTCTCCAGCAGTGGCTAGTTTATCATGCATGCACAGCTCCTGTTGTTTAATACAAATATTATCATCATGTTTACATTCAATATGGCCAAGTACTGTAGTGTGACTTCGTTTTCCTTTAGATTATCTTCCCTCTCCTAAAGTGACAGCATCACACAAAGATATATAGCTTCTTTCTTCTCTCAAGTTACGCCACTTCTCTCTTTAGCGGATATAAAAGTTGAGTCATTCATTACACCTGTTGCAGCTTTTATATATATGTGTATAATATTTAATTATTATAGTGGGTCAAAACGAGCTGCAGACTTGTTCAACATCTGATTATTGCATTTGCTGAATTAAACCAGCAGAATTTGCAGAGTCGAACTTCAGTTGCTGGACCCCACAAGTCTAACTTTTGTGTGCATGTGTAGATATTTCCCTTAAATGATTAAGAATAAGTTAAGACTACACAGTAATGTTGCAGGGCTCTGGTCGGGGCGTGGAGGCGGACACTACTGACGATGTTAAGAGCGAGCGGCTGGCAGCCGGGCAGCAGCTGGGCGCCGCCATCACCGCCATACAGGCCCGCCATGGTCAGTCCACAACGCCCATTCACTCTCCCTCCTCCCTCAGAACCTCACAGCTACGGTGCTATCACACCTTAGGAACCTCAGGAGCTATCACTCCTACAATCTTGCCTCGCATGTTCCCATGTTCTACAAGCTCTGTGTTCCCACTGAGTCAGTCTGCCTCATATAATATTCATCACTACCTCCCCACCGCCACCATGAGTCAGCTACTCATGAAATATTCACCATTATCATCAGATACGATCATCCACTCCACATCGTATATATGGTACTAGTTTTAAACTGGATAGCTTATATATAGTTTCAACTTGGTAGACTATACATTGTTTTTCAACTGGATAGGCTGTATATAGTTTTGAATGAATAGATAATACACAGTCTTGATTAGGTTAGCCAGAGGCAAATACATGGTTCAGCCTAGTCGAGTGGTATATTAGATTTAAAATCAGTCGCTTGGGTATACATTAATATTGCATACATTAAACTTATTCAATTTCTATTATAATAACATCTTGAATAAGATAAGTTAGTTAAATTTTTTTATATTAAAGTTCTTTAAACCAAGATCATAAATAAGACAGTTTAACTATACTCTATGCCTGAAATAATCTAAGAACTGCAATATTTTAATTCTTGACTTCGAGGCCAACCAGGGGCTCGACGTTGGCCAAATCAATACTTCGATCAGCGTCGATCGAAGTCAGTTATTGTACACATGATCTATCGTGGTTTATCAAAGATCCACTGTGATATTGTAATAGACGTTTGGACCAGTTACTACGGAGCCGTTCTAATTTCATTTCAATAGATAACTCAACCCGTCCTCCTAATACAACGTCACATTTTGACGTATACTCTACCTAAGGCCAAAAATTGTTGTACTAGAAAATGGTAGCGACTCGCAAAATTATCATACTCTCTCGTTTTCTGTTTTGGATCCTTTGGTAGGTCCTCTGGTATAAGGGCACTTTAGTACGACAATTTTTTGACGTTAGTACAACAGTTTCCGGACGTTGAGAAACCTTAGGACGGGGTGGACTGAGCCAGATTGATAACATTCCCATCAAACTGGCTCTCGACTAACAATACAATAATACTAACAACAATAATAATAATCATAACAACACCAACAACAACAGGCAGACCACACGTACTAGCCAGGTCCCGGTGCGTGTGAAAGATACAGATCACAACAAGACCCATTACAAAATTTTTTATTGGTGTGAATCATGAGGGAGGGGCGGCATTAGACAAGTGTTCTGGTAAGTGTCTGCAAGCTCCACCACCACCCTCCTCCTCCTTCTCATACATGTTGCTGGTACTCCACCCTCCACACCTGAACTCAACACATGTTAGTTACTGGTCCTCCACCCTTCACACCTGAACCCCACACACATGTCTATTGTCCCAGAGAACTGTGTATGTGGTGATCATGTCTCTCCTGTTTCTTCTCTCTTCCAGTGACGTAGCTGATCACATGAGTGAAGACTTGCTAAACAATTTTAAATTATTATTTGTGCGCTTGCTTTTAAACAAATTATTGCAAAGAAATACTACCGTCATTAGATATAGAATATGTAATGAAAGTATTGTTGGCCCAGAGTCAGAGGTGAGGTCCCTGAGGGACGCGGCCCAGCAGCAAAGTGAAGCGATGGACCGACTCCGAGAAGAGGTGGCCAGCATGAGACAACAGCTGGCCTCTGACAACGAAAGCTATAGGTAAGATGACTTCCAAGCACCCTATCAATATTCCGCAGCTCACCCTACCATCGCAAATACCCACAAAACCCACCCTCATCTCCCAGATACACCTTAAGATACTCCACCCTTCCCTCCCATTTGCCAAGGGGTATACATTAAGCTAGGTGTTTAATAATTCAACCAACATAATTCGATATTATGTTGGCTGGGATATGTCTGAGATACAGACAACTCTCAAAATTCGAATGTAATTGTAGTGTCCTGTATTGACTGATCTCCAAGCCCTCGGGGTTAGGTGTATCCAACTATGATAAAGACTTACTCGAGCCGTGTATATTTTTACAGGCTCATTCATGCCCGTGTCACCTCTTGGGGTGGCTTAATCTTTATCAATCAATCAGCGTATATTACCCACTAAAGTCCGTATCCCTTTATATCCCTCAATGACAGTGAACAATCTTTACGTGCTAATCTTTGTTACAACTTTTATTGTTATTATTCTCATTATATATTAAACAGCAACATATAATGAGCAAAATAGAAGCATTAACACACGACAAATAGTTCAAGAATATACTAAATGTACTCAAGTATTTACATTTCCTATTTCACTTCTAAGAAGTATTTGTAAATATATACTGTATAAATAATATATATTCACAACTAAGAAGAGGATGGGTGAGTGCTTTATTTAAATCTGGCGGTGGACCGGTGTTGCGCACAGGAAAACGCGCGCGCAGCAGGAAGAAGACGCGGCCCGAGTCCTGGAGGAGTTGCAGCGGGCGCGGCAACAGGTCTTTGTGTCGCAGGAGCAGGCGCGGGTCCAGGGCGCCCTCTACCAGCGAGCCCTGGACCAACTCAAACAGTCCCAGGACAAGACGACGCGGGCTGAGCACCAGGTACGTCCGGAAGACGCCAGTAATGTTATGTTGTTGCAGGACTCGTCTGGAGGAGGTGGGTCGGGGCCTGGCCGTTGTCCTCACCACTACTACTGCTGCTGCTGCTGCTGCCTCGTCACGCAGCCAAGACTCCTTACAAGCTCCGGGGCGCATGTCCACGTATGATAGTGGCCTGCCCACCACACCTGCAGCTCCAGACGACCCCATACCTGCAGCTCCAGACTGCACCACACCTACAGCTCCAGACGACCCTACACCTGCAGCTCCAGAAGCTCCAGACTGCACCACACCTGCAGCTCCAGACGACCCTACACCTGCAGCTCCAGACGACGCCACACCTGCAGCTCCAGACGACCCCACACCTGCAGCTCCAGACGACCCTACACCTGCAGCTCCAGACGACGCCACACCTGCAGCTCCAGACGACCCCACACCTGCAGCTCCAGACGACCCCACAGCTGCAGCTCCAGACGACCCCACAGCTGCAGCTCCAGACGACCCCACATCTGCAACTCCAGACGACCCCACACCTGCAGCTCCAAACGATCCCACACCTACAGCTCCAGACGACCCCACACCTGCAGCTCCAGACGACCCCACACCTGCAGCTCCAAACGATCCCACACCTACAGCTCCAGACGATCCTACACCTGCAGCTCCAGACGACCCCACAGCTACAGCTCCAGACAACGCCACACCTGCAGCTCCAGACGACCCCACACCTGCAGCTCCAGACGACCCCACACCTGCAGCTCCAGACGCCACAGATGCTAACGCCAGTAACACCACCGTTCACCACACACCTGCACCCATACCCAACACACTCACCAATAGCGACGTAGCGGAGACAGAGGAAACCAATGACCAACAAGGACTGACAACTGATCCAAAGGAAATCATGGAAGTCCAACAAGTAGATATAAAGAACAAGAATGGAGAGAGGAGCACTAGCAGCGACGAAAAGAGGGAGAGAACAGACAGACAGGCAAAGAGTGTAGGGAAGAACGGGGAAATGGAAGACAGGACAGAAGGAGCAGTAAACAATGTGGGACATTCAAACAACAAAGAAACAGATCAAACAGGTCAGTCAAATAACACTGAAGTCGAACTGCAAGTTAATAAAACAGAAGAAACAGAAGGAAGTATGAACACAACAGAAGAAAAGGACGAATGTACAAACGCAAATGAAGGAGACAAAGAGACAAGTATGAAAGAGGAAGAGACGCCAGCCACAGGGGTCCCGACCAGTACACAGGACGAGTGTGGGTCTGGCCAAGAGGACGGAGAAGGTATTACTGAAGACCCGCAGCAGAGAGAGGCCGATGGCGCCAAAGTGGACGGTCTTGCAGGCCAGGAAGAGGGTAAGACGGAGTGTGGTAACTGTGAGACGTTGATGATGCTCTTAGAGTTTGTTGGAGGCGCTGTCGAGGGGCTGCAAGAGGACCTTGAGAAACAGGGGTCGCGGCTGGGAAGACTGATACAGCGCCACAGTTCACAGTGTGAAAACTGCCTCAAGTACCAGTTAGTTATATGGGCAACCTACAACAAACTTAACAGTGTTGACAAATATACTCACTTGTTGGGGGACAGGATTGATGCGCTCACTCGCAGGTGGGCTGTTGCAGGCCATTACCAATTCTCCACGTACAGATTAGGCTTAGCTAACTGTAGTAGCATGCACTAGTATCTCCATGATTGTATTTGTATGCACCGGAGTTAGAATTTAGACTAGTTTTTAGCTTTAGTACACCATCTGATAGCATGCTAAAAGCAGATTAGTCCATTTTTATATTGTAATATCAATATTTGTGTTAAAAAATATAACAGTTGTTCTTAAATATTCTTGTTATGCTATTTGATAATGACGAGTTGCTCATTATTTTTCTCTTGATACTGGGTTACTTTGAGCTAATAACAGGGATGAGTTTTGATATATACGATGCCATATTAACTGTAGTAAAGGGTGTACTCATACATACCATTGTTTTTCTTGCTTCAGAGTTCTAAGTATTTAGAGCTGGCAGAGGCTGTCACCCGTGAGCGGGACGCCCTCCGTCGGGAGATGACCTACCTGCGACGGGTGGCTGCGACCTGTGATCCCGCTTGCACGGTGAAGTGCGCCTCTGGTGTACCAACGGACCACGACACCTCGTCGCCGTCAGGCGCCGCCCCAGCAGGAGCTCCAGAGGATCACAGGGACCAGGGACCAAATCACTTGGCAGAGGAGCACGGCCCAGGACACGGTCAAACCACACCAGCTCTCCTCGCCAGCGACGCCGTCTTCAGAGATGTGACTGTCGCCCCGGGCCTCACACTCCTTCACTTGTATCAATAACCTATCGTTTGTTTCAATGTGATCTTCCAATTGGACCAGTAGCTAACATATATCTTATGGTATTCCGTGTTTAATGTTATGCAGACAAAGGCTGGCAGCCAAGTCTATGTAGAGACACTGCTGGCATTCTTTCAGAAGAGAGTATGCACGAGCCATCTGGCTACCTCAAAACTGATTTTCTCTACAAGGACTCACAGCTTGTCTGGAGAACAACAAATAACGAATTACAAAATGCTAGTTCAGCACTAGATTTTGTATATTCACATACTAAGACCACAACACTAGCTGTGTTCAAAGTGGTTATATCTACAACTTGGTGCATCTTAACAACTTTAAATTGTCCAACTTTTGTTTTTTGTGTGTACGAAGTTCATCTTGTTAACTGACAAATAAATGGAGTGCGAACAGAAGTTATCAATATGAATGGATTTATAACATGTTTGTACGATAAAGGGAGTTTGAGCAAGGAAATAATTTACAAATTCCAAGATTTTATGCTTAAGGAACTTCACCACAGACAGATTATTATGCATATTAATGCAGATGATTTGTTATGTAACTTAATATTTTAACTACTGTATTTTCAAACTCCTTCGTGTATTTTTTCGCATGTACAAAAACGATCAAACTTATATGTAAGTATTTCAAAATAAATGTGTGATAATACTTGTCTTTATATATTCAGAGTTTAGTATTTCTAAGTGATAATATCAAAGATGAGAGTAGACTTCATAGATAAATTTGGACTGTGTTTACATAATCAGACAGGCTACAGCCGCTACACAATAACCAATGGACCAACGCAAATACCAGACAAATTTGTATAAATATATATGTTGCTAAGCAGGAAATCATAAAAAACATACATAAATGTATTCAGCAAGGTTACACAATTCTGATCGGTTAGTAACAAGTTCCTGACATTTGAATACTTTACGCTAGGCTGGGAGGCCAGAATTAAGAGCCAACGCCACTATTTGTTGGATGGAAGGAAAATAATATACAGGTATTTAGAAATTCCCAAAAATAAATGGAAGAATACGAATAATATGACTATTCCCTGGATCAAGAATGGGGTAACGAAGTCTACCACAGAGAATGGGTGTGGAAAACTACTGCCATCCACAGGATAAGTATAAAGTGCATAATAAAAAGTCAACCAAAGAAGAACGCGAGTCAGTAATACAGGATACAGGTGGAAATAGTAAAACACAGTGACCCTGGAGTGACTCGAACACCCAGCCTTCTGATCTGGAGTCAGACGCGCTACCATTGCGCCACAGGGCCGTGGTAAGTTGTCCTAAACTCCACCCTCTCAACCCCTCACTTTGGCTCGCGGCACGTGCTTTCCTCATCTTTTTTATACATAACAGAACAAAAGGGGTTATTTGATTACTAATCTTGATGACGAAATGGTAAACCAATATTTGTGTAAGCCTCTAACATAGCGTTTCGGTCATGTACAAAGCCAGCAATGATAAATAATTGATTGAGTACGTACATGGAGCTATTAGCTCTTGGATCTCGCCTTTCTAGCCAATCTATTTTTTTCCTCTATTATGTCTACTACATATAACACACACACACACACACATACACACATCCCTAGGAAGCAGCCCGTATAGCAACTGCCTAACTCCCAGATACCTATTTACGACTAAGTGAATAGGAGCATCAGGTGAACGAAACTCGGCAATGGGTCTAGTTTAATAATAATATTACAATATTCCTATATAATTATATAATATCTTAATACTGTTAAGAAAAACAAATAGTCTACATACAAACTGTTTGACTTGTCTATATACATAAATGCACAGTCAACATAAATGTATATAGTCAATATACATAGATGTATATAAGTCTATAAACGTAAATATTTGAGACTGTCAATGCTGTGTTCTCAAAAACTATCACGCCCGAACAGGGACTCGAACCCTGGACCGTTAGGTTAAAAGCCTAACGCTCTACCGACTGAGCTATCCGGGCTTGGGAGCACACCACACGAGCTAGGTATATCAGTCACACGGCTACACGCTCAATACTTGCAACCCAGCATCTAATTTAATATTACAGTATTATAAGTTTGATTTATAGTCCAGTAGTGTAACTGTCGGTGCTTCTTGATGTATTGATCAGTCTTACCTCGTGACCTTGAGCCAGGCCTAGCGCAGGCTCCTCTTGTCTCACGCAGGTGAATGTCTTGCAAGGATGTATAGGAACTGTCAGTGGAGGGTGTATATCGGAGTAGTGGAAGGTTTATATAGTAGGGGAGGTGTATATAGTAGGGGGTGGTGTATATAGTAGTGGGAGGTGTATATAGTAGGGGGAGTGTATATAGTAGTGGGAGGTGTATATAGTAGGGGGAGTGTATATAGTAGTGGGAGGTGTATATAGTAGGGGGAGTGTATATAGTAGTGGGAGGTGTATATAGTAGGGGGAGTGTATATAGTAGTGGGAGGTGTATATAGGCGTAGTGGAGGGGGTGTTGATGGTGCTTAACTTGAGAGTGAGGGGTAGCGGTCCATATGTTAATTACGGTGGTAGTGGTCCACTGGGGTAATGGACTGGTAGAGTCGTCTACCAGTTGTGGTCCTCGAGGGGTAAGGGAGGTGGTAGTAGTGGTTGCTAATTGAGGGGCAAGGGTGGCGGTACTCCTTGAAAGTGACGATGGTGGTTCTCGAGGGTGAGCTAGGGAGTTTTTTAGTGTAGTTCATTTATTATGTACCCCATACCCATCTTGTAGGGTGTAGTGGAAAGGGTTACAGAGGCATATAATGGGCTCAGGGGCTGAACCCCACAATTCGTTTAGCTAAGCAAGTTACAATCTTGATGAGCTAGTTACAAAATTCAATATAATGACTTACCTGAATAAATATTTGAATTTGAATTTGAATAAGTCGTCACATCAACAATGGGTTCGAGATCGACCACAAGTACAGTTTCTAAATTAAGCAACTGACATGTGGAGAGCTAGTGCCACAATTGATATGTTTCTCCTGCACACCGCCTCCCATCCAGTGGGCAGCGGTGGTTAAGATACAATCACTTAGTTACTACCTACTAGGGAAGGGTGGGGGGGGGGGTCCTTAGTAGTTGTTCTTATGGTAAGGGTGATGATGGTGTGGTAGGTGGCCCTTGAGGGTGAGATGGTCCTTGGTGGTCCTTGGGGGTGTGGGGTTTGGTGGTCCTTGGGGGTGTGGGGTTTGGTGGTTCTTGAGGGGTGTAGGAGATGGAGGTGGTGGACCTTGAGGGGTGTGGAAGGAAGAGGTGGTGAGCCTTGAGGGGTGTAGGAGATGGTGGTCCTTGAGGGGTGTAGGAGATGGTGGTCCTTGAGGGGCGTAGGAGATGGTGGTCCTTGAGGGGTGTGGGAGGTGGAGGTGGTGAACCTTGAGAGGTGTAGGAGGTGGAGGTGGTGGACCTTGAGGGGTGTGGAAGGAAGAGGTAGTGAGCCTTGAGGGGTGGAAGAGGTAGTGAGCCTTGAGGGGTGTGGAAGGAAGAGGTGGTGGACCTTGAGGGGTGTGGAAGAGGTGGTGGACCTTGAGGGGTGTGGAAGAGGTGGTGGGCCTTGAGGGGAGGTGGGTGAGCCTTGAGGGGTGTGGAAGAGGTGGTGGGCCTTGAGGGGTGTGGAAGAGGTGGTGGGCCTTGAGGGGTGTGGAAGGAAGAGGTGGTGAGCCTTGAGGGGTGTGGAAGAGGTGGTGGGCCTTGAGGGGTGTGGAAGGAAGAGGTGGTGAGCCTTGAGGGGTGTGGAAGGAAGAGGTGGTGAGCCTTGAGGGGTGTGGAAGGAAGAGGTGGTGAGCCTTGAGGGGTGTGGAAGGAAGAGGTGGTGGGCCTTAAGGGGAGATGGAGGTGGTGACCCTTGAGGGGTGTAGGAGATGGAAGTGAACCTTGAGTGAGTGTGGAAGGTGGTGGTACTATAATAGAGTGATGGTGGTCTTTGAGGGCGTGGAAGATGGCGGTCGTAATCCTTGAAGGTGTTGGAGGTTGTCCTTGAGGGGTAGTACTGGTCCAGGAGGGAGAGGGTGGTGGTGGTAGTCGTCTGTGAATGAACTCTTGTGTCTTCCCGCCTCGCCTCCCTCACAGGGCTCCCTCACTCACTCTCTACCCCAAAATATCAGGAATAATTAGCACTTACTTACTGCACTCTACCATCATGCTAGACACAAACTATGCTCTCATATATTTGGTGTACATAACAAAAGTAATTATACTATAAGCAAAATATTAAAATGTCATTAAAACTAAATTATTTTATTAGGTAGCTATTGTTGTAGGGTAAGTTATATATATATATATATATATATTACATCGTACACAAGACAATTCGCTAGTTTGTAATTGTTAAAATCGTTACTGGGGTGAAATATTAATTTTATCTTGATAACTTAACTCGTGTAAAGTTTCATAAGATTTAGATATATATGAATGCTTATGAACATGATCAATATAATTCAGGAAGTGAATATTTCGAAGTTACATACAAAAATTCCCAAACATACCAGTAATAAAATAATTTGAAATTACTAGAGGGTATATATTTAGAATTCTGGAATAAAGCGTGAGATAGTGAGAGAGGTGTAGAGTGAGGTAGTGAGTGAGGGGTGTTAAATTACTATATAATTATATAATATTATACTGTAAAATTATTATGTTATGTCTCCTCACAATCCCAATGTACCTTCTTGTATATATATAAATAAAAAATAAATAAAATAGGTGATCAACCTGTTGCGGGATGAGGGGTGAGGTGTGAGTGTCAGCTGTGTGCTGTAAACAAACCCCATCAGGTGTGGCGGGGGTCGTGATGACCTGACCTGCCTCTACCAGGTCAGTTATCATCCTGGTCACCCTGGGGTGCCTCTCACCTTAATCCAGGGCCACTCACTTCACCCCAGGGCCACACCACCGGGGCCACGGAGGCTCAACTAGGCCTTTGGAGCAAGCTGGCCAGCCCTCAGCCACCCCCCCATATCTGCCTTACATTTATATGCTTCAAATTATATAGTTTCTTGTGTTAATGTAAACTAGCCTAGGTAGGGCTGTAATAGACAAACTACATTGATAGCCAAATGTGCTCTTATAGGCCTAGTTCATACTAGGCCTATAGTAACTTAGTAATGACTTTGTACAATGACCAGTCATGTCTTAACTTTTTCCTAGGATCGACTGTCGGTGCATTAGGCTAAGGACCCACATATTAAATGGTCGTGCCGGTGTTCTGGGCGGAGCACCCACAAAGGGTTGTCGGTACAATAAGCCGAGAATTGGTGACCCGTTATGTTTTTGAAGATCCTTTGCAGTTCGCTTGAACCTTCATTGAAAATCTTATTGAAATTCACTCGTGGAATATTATCTTTTGTAGTGGTTGCATTATGTTTTGTAGGAAACCTTAGAAAAAAATGAAGTTATATAAATAAATTTTTATGCAAAAATATAATACATAGATGTTTATGAGTATTTTGCTGGGTTAGGAACTTTGAATGTAGTACAGCCTTATATTCCATGGGCACTCCATCATGTCATGTCTACTTAACGTAAAGCTGTTACATCAGCCAAAGCTGTTAATGCCAAGAGAGTACTGCAGTTAACAATCTAGTTGGAAAAATCCTCAGAAAAAATGGGGGGGTCTTTAATTAGCCGCCAACTTCCTGTCCCCATTTAGGCCACTAGATGTATGATAGCCCTTGGGTAAATCTTGGAAATGAATCGATTGTTATGATAATGAAATTTGGCAATTTCTGATTGTGGATAGGTAGTAATATTGGGCTTTACAATGTTTGTATGCCAGGCATGGGATCGAGTCTGAGTGAAAGCATACAAAGTGGGGACTATTTATATAAAAAAGCAAAAGGACTAAGGTATATGAGAGTGAAATATACTGTACAGGTACTTTAGTTTAGCTCACTGATTCTTAGTGTTCTTTTGACAGCTCTCGTAATGCCCCTGAGGAATTTCTTCCGGGGCAGAAGTGCCAAGTCTTTTCCTGTAAAGATTGTAACACTCGATGCTGAACTGGAATTTAACTTGCCCTGGCGGGCAAATGGGCGCGACTTGTTTGACCTGGTGGGGCGTACTATTGGCCTTAGGGAAACATGGTATTTTGGTCTCCAGTATGAAGACTCAAAAGGTGACTTTGCTTGGCTCAAAATGGAAAGAAAGGTGAGAAGATATTTATTTTTATTATTGATATGATTGTTTTATTATTACTGTATTATTATTATTATTATTACAGTATTATTATTATTTTATAATTATTATTATATAATTATTATTATATAATTATTTTATTATTGATATTATTTATTATTATATTATTCATATTTTAGTTATAAGTTATAATGACCATTATAATTATTATTACGGTCATTATAATTAATATAATTATTGTTTAAATACTAACATCATTATTATATGCTGTAATTATTATTCTGTAGGTGTGGAGAGAGAGCACATGTAGACATACTGTATATTGTTTCAATGTTGTTTAAAGGCTTTTTATTTATTCGTTAAACTTGGTATATGTTAAAGCCATTTCATGTTTTCAGGCTTTATTTTTTGTGTATGGACAATAAGATAAGTAAAGACGTTGAAAAATTCATATTCACTTTTAATAATTTAAAGCACAATAATGCTGAAGAATTGTCATTTCCAGATGCAATATGTTTGCCTTTTATAATATTTTCAGAATTCATGTCTATTTTCAACGATAGGGACTTGAAACATTAACAAATTCTTGAATAACACCTTGAGCAAACATTTCTAAGCTTGTGTGGTTTGTGAGTGTGTGAACGCTGTTGTTTATCAGGTCCAGGACCAGGATATTCCTCGCCGCTCTCCCGTACCATTTGTATTTCTGGCTAAATTCTACCCGGAGGATGTGAGCGAGGAACTTGTGCAAGAGGTCACTCAACATCTTTTCTTCCTTCAGGTAACAAATATAATTTTGTGTCCACTTAATGGTGAACTGGGGGCTTTAAAGTGTTAATGCTGTAATTTTGTGTTAGGTATTAGTTGCAATATTAATACTTGCATTAAATTTCTCAAATCTTTTTGTTCACCAGCTTGAGAACTAAGTCAATTTCTGTAAAGACATCTAAACCTTTAATATTTGTTATGGTTGAATATTATTTGTTGTTTTAAAGATCCAGGTAGATAGCTTTTAAGCAAAAGTGCCAGCTGCTTTTTCCAAGATTAAAGTGCATTGGATGGCTTCTTCACGTACCGAATACTGGAGAAGGCAATCACAACAATAAAAGTCTAGTTATTTTACTTAAAGCCTAAAATAACAAAAATGACAGAATACCAAATTTAATGTAGAAAATTCTGAAGGGCTATATAACTGTTAAATCTGGAGAACTGTAGTTCAGGATATTGTTCAGTTTGTTGCACTGAGAAATGTCCACAGAAGAATCAGTGGCAGGAGGAAGACAATTTTATGTTGTGGGCTTCTGGGTAACTTGAGCACTATACATTATCTAGTACTTAAGACGTAGATACAGTATTTGTAAATATTTTTGAGTGCCTGTATTTTATTAGCCATGCTGTGGACTGCCATTTTATACATATAAAATTTCAGTAATATGGTTAAATTGCTAATTTGTTGCTAAAATTTGTTGTTTATTTTTTGTTTTTACAGGTTAAGCAATCCATCTTGAATATGGACATATACTGTCCCCCAGAGATGTCAGTATTATTAGCATCATATGCAGTTCAAGCTAAATTTGGTGATTATGACCCAAGCAGTTACCAGACCGGTGCACTCTCCATGGAGGAGCTGCTGCCCCAGCGGGTCATCAAGTGAGTTGCTCAGTACCTGTCTCAGTGCAAGTGGTGTTCATTGCCTCACTGTTGGGTGTACTTGTGCGAAAATCAATAGAGTACAGTAGTTAACTGCTGCGCATGGTGCAGGGGGTTGCAAGTGTACGTGAAGACTATTGCATGGTATTAGTTTTAGCTGTGGCTTCTTGCGGTTTTTGACAAAAAAAGCAAATTAAAAATAAACGTGATTTTAGTTATGAGAGAAAATTTATTTTGTTATTTTTATAATTTTATGAAATTAATTACCCCCTGAAAGGGTAGAGTTTTCACCTTTTTTTTCATCTTAAACTTGCTGTATCCATGTGATATCCGAAGAGTACTATGACACTGGATTGATACTTTTAACCCCTGCACTGCACACCTGTTTCAAGTGACAACTTCATGGTGCAGTTGTCAATGAATTAGTAACATTGAAAGTTTTTGAAAATGTGAAAAGTTTCAAAATATTAGTAAGTTCAAAAATTGTAATTTAAAATCACAGAAAGTTAACAAACTAAAAAAAAAATACTGATATTGCTAAATTCCAAAAAATGTTGCCCACCCATCAAGCACCTTAATATGCTATACACAATGCAGGGGTTATATGAAGGCGTAAGACGCTCTGTTGTTATTTGGTAACCCTGGTGGTTACCTGGTGGCAGATTTTAAATGTTTTAATATCAGTGGGAGGGGGAATGGGGAGGTAGAGATCTTGAGCAGTATCTAAAATACCAGTATAAATAACAAGTAGCATTTTCGATATTTGTGCATACGTGCCGTGATGACTGGATAATCCCGATAGAAGAGGGGAGGTGCAGCCTTGGAATTTAATAACAAAGTATAGAAACACTAGTGACTGCTAAAAGCAATATTATGTATTAAAAGTAGCAAATAGCTATTGTTCTGTTTGAGCTTATGTATTATCATTTGTCCCAGTGAGTGTAATGTATTATGGGTTTTGTAGCATTGTACATAGGGTCTTAATTTTAGAGGAAGAATTTGTTGACTGGACTAACTATTCACCTCGTCTAAATTACAGTCAGTATCAGATGACGGCCGAGATGTGGGAGGAGCGCATCCGAATTTGGTATGCTGACCACCAAGGAATGACGAGAGATGAAGCTGAAATGGAGTACCTCAAAATTGCACAAGATCTGGGCATGTATGGTGTCAACTACTTCAATATCACCAACAAAAAACAAACAGAACTATGGCTTGGTATGTCACTTGAAGATTTATATCTACAGTATTTTCTTCTTATAGTCTTTGTAAAAAGTAATGGTATATTTATTTGTAAAGTACTGAACCAGATAAAACAGGTATCAAAAGAATACATAAATATTCAGACTTATTCTAAATGTTATCTCTGCCAACAGGTGTAACTGCACTTGGGCTTAATGTTTATGAAAGTGAAAACAAGTTGGAACCAAAGATCAGCTTCCCATGGTCTGAAATACGTAACATTAGTGTTGATGACAAGAAATTCACTATCCGTCCCACAGACAAGACTGCTCCTAATTTTGTGTTTTTTTCCAAAAATAGTCGTATGAACAAACTTATCTTAGACCTCAGTATAGGTAATCATGATTTGTTCAAAAGAAGAAGAAAACCTGACACAATCGAGGTACAACAAATGAAAGCTGCTGCCAGGGAAGAGAAGCTTCGCAGACAGGTCAGCTGTTTATATATAGTTTATTAATTGAGAGTGATTATTGTTGCTTACAAACCAAGATATAGATGTCTTTTGGATTAACTAAAGAACTAGTATTCAAATAATAATAGACTAGTACTGTATTCAAATAATAATCTCTATATAACTACAAAATAAGGAATAATGTCCCTTAATTAAAGAACTTAAGGAACATTATTCCTTATTTTGTAGTTATATAGAGATTATTATTTGAATACTAGTCAATTTAGTATATCAGTAATATTATGTTTCAGCCACCATTATCAGAATTAATATTACAATACTGTATAATATAAACAATTACCATTTAAATTTAGTTTATATATAAATACTATTTGGCCTGTATCATATTATATACCTTGATTTATATTGAATATTGGTGTAACTTATATATATATATATATATCTTTCCAATAAACCAAAGTGTAGAGAGGTTTGTCATTTTTAATGTGAACGAACTGTTTTCTTGGAGCTAGATAAGATAAGACGCATTTCCATTAATATTATTATTTAGCCTGTCTCTGGTGATAACAGTTGTTCTGCCACTTTCAATTATACACTAAGAACATGCACATTAACTGACTGATCACATCAAACCTGTTTCTGAATATTCTTCTGCTCTTGGTAGACTGATAGTGAGAAAATGTATTCTGTAATGTACTGATGACACTGGCTCCCTCAAGACTGCCTGTCCCATCTGTATTCATCTTGGATATAATCCCTTTATCCTCACCCTTTCCTATATGCTTTCATCTTGATATGTCCGACCACTTGGACTGGTCGGTCCAGCAACATACACACTTTATGCAGGTTAGCATTCAACTCCCAACAGTCCAATGTGTTAGGCATTATTCCTTCCCTCGCTCATTTTCCAGGTCTTATCCTCTGCTCATATACTTTCCATGTGCTCCATATGCCTACTGGCTTAGCAGTTTCACTGATTATTATTTATCTATCTTCTTGGTATAAAATAAACAAGCAGCTCCGAGGTGATTATGGCTCGAGCAACTATATCACTACAGGTAAATGCTCATTCAGTATAGTCTCTCATCTTCCACCCATCCTTTCCATATATATTTGTGTACTGTAGATCCACTCACAACACTCCACTATAAGAACAACTGACTACACAGTCATCTTTTATTTCAGATTGAAAAGGACAAATTAGCTCGTGAGAAACAGTTGAGAGAAGAAGTAGAAAGACAAAAGGCTGAGCTAGAGCAGCGATTACTTCAGTACCAAGAGGAAATGAGAGTGGCAAATGATGCACTACGAAGGTAAAAGTCTTTGTAAATATTTTAATGTATGAATATTAGACCATTACTTTCTGGGGAAGTAAATTTGCTAGTATCATATTGAGCACTTGTTAAATAGTACCTTGCGATGATTTCGGGGCTCAGCATTCCCGCTGCACGGTCCTCGACCAGGCCTCCTAAATGTAATGAATTGCTAAGCAAAATACCAGTAGTTTAGCCAGCAATCACTAGGATATTTTTAGTGACATAATAAATTAAGAAGACCAAAAATACATCAATTGATGACCACATGAGAAAGGAAAGGTTTCATATATTGCATTAAAAAAATAAAAGCAAATATACATAGAAGGGCTTTCCATCCTCCCATTAATTCCTACCATTAGTGATATCAGAACTGTAAGTTTATTTGACCATGTTTCAGACCCTAATTCATATTGATATTAAAATGCTCTTTTATCTTTATATTTTGAGAATCTGTAACATCAACTGTACTCTTTTCCAGATCTGAGGAGACAGCAGAGCTGCTTGTAGAGAAATCTCGCATTGCTGAGGAGGAAACAATGCTTCTAACACAGAAAGCCTCAGAGGCAGAGCAGGAGTGCCAGCGCGCACACATCATTTCAGCTAAAACTCAAGAAGAAAAAATGCTTATGGAACACAAGGTTAGTAAGTGTGATGTAAATTTATTGCTTGAATTACAAATGCAATTCAAGCAATAAATTGTCAAGGTACTGTTTACAATGTTCATTGTATACAATGAGCTCTGTATACAGTACCTTGAGAAAGGATATAGGTTACATCCAAAAATTTGGTTTTTAATACACTTAAATATAAATTGAATTTTTCTTTCACCTTCATTTAAGCACTACAGCATTGTAGCAAGTTTCTCCATTTTATATGATATATATAAATCAAAAGCAATAGCAAACTTTACAGAAATATGTTGCTGTAAAGTCTGGCTACATACTATCAGGCTCAACACTACAACATAGTTATGGACGTGCATATTGTGTATGTACTTGGTAGGAAGACAAAATCCATAGAAAATGTGAGGCACTAATAGAGTGGTGAATGTTTATAAGTGCTCTCCTTACTTTTTCAAACTATGAAATTAAGATTGTATTTCAATGCTTATGTGCTGTATGATTTGCAGTATGATCTTTAGTATTATTAAAATGTAATATGTTTATTATGCAACCAAGGTGCGAGAGGCAGAAATGCTGGTGTCAAAATTGGTCGACGAAGGAGAGAGGAGAGCTACAGAAGCCGATCGTCTTCAGCATGAACTAATCCGAGCCCGGATTGCTGAAAAACAGGCAAAGGAAAAGCTAACTGGTTTTATTCAAAGCTTTAATGCTTCCATTAGCCATTCAGCAGCCAACTCGACAATTCTTAATGCATCATTACTGAATGCATCCCTTCTGAACTCCTCCACTCCCCATCTTGCAACCACATCACTCTCCCACGGGTAATCTTCGAGCAGCATCCAATTGAATTTATTGCCTTCAGCTCATTTTGCTCTGAGGAAAAGTTAACTTTGATTTTGTCAGTGTATAGAATTTGTTTCATTAGTTACTAAATTTGTGTAATTTATTGTGTATCTCCAGTAGAGATATCTTTTGACTTTCACAGAATTAATACTGTATTTTATTTGTTTTGTTTTGCTGCAAATATCAAGCAACAGCCTTATTAATATTTAGCACCAAGCTCCAAATGTGTGTAGCGAGCCAGAATTCGGCTCAAATTAAATTTATGTACGTGACATAGAATGTTTTATATATACACTATAGAAAAATTTAAAGAGGTAAACCAGAAAACACATATAGCTACTCTAATGACTCTAATGACCAAAAAAATACAGATTTTAGTATATATTAATAGATGTTACACTAAACAGTAGCACTGCTGACATAAAAAAGTAAGGAAATTGTGTAGTACTGTACTGTATTTTATATCAATATATTGTATTTCTTTCCATACAGTTTGGTTATAGGCAGTAGCAATGATGTAGGTATTGGATCTACTGGGGACTTGCCTGATCTGACGTTAGGCGGCAGCACCGATGCACTGAGCTCATCATACGTTGGGCCGGAATTAACATCTTTAGACCTACTGAATGACACAGATGTGGAGCAGCTGAGCTTAGAAATTGAAAAAGAGAGAGGAGAATACCTGGAGAGGTCAAGACACCTGCAACAGCAACTGCGGCATCTAAAATCTGAAATTGAAGTAAGATTTGTGAAATATGGAATTGTTTGTAGAAAAGTTTGGGAAATAATATATTTAGACATAAAAATGCCAGAATGGAAAAAAGTCATCTTTACCATTTATTAAAAGTTACAGTACTACTACTATGTAATGTCAAATGTCAAAAAAATAAAATGTTTTCTCACTTTATTATGTTTGTGTTGTAAAATTACCTTATATTTCAGGTGTTGAAAGTGGAAGAAAATCAAACAGTTTTGGATGCTGTGTATCATGAGCAGCTACGGTCGGGAGAGACCAAATATTCCACTCTTCGTCGCACTCGCTCGGGCACCACCAGGACCAGAGTTGCATTCTTTGAGGAACTCTAGGGGGTGCTTTGTGTTATATTGGTATTTTTTATAAAGAGATAGAAACTGTACAAAAGAAGATTGGAACAAAACTAGAAAGTTTAATTGTCGTGAATTGGAATCCACGTACAGTACAGTATGTAAATTAAACATTACAGGGTCTGTGTATTGTACTGTATATGATTGACTTTCATGTTCCAATCTACTGCAAATATTTTTAAAGACTATTTCTAAATGTTTTCAGAATTAAACTCACAAGCTCATTATGTTTACTGAATTGCAAACACTATGTTATTGTAATAAAATAGCATTATCTTTTAAGATACGTATTGTGATTAGAAAATTGGTCTGTCAACTGAGGTTAGCGTTCTTTTACTCAATGACATTTTCTCCTGCTGACTGCTTATTTTTACCGTTTCCATAAAGTTATATTATGTGTGCATATAATAAATATGGTACACATTTGCTTTATAATTTATATATATATATATATATATTTATATATATATATATATATATATATACAGTATATAACGTGTGTAAATCACGAAAATTAACACGTGATGAAAAATGTGACAGTGTCAGACCACACAGAGGAAGAATTGAAACAGGAATTTCTGTAAGTACTTTTGCATATTAATACATCTTCAGAAGGAATGAATCCATGATCTGACATTGTCATATATGTAACATATTTATATTATATACTGTATATACAGTACATATATATAAAATGATGTATATTTATTGTACCCCCACACGTATGTTGAAGTACGTTTGAGACAATAAAATGCATCTCAAATGGATAGAGTAGCTTAGGCTATTTCTACACACTCATGTTTGTTTCTGTTCTTCCATTTGCTTCTCTAACTATTCCTGCTTCTTCCAGTTCCTCTTCAAGACTTAACTGTAACCCTCTTAGTATTGGACCTTGTGTACCTTTTACTCGTTTTAGTATTGTATGGTTGTGTAAAAAATAACACAATTTTTTTTATTCAAAATAATACACAAAATTTGTAACTACTGTAATATTTTATTCTTTGCAGTTTAATTTTTCCTTACATTATGCAAAGATAATTATTTTATAAAACTCTTTTTGCGAGTTAATTTTGTATCTAATTTCAAAAATGGATTTGATTAAAATAAAGTGACTGATACAAATTTTTGTACTATACATTAGTCATATTTAAAGTGTTTAGGGAAATGTAGTGCCTTGTTTATTGGTGCCAACTTATTGTTCACTAAAGTTAAAGGAGAAACTTGTTTTTTTTTTTTTAAGTTATAATTGACAGCAGAATTGCTAGATGTGAACTAGTCTTGATAATAGTAGTCCATGAGTTTCCATAGGCAGGTGCAGTCAATGATCAGTGCACAGATTGTCCAGAGATAGGTAAAACCTTTTTCATTGTACACTTCGGTTTAGGGCAGCTATTATCTGATCAGGATATTTTTCACGATTCATTACTATCCATTTTAGAAACAACAGTTGCAGTTTCCGGTATATTTCCTTTAATTTCTCATTCTAAAATGTCGTCTCATTGCAATTTTCACATAGGATTGGCCACTCTTGTTTTAATTATTTAGTGTCAAGCCAGAGGTAGGCTTTAAACTTGCTTGTCAGCAGTGAATTTTGCTTCAGTACAATGGCAACTTGCTTCAGTACAACTGCATTTTTCTTCAGTACAATGGCATCTTTCTTCAGTACAATGGCAGCTTTCCTTAGAAGATTGTTTTCCAAAAGTTGATAATCTTAGGAATACTAATTTTACCTATCATAAAAATAATGGATTCATGTGAAAGTGTAAAATGTTTCATATACTTGTAATGAAAGTCGAACAGGGTTTAAGAACTAGCTAATCACATATGGGTCTGAAGATGGGAACTCGCTTTTGATTCATGGAAAGGAATCGGACAAATATTTGTCTATTTCTAAAGTTTAGTATGTGGACAGCACGAGGGAACTGTAATATTTTTATTTTATTTTTCATTTATATATTGTTGAAGTGAATGCTAGAGATCTCAAAGGGGGTTCCCAAGGCATCTTATCTCTGATCCTTTAGCTATCCAAGTACCAGTAGCTTATGTAAAGATGTTATTTTTGTCAAGCCAGTTGTGCCTTTAGATTAGTTTTATGATAAATAATTATTAGGCAAATTGTGCTTAAACATCGTAATAATATGTAAGTAATATGTATATGGAATGCATTTTGTGTTGTAGTTATCAGAAGGTCAAGGCGGATAAAAAATTGTGTGTGTATGATTTGCAACCGGCCCTAAGTTCACACATACATACATACATATGTACACATATACGTATATATATTTAATGTAGATATGATAGAGCCCAGTAGGCTCAGGAATCTGTACACCAGTTGATTGACAGTTGAGAGGCAGGACCGAAGAGCCAGAGCTCAACCCCCGCAACCACAACTAGGTGAGTAGTTGTGCTTGAGGGGGTTGAGCTCTGACTTGAGCCCCCTCAAGCATGCACACACACACACACACACACACACAGACAGTAAGTACACACACACACTGGGTATATTTATTTATTTTATATGCTCCTTAAATTTTGCTTTCAAATTTCAGCAATACTGATATTACATGTTAAAATAACATCATGTTTTAAAAATGTAACTGCCAATCTACTAACCTAATTTTTTCTGGGCATACACCCAAAAGTACACACACACTATATTTTGTTGGCCTACGTGCAAAATATGTGCTTAATATCTCATTTGCCTCGCAAAGTTGCAGACTGGAACAGGGCATTTAATTTGTTAATGTACTAATGTATGTATTTTTGTGCTTATGCAGTACTGTACTGTACTATGTGCTCATTAGAATAGTTTTAATTCAGATAATTACATACTGTACAGTGAATCTGAATCATGTAGGTCCACCCCATTCGAGTTACCTCGATATCTTACCAGGCATGTTAAAAAATGAACAGCCATTTTCATCAAGTTCAATCACTCGCAGCTTTCATGGATAGCATAACTTTCACTTGACACCTCCACGTTGAGGTCTGGTGCTATCAGACATAGTCATAGAAAAAATTATGTAAGTTTGTATTAAAACAAAAAAAAATTAGGAAAGTAAATCTTTCAGTAATGGAGTGGTACGAGGTAGACTCACGTGAGGGAAGAACACTTAGCTGGGCAGGTTGAGAGGGTCAGGACCGGTTGACCCTGGGCACAATATGTACCCCTCGGCCACTTTTAGGATTGAATAAATATGGTATGGTCCTCGCTTCCTGTCAGCTGGTGGCCTTGAGCCCTTTAAAGGTGGAATAATGAGAATTGTAAAGGTTTGACTGTTGGCTTGCCAGAGACTTGAGACTGCTTGAAATCAGACTGTTACCATTTGACTGACAGTGACTGCCTGACTGAGAATACCTGCCTGCATGCTTCACAACAACAAAGGCAGGGGAATCGGTGAAGAAAAAGACATAAGAAAAACAAGTATAGAGACTTGCCAACAGCCAGTTATGGCAATCATTCTTTAAGGAAAATAGGAAAGGCACCTGCCTGTTGCCAACACACATTACATCAATGTATACATATGAATTTATTATAACTTTGGGAGTAAAGAGATTAAGTGCTTATACAGTAATTTAATTGGTACAGTATTGGTAACTCAAATTGCTATTAAACAGTCTAGAACTTGAATTCAAATTTATTCAAGTTTCTCATTCCATGTAACCTTCTTACCCAAATCTCTATTCAGGTTTAAAGGTTGAAAATTCAAACATTAATTCATTCAGATTGCTGTACTCAAGAGATTCGGATTACCAGAATCTCTGAGGTACCCTGTTGTTTTTTGAGAAATTCCTTGCTGCTCAGTGGAAAATGAAATAGTTCTCTGCTGATGGGGGAAGATGCTTTCAAAAAGATTGTATTTATATGGAATAAATGTTTAAAGAATGTATTTGTCAAAATTATGCATGCTGTGAATGAGGTTGTATCTATAGTGAGTTTTGATTATTGGATACATGGTTGTATCCATGTTCATTGGATAACAAGAACATGGTTTTAATCTTTGTTACTTTGGAGCCATCATGAAAATCTTTGTGTTAAGAGAAATATTAAGGCTCAGAGAAGTGTGCATCTTTATTGGTGTCCATCAAAAACAACAAATAACACTATTTAGTAAACAAAAATGGGATGTGATGTTATTGACATTAGCACTACTGCATAAATTTCTGCCAATTATATTTCTGTAATGATCAGCTTAAATTAATGTGTATGTTATAAAGTAGAAGCTTCCCATGTTATGCTTATACAGTACTTTCTTTGGAAAATTTGTATGCTTGTTAATTTATATAGCAGAAGGGTAATGGAAACAGGACAGGTATAAATTGAGAATCTTGGTAAATTAGAGGGTCCTAGTAGTACAGTCGGGTTCGTTTTCGATTCCCAGGAGGGACAGAAATGGTTGGGCACATTTCCTTTCACCTAATGCACATGTTCACCTAGCAGTAAGTAGGTACTCAGGAGTTAGTCAAGCCTGTTGTGGGGTTGCATCCTGGGTGGGGTCAGTAATTCAGCCTGGGGGGCGAGGGGGAAAAAAAAAAAGACCCTGATAAAAGCCTAATGTGTATAAACGCACTCGGGCTTCCTGTCCTCCGACACAACGAATTATAATTATTATTAAATATTCCTGTGGTAATTTAATGATCATTTATTGAAGGTTTGGATACATTTGTGCCAAAGAACTTGTGTTGGTTATAGTCGTACCTGTATCTTGACAAAGTGTGGTATGAGTACCGGCAGTTTATAAAGATTGTATTTTTTCTAAGTGTAGGATATGTTATGCAAATATGTAGACATATGGCCACATTAATAATCTACTCTCTTAATTTGTCTGCAAGGTCCAGTTTATATGGTGGAACGGCACAAGAGGTAAGTTGATTTTAAGATTGCTATGTTTATTCTTCCTAAATGCCAAAGTAGAGGATGTATGCTTGTATGTGATTAACATTTGTTTTTTTAAGTGTCCTTCCTTTGTTATAATTAGAACATTGCCCACCTACCCAAAGTATGAGGTCATATTAGATTTTTCTAATTACAAATCCAGCAACTAAATAATAAATGTGTAAAGAGATTGTTACACTAACTCGGTCTTAAATATTAGATGACAGTAAATGTGTATTTCTTATTCAGTTTGTTAATTTTTAATCTAATTGAACTGTTTTTTTGTTTTGTCATAGATGATATGTAAAAATGTCATAATATTGTGAGGGGCTGTATCCCAGATACAAACAATGGTTATGTGATAAGTGCGTGTGTAGAGAAGGATTTCTCTCTTTGTGGAACATGACGTGTTCTGTCACACCAGGTTTAGGGTTAGATTTGTTAAAAATTAGGTGTAGAAAATTTTCATAACTGAAATAGGGATGCTGAAGAAGGTAAAGATCTGAGTGGATTAATTTATTTACCATGGTTAAGTTTATGTATAAGTTAGATAGCTAATGTCCAACACCATCACTTCTTATAGGGCTGTTTAATTCTTATTTTCACTTTCTGAAATTTAGTAAAGTGCTATTTAAGATCAATTTTGATGTGGGCTTGGTTTGTTTGGCCGAATGTCCATCATCATTGTACAGCAGTGGTGCTTTGGTATATGTTGGCATTCCATCACTTCGTCTGTCACTGTTCATAACAGCCATACTAAGGTTCCTTGTACCAAAATCCAGGCTTTCTGTGATGTTCAGCAGAATACCTGGGGGTTGGCACAGTGGGCAAACTTACCTTGTAAATCTCCCCCTCTCCCCATCCTATAGTGCTTCCATGGGACACTGAGGCAAACTAATCTTATGCCTATAAATATCACTGTGCTGTTAAAAGCTTTATGGTATTTAGTTTTAAATGCTTTTAATTGTCCTTCCTCCTGATCGAATCATCAATAAGGCTGGCCTTTTGAAGCCTTGGCCTAATATTTACTGCTTAAACAAATTTAAGCTTGCTAGTATGACTGAATTTTAGAGAAGTATGCTGCATATTATGTTTGCTAATGTACATTCTTTGTAAGCATGTCCCAAAGAATGCTACTACAGTATGAAACTTTCCATTAAGTTAAAACTTAACTTTTATATATTCATCAAAACATTAAACAGACTAATAACTCACTGAATGCAGTCAAATATGTTGGGTATTGTTAAATGTGTGATCAAACTTGGCGTATTTCTAAATTCACACACGTGGTCATATATCCATTTTACTCTATTCTTGAGCCTTTGTTTGACAACATTGAAAATTGTCAGCAAGTTAAAGGGGAAAAGGAATTTTAATAATACTCAAGTATCGGGTCAATAGTGAGGAACCTGATTTATATGTGGATAGGTCACTGCTGTACCTATATATAATTAATATTCCTGTATTATTTTAATAATACCCACAAGATACATGAGCAACTCTCTGGTTGATGGTGCTCAACTGAAATGTATTGACTGTTTAAGAGTTCTTTGTTGATAGGTCACCTACACACTAATTGTATATCTGTATACTGTATAGAAGAATTCTAGTCAGTACATGTTTGTCATGAATGGTGACGATTTAATACCATATTTTGATGAAAAAAAAAGGCAAGTAATGTATGTCTTGTATGGTTAAGATGCATTAATATACAGTATACATTAAGAATTTTATTTTCACAATGTAATCATAAAAATACACATGAATTATTGTAACTCATGACTAGTACTTTTTTAATTTGACATCTTCCTAAATAATTAATATTAAACTGGGCACATTAGGATTTTTCTGAAAATTTTGTGATCAGATACTCAATAAATACTTAAGATATTTAGGCATTAAATATTAAATATTGGTAGATACTGTACTGTATTTCAGTTATATGTAAATTAATTTTTGTAAGTAGTTGCTGGATTTGTTAGGAAGTTGTGACTTGCATTAGAATTATTAAAGATCATGGTCACAACTAGCTTTTTATGTAGGGAGTAAGTGCTTTAAGAGGTAGAGAAATCATGTGCCTTTTTTTACTGGTACTCTACTGCCAAAGATGTGTATCACTTAGTGACTGATGCTGTTGATTTACTCAACTGATTAAGTCAGTTAAGGAGATGGAATTGCTTACATAATTTGTAAGAAATTTGTAAATAAAAAATAAAAAAAAATTTGTATGTTGTACTCTGTTCTTTAAAAATAGTCTCATGGATCTGGAAGAAAGAAAATTATATATTAGTAATAGTAGAGTAGCTGCTGGCCTGCCCCAAATTATATGAACATGCATATATGGAAAAATCCCAGGATATTCAAGGCCTTTCCCCAGCTATCAAATGATGTTACTTGCCTGTATTTTAAACACGTGAAAATTGGGGGCATTAGCTCTAAAACCCTATTTAAACTGTACAGTCACGTGCAGTCAAGACCAGGATGAAACCCGGTAAACTCTAGTGGAGGTCTATAACAATTCCCAATGAGCCAGACACAGTAGGTGCAGTGCCAGGCTCATTTGATGATCACCACCACAGCAGGTGGTGAAGTGCTGTAGTTTGTCAGTGGTTTCTGACTTGCTTCGAATGTTCATATTCATTTCTTGCATCTTGTACAGGTTGTGTGTGTGTACAATGCTATACTGGCAAAACAGTTACCCAAGGGTTATATCCTTCTTTCTTGGACTGCTTCATGGTGTAAGGGGAGGGGATAGAGTTGTGTGAACGTATACTTTGACAACTAAGAGGACAATTAATATGTAGATTGTGAAGCTTTATTCCAGCCAGGAAGAAGAAAAAGTAAGTACATTTCATCTTTCATGGGTAAGCTTTGTGGTATTGCTGGGCCACAGTTTCTCAATTTGTTTGACCTTCCATTTGTAAGTTGAGCAAACACTGACATAACTCAAAAATTAAAAAGTATTTGGTGCCAAAGGAACTAATTATCAATTGCTTCAAATCCTTTTCCCCTTGTTAATTATGTCAATTTTAGATGCATAAAAAATAAATATATTCCATTTCACTTTGCATGTTGGGTCCTCTTGGCTGTATCACACTAATTGATGAATTTACTTGTGTAGTGAGGCATAATTAAAATAAAATAATTTTGAAGTAATTATGAAGAGTACTAAGCCAGAGTATGCTACATAAAGATGAAAATATTCAAACGTCTTTGAAACTAAAGCCTCTATATACTACAGTATATTAAATAGCTCCAGACCATAAACCATTATAGCCAGATAAGCTCATTCCCATATTGCCTCCTTTGGACATACTTAAATTATGAATTGATAATGAAAGTTCTAATATTTTGAACGCTATTTATTTAATTGCAGTGAAGTACTTTCACCCTCGAGAGAGATCAGCAAAGAAAGTTGTCATTCAGTAGAAAATGAGACTTATTATATAAACATTCTTCCAAATTTAAAGGAAAGAAATTACTCAAACAACATACCATGTTGTGAATAGTGTATAGAGCAAGGAAATGACTAGACGCAGAGGGCCAGTCAAAGTGCTTTCAGTTGGTGAAGAATGTAAGTACCACAAGTAAACTGGAATGAAGAAAAGGCACAAGGAAATACATACACCAGCAGGAAGCCTCCATGAACTGTCTTGACACTGACAAGGAGGATCATGTCTCAAACACCTGACTGAGTAGGGATACAAGCAATGAAGTTATCACATGCTCCAACTCTCAAAAAATAAAATGCATTTCAAATAAAATTCCACCTTCAGATTAATATAGCATATACATGGCATACATACATTGATCAATATAGTGTATCAATACAGATCTATATACTGTACCAATGTGCAGAACATATACATAGATCTATATCTGTATACAATGTACATTATATTCAAATTGAGATCTATATGCCTGAATTATATCTATAGACCTCTTTTGCTATAGAGCAAATCAATATAGATCTATATCTATTTACTGTACAGTGCATACATAAATCTATATAACTTAATACTTATTACCAAAATCATTTAAAATAAAGTTGTATACATTGCTTACATGAAGAAATTTTATCAATTTCTAATATAATATAGTATAGTACTTAAAGAGTTTGCATTATATTATTTTGTAAAAAAAAGTATGTTATAGTAAACATCACATACCTGATATATACTTATAATTTTTGTAGATAATTTAAGTCGGCAAATGTGGTACTGTAGTTTGCAAGTATAATTTAAAGAATGATTTTTAAATTATGTGTCAAAGAATAAATAGTTATCTAGTATGTGGCATCAGCTGCTTAACATTTACCATGGTTATTACAATAATTACTGCATTACAGTAGTGTCAGCATTATTATTCATCATGGAACATGATATATATATATCGGATGATATGGTCTGGGATGCTTCAAGGTCATCAGCTGAACCAGACTCACCATGAAGCAGTTTACTGTTATGGCAGACTTGTTATGAAGTGAAACATGAAGCACATCGAGCATCATGTTTTGATGCGCACATCGATGTGCACATCGAGCACATCGAGCTGCAAGTTGCTTAAGTATTCTTTACATTCAAGCATCCACGTGCGGGCCAAGGCTACTTTAGCCTTGGGTCCCACCATGGCTTAAACCCATATTTAGGTCAAAAGCTGTGTAATTTTGGTTTTTCTTGTATCACATTTATTTTAAAGCGCAAACATCTGATTGTCTTTTTCATCACGAGCCATTGTTCGTTGACGCGGGCCTGAGGATCCTGTTGCAGCTGTGATGGTTGGTAGTGCATCAGCTGCTGCTGCTCGTTCTGCCAAGAATCGGTCGAACTCGGAGGATGAAATGGTCTCTTCTCGTGCACCTGCTCCAGACTTGGCATCAGCTGGCTGTACATGTAAAAAAAAATAGCAGTAACCTCACATGGATCATTTTAATGTATGCAATACTCAGTAGTCTTAATAGTGAAGAGCATAAATCTATATATAATCATTCAAAATACATAAGGGAAGTAAATTATAAAGATAAAAGATACTGTAACAGAGTATCTTAGCACATTATTTATACTTATTGGATATTTTACAGAAAAGAACAAAAAAAAACAGCAGAAATGCAAATAATAGTGTGATACACCTAAGGTCAGCTATTCATATTCATGCAATAATTATATGCTTGGCAACACAAAGCAAGAAATGACAGCTTCACTTTGCTGCTGTGGTCATTGATAGCAAACATTACTTACTTGTTCGTTCAGCCACGCCTCCATCTCATCAAAGTCACTGTCTTTAAGTTGCTGGAAAACACACACACACAAAAAGCATCACATTAGCCAAGTAAGTTTGAGAGTGGTGGGTTGAGGACTAAAAGTAAAGGGGAGCATAAGTACAAAACATATAATTGCAAAACATCCATACCATCTAAAGATCAATGGAAAAAAATGGATGAAAACTTCCCGTCCCCAATTTTGAACGTCAACATTTCTCCCGTGAATAACTTACAGTAATACAAGACTAACATTAATGGAGAATTTGTGGGACCCTGCCAAACATCATGCACAATATCATTTGAGCCCAAAATATTAAAATTTTAAAGTTACCTGTATTAAAGAGGATAAGAGTTAAAACAAAACAGTACAAGGGGGAATATGAGCAAAACATGACCAGTGTAGTACAGAGAAAGAACACAAACTTTGTAGTAGAGACAGAACATGAATTTGTGAAGGACAGACAAAACATGAACCTGTTCTGTCTTTACAGAGAAAAACAAACTTGTGAAGTATAGAGATGGAACACAAACCTGTGTAGTGCAGAGAAAGAACATGAACGTTTCAGAGAGCAGAGAGGGTTGTTGATCAAGAGTGTGTGTATGAAAGGAATAGCATACTATAGTATGCGAGAGTGAGACTGTGCATTTTATTTAAAACCAATCGAAGGATACATGTAATGCAACTAATGAACGTTTTCCGTGAAACTTTATACTTATTTACTAATCTGGCTGGGATCCATCAAACATATATTTCTTTAATATGCCAACATGCTGTCAAGATGAATAAACTACATCACTTAATTTTTTAACCATTCAAATTTCTTGTTCCTTATTATAAGAAGTGCATGAATGCTAGAAGAGAACTAAAGAGCTCACAGTATGTCTTGTACAATGAAGGCTAAATAATGTTTTTTTTTTTTTTTTTAATATTTGATACATGCAAATGCAAACCAAAATACATGATAGGCTTCAGCTACTGTGCAGTGTCAAAAGGAAGATACAGTGTCAACAAAAGCTTTCTTGTGCTATATTAATCTAACCTTACACAATTATATACCACTGTAGCTGACAGAGCACTTCTCCCAATACAAACACTTCTCCAAATGTATTTTGAAGAACTTTAGAACTTAGGCTTTCAGGTTATATTAGTCATCATGATCCAATTATATGCAACATGAATGCCCTCATCATACATCATAAGTGTGCACAGACAAAGGGAAAGTGCAGCTACAGAATTTGCATGAGTAAGCAGAGGTGTGACACACTTAAGAAACAATGCAAGTTAAAAAAAAAACACTTACTGTATTTAAAACTTATATTTTCTTAAATGGACAGCTAGCTATAATGCTATATAGGGGAGAACTAATTACAGCATTTATAGTTTATACTATATATATGTACAGTATAATTTGTTTTGTATGCGAGGTCAAAATGTTGTCTAGGAAAGCACATGTGCAATACGAAGGGATGTGCTCGAGCATACAGATGTAAAAAACCAGCATTGAATGTAATGAAACACCTCTGTTTGGGGAGGATGGGGGCCCCTTGGTAGCTGCCTGTAGCTAGCTGCACTGAGATAACTCCACACAAGACACATCAGCCCTTGGCAGTTCTTAAAAGCCTACTGGAGACCAGAGGTCAAAACCTGGCCCACTTAAAAGAGGTGCAGAGAACAGAGGATTCATTATCACCCTCACCAAAGAATCAAACTCATAGAATGGAAACAAAGCTAAACAAACAACTGCAAAGTTCAGTGAATAAATAAGCAACGTAGCAAATGTCTCAGCAAACAATCCACCCAGTAGTTAGGTCATAATCTCCCCCCGTCTAGTAACAGCACACCACCAGTAGGTGGCAGCACTATGGGGTAGGGGCTGCCATCTTCCCGTCACTAACCCTCAGTCTGGAGCATATGACAAACCAACCAATATACCTGGCAGGGAGAGGAGGGACATGAAAGTAGAGGGGTTATGATCTAACAACTGGATGAATCTTTTGCAGTGTCATTTGCTACATTCTTTATTTACTCGTCAACCTTGCAGTTTTCAATTTTACTTCGGTTACTTTCTGGGGGTTTAATTCTTTGGTGAGGATCATTGTGAATTTCCTGCTCCCTGCACCTTTTTGAGTGGGCTAGGTTTTGGTCTCTGGTCTGCACAAGGCTTTTAATGGCTGACAAGGGATGATGTTACTTGTAGGTGTTGAGCTATCTCAGTGCAGCTAGCTACAGAGAACGATCATGCAGCCACTCCAGGAAGATATTGGGGTGCACGACACCAACCACAAGTAAAGAAATAAAGGCCGGGATTTGATGGATTGCTAGACTGAGGTATTAATGCCGAGAGAGATGTAGTGTAGCAAGTTGATTTAATAACCTAATGGGATGCAAAATATTTAACTGACAAATATGGCAAGCAGAAGTGTAATGAGGCTAGAGCAGCCATTAGGTGGGTGGAGAAAGAAGTGATTAAGCAGCACACTGGCATCTGTGGGCTTGGCTGAGTGAAGGGTGACAAACATGCTTAGTCTGTTCTCTCACCCATCACTTCACTGATTTACTGTGGAAGAGGCAGTAAAAAAAAGAAGTCACCAATTTTCATCCCATGTACATTTCTAAACATGGATTATAACTGAAAACATAACTTCAGAGGTTATTTCCTTTAATATGTCCCTAATTAAAGAAATAACACACCAGATTTACTTAAAAATATACACAAGAGAAAGCTGTTGCATACTATCAAATCAGTCAGAATGAAAGCCCAATGCAACTGTTGGTTTCAATCCTCTATCCATAAGAAGCTCTCATTCCATCTTCTCTGATCTTGAGAACATTAGAGGCCCGAGACTGTTCAACATGCTTCCACTACATATAAAGGGCATAACTGCATAACTGGCCGACCCCTCAAAAGTGTTCAAGAACGAACTTGATAAGCACCTCCAAAGGATAAGGATACCTGATCAACCAGGCTGTGACTCATATGTCAGGCTGCGAGCAGCCGCATCCAACTGCCTGGTTGACCAGTCCAGCAACAAGGAGGCCTGGTCGAAGACCGGGCCGCGGGGATGCGAAGCCCCAAAATCATTTCAAGGTAACCTCAAGGTAACCATCTTTTTCAGTCCCCCTCCCGATGCAAAAAAAAAAAAAAAAAGAGAACAGATACAGATCCTTAATAGCAGAGCAGCAGAAGGGTTAAAGATCGATAGGCTCGCTATGCGTGCTAGTAGCTTTACAAGAATGTAACACCTCTTGTATAAAAACACACAGTATACGTATACATATTCAGAAGGTCAAAGCTCCTTTGATGCTAATTAAGCTCATAGCAAATACAGATTTAAAATATTTTCTGGACTATGTAGTGAGAATACCGATATTGTACTTAAAATATAATACATGCAAAATGCTATATTTGGAGAAACCTTTGACAAATGAAACCTAACTACCAATACTGCTTTAGTTATGACTGCATTTCTCTACACACTTATTGGCACAAATATACAACACTGACATTTGCTTCACTCATGGCCAGTCATGTCTACATTTAAAATGTGTGCATTTTCATGAACAAATCCACAAAGGCTGTGACTAGGATTCGAACTTACATCCGGGAACATCCCAGACACTGCCTTTATTAACTAAGCTACGACATGGTCGAAAGAGTTGAAACCGAAGTTCTACTGAACTTACTGGATCCTGCAGCCTCTCCGAGGCACAAACCAGGGTTTTACACAACTCCCCCATGCACTCGAGCTATATCAATAGGCCGTTCTCCCTCTTTGCCCTTACTTCATTACACACAGAAATCACAATAGCGTGATGCATCAAATGAACAAATCCACAAGGGCCGTGAAGAGGATTCGAACACTTGTGGATTTGTTCATTTGATGCATCATGCTATTGTGATTTGTGTTGTAGTGTGCATTTTCCTTGTAGCATATTACTATTGGCATGCCCTTCCCCAAACACTGCTTAGTAACCACTTCCCCTTCTGTCATGGGTCAACACTGAATATTACAATTTCCATTTCTACTCCCATGGAATGTGGGGTTGATCAAGTCTATATGAATCATCTTGGCCCATGCATATTTGTTCTCAATTCTGATGCATCAAACCTAAAGTGGGGAAAAAGAGCACTTCACACTGCAGTAATCAAACATTGCCCATGCCATACATAGCTTACTTAAGAATTCAACCTGTTGAATTGGCCATTGCTTTGAAAAGTGAAGAAACTTGACATGATTTATTATGTATTTAAAATGAAAAATATTATTATTACTGTATTAACACTTTTGCAATCCAGCCTCTCCGTGTGTATCCAGACTGTAGACGTTCTGGGGTCCCATGAATATAATGAATGTATCAATAGGAACACAAGTACTTACATCTTGTGTAATTATAATGGAATTTCATATCGTGATGACCACCACACTAGTATAGTAACATTTGCAATGATAATCGCATAAGCATTGTAAGCAATCATGAAACGGTAGTAGGATTTTTCCATCGGCCAAGGTAAACTCCACTATGTCCATACAGAGCTATTACATCTATACTGTATTAGCATCATTGGTATAAAACAGACAGTAGTAGTTTAAATCAACATATGATATCTGCATTACCCAGTGAATCAATGTGTGATAAAATTACTTTGAGGGTTAATTATTTTCATCATTCTCATTCTACTTCCCATCTGCATGGGTCAGGGAGGTAAATAATTGGCTTTTACAGCAGGGGACGAGGGGCCATTTGCACCACTGTAGTAGACAGTAGGCTCACCACATCTCTACGCAACACTTCCAACACATTTAAGGGTTTATGTTAAGATGCTTGCCAAACAGCCCCCTTGCAGATACACTAAATATTTGATATGCTGTATTACAGAATTTTTGTACTATCACTTTCATATTTTACATCAACACAGGTACAACCCAGAGTTTCACAACCTGGACAATTAATGGCTTATTTTCAAGATAAGCAGATCAAAAGGAAGTATTCAACATGTCTCATTTTGTTCCTAATGAAGGGCAACACACAAAACACAAATCTTGTGTTTTGGGTAATTTCACATTGCATGTTTGTTTACATGGTTTGAAGCTTAATATACCCAGAAATACAGAAAAATCCAAAATAATATTTTTAATGCAACAGATAAAACTTCATATTAAACATACAGTACTTGGAATTGTGAGAATTTCATATACTGTACTGTAATCATTATTTCCATTATTTGGCTACCACACAGGTCAGGGTTGGGATTCGAGCCAATTTAGTTTTTCTTCAACCCAAACATTTACACATTCATAAATACAGTAAATGAGAGATAAAGAAGGCAGGGATATAGGGGATGGGTACTAGCAACAAAATTGTATTAAATATGTTAAATAAATGGTCAAGGCAGAAGATAATCTTAAATTATATCTTGCAAATAAACACACACAGTCTCGCTGAAAGAAAGAACCAATTTGTTTTTCAAGGCAGCTTAGGAAACTGAAGACGACTGTTAAATAGTTTATTTTCTATGCATGTTAATCTGGAAACAGATAAGGTCAGCTATCTGACCATGCATAAAAAAAGTGATAATTAAATGCCTAAAAAAAAATATGCAAATCATTTATAATTGTTGGTTAATAGAAGCATTTAATAGAACATTAGATTTTGCAAATACAATACTGTATTAATATGTTGTGTAAAGTGCATGATAGCTACTGCTAGATTTTGTATACATTTATGACCAAGTTACTTTGTGTTTTAAGCGGTGTCAGGATCAGATGTATCTGATCAGGATTAAGATGTATCAGGATCAGATGTATTCTGAACGCTTATACTGTATAACTGGACACTGATCACACAACAGGAGGATGGCATTAACCATTATACAGTAGCTAATCAACCAAATGACAGTTTTTATTTCAAACAAATTTAATAATTTTTTGTTATGCCCTAACCAGTACATAAACAATTTAGACAAAAATGAAAGCAAACTGAACACTATGAAATCAAACCGTAATTTGAATAAAACAAATTAGGAGCCAAAAGCTTTCCAAAATGGGTGCTTGAAGTCTATTATATACCACCTGACTCTCCACCTGAGGGGGGGAACTGTGTGAGCCACAAGATACAGTACATTTCATGTACTGTAGTTGTCTCGCCAGCCTCGTACCTCTAATTTAAATTGACTAAAATTCACTATATGATTCTGGCACAACCTTCTGCCTCCTGATGTTTATTTTTGTGTGTCAGTGTGAGCATGTGTGTGTGTATATGTACATTATGAGCAAGCATATGCATGTGTGTGTGTATGTACATTATGAGCAAGCATATGCATGTGTGTGTGTATATGTACATTATGAGCAAGCATATGCATGTGTGTGTGTTAGTGAAGCAGATAAAAAAAAAATGACATCTTACCCACAGCTGCTGCTGCTCATCCACAGTGCCAAGAAACAATAACAAAACACTGTATGAGTCTTATGAGTGTGGTAAAGGAGCCTCGTGTCTTGTACCTTCCTCAATACATTACCACATGCTACCAACAAGCTCCACTATCAACACATTGTGAATGAAACAATGTACAAAAATAAAGTGCACAAAACCCAATACAAACATCCATCAAACATTAACGTTAAATTCAAAGTGTGTGGGGGCACTTTACCATACAGGCATGACAACTTAAATACTGGTACATATAAATTTAAAGAATCAAAATCACGTAACCCAAAATCCTTCAGTTGAAAAACCAATGTTCAATAGTATCTAACAGAGAAATTTTGTCCCCCATCCATGAATACAGTACGAGTGTATTAAATGCAATAAAATAATGCCCAAGGCCTTTGTACTGACAACAAAAGCCTTGACCCTAAAGCATGCACAACATCAATCAAACTGCTGCTTGCCTTAAAATAAATACTTACTTTTACTTTGTTAAATAAAACTTTTCACAATAAAAGATAAGCAAAAGAAATAACACTTTTGTAAACTACAAAATATATTATGTGAACATGTATTACTGTGCAGAAAATAAGTCACAATAACACGACTGAAACAAATAACCCAACCCACACATGAACTGGAATGTCACGACTCAATTACGGTCCACGATGGACCAAAATGTTATTGCTTTCATTTTATACATGCGAGTTGGGTTATATAAATATAACTTGCATTTAATGGTAACTTCAATTAAAATAAAAATTAAGACAACTATGTCAATTTAAGAGAAGACAAGCAAAGTAAGATGTTAGAATAAGAAAAGTCACAGTCTTGGGCTACAAAAACCTCTTAGATAAGCCATCACCACTTGCTGCTCATAGTTTCTATTCAAGCATTAACCCACATTACGGAGACCTTCAACAATGATAAAGGTTCCTCTCTCTTAAGTCATCAATACAATGGCAAAAAAAAGCAAACTTTTATTGTGTGTTTAAACTTCATTTATTGCACCACACCAAACCTGATCTTTGGTGTGGTGACCAACGTCAAACCCTGACATTGCACACCAAATTCTTGCAAAATAATACCAGCACATAAGAGGACAGATCATTTCCTGCATGCAAGGGTTTACTGGGTTGTTATGGGAGGTGGGTGAAAAAAAAACTCAGGCAGAGGAAATCGGAAGAGTACTTACTGGGTTATTTCTCAACTGTGCTGCACGGCTCGGGGGCACCGAAGACACGTCTATTTCAATGTTGTCCTGGTATGTGCTGCCACTGAAATATAGTGTTACATTTTAGTTATCTAAAAGAATTACAGTATTACTATTTTCTTACAATTAATGCCCCTTTTTCTTACAGTAATAATAGCAACACAGGATCACATTTTTCTGTGACAGCTAACATGACCAAGGGATGGATAAACACACAGTATTGCTTTACACATTACTAGTAAGGCATTCTAATGACTTCTAAGCCAGGCAAAGGTGGTGATGCACAATACACACTAATTATTCTCAAAACATCAGATCCTTTGTAGTATGGGTCATCCAATAAGGATAGTTGATTTCTAGACGTTACCACTGCTAGGCTTAGGCTCGGCTACAATTCCTCTGGCAGTTTGTAACATCTGCTGATGTAGATTTGATAATGTAAACTCTGTCAGCAGAACTATTTGCATACTTTGCATCATTATATAATAGAATGTGAAAAATTTTATGAATTCAGAGATAACACCATCAATGGTGTCCAAAAACTGTGTAAGTACTAGTATTTCATTCATAATGATGTACTTCTGGCAACCTTAGCGAAGTATCCAAAATTTGCTTACTGTAGGTGCAGCCAGCACATGACTGTAAAGCTGCCACCCAGTTAGGTAGGTGTGGAGCAAGACTAGTAACCGTGTCTCTCTCTCTCCCCCCTCCTCCTCCTCCTCTCTCTGCCTCCTCTCTCTGCCTCCTCCCTCTCTCCTCCTCCCTCTCTCCTCCTCCCTTCTCTCTCATGGTCTGTGACAATATCAATCCAGTCTACACATCATCAAAAGGAAACAAACACATAAGAGGGGGCAAGACGCCTTACCTAGTCTTGGTGTTTTCGTAAGTAGCTGTTCGGGACTGAGCAAACATATCAAAGTCAGCATCTTCGTTTTTCTTCGCTTTTGGAGAATTTCCTACAGCTGCAGAAAAAAAAATTTAAATTGTGAGAATCTAATAGAAAAAAATTGGAGCTGTGGTAGACTGAAAGTAATACACAAACACCCCCACACCTTTACAAAAAACCTCACACTTTAATAAAAAAAAAAGTTTCAATTTTATTTTATTTTTTGCCCTAAACGCTTTACATAATAGTGGTTTCATAGTGTAACTCTTGTCCCTACAATTTGTACATTACTTCTTTTGTTCTTTGTACACCTTTTTTATTTTTTATAAAATTGTATTGTATCGTATTGTAACATTATCCAAGTGTTATCTTGCCAGTTTTACATCCCTTAAGGAATCAAGAGATGTTTTCTTAAGTAATCTTGCACGTTCCATGCATTAAGCTGTCTACCCATCACACTAAACCCCATTACTTTCCTCTTATATATCTTACAAGCCTACAATCACTCAACCTCTCCAGACATCAACTCCGCACACGAGAGTTTCTTTTGGCCCACTCAACCACCCCCATCAATCTACATCTCTTGCCTTTTCTGCCATCTTAGAGATTTAATATACTTATCTTGTTTAGTCCTACCAACTTATAATACCTTATACAGTAATACATGCACTTCTTTAAACATTATTTACTTTTTTTTATGTAGTTAGTATTAAAGTTGTTTAAGGGACTAAATGTAAAGTATTTTGCATAAGATAAACACCATTAATTCCATTCCAACAAACTATTCCCACTGTAATATTTATTAATTCTACTTCTGCATTGTTCTTATGCACACCACATGTATGAATGCATATGTATTCAATGACTGACTTCTTATTTCATACATGATACAACACTCTTCATTCTTCAAGTAGTAACTTACTTAATGATGCCAGCTGTGCAGAGGGTGGATCATCGGCAAGGTCTATTAGGGACACCTCAGGTTGTGGCTGTGAAGGGCGTTGTGGCTCTGAAGGCTGTTGGGACTCAAGAGGAAGTTGCGGTGGAGATTTTGTGGGACTACCGATACCTTTCACCTTGTTCATGTGACGATCATATCTGCAAATGCATAGATCTCTCATTATTACATCATTCTAAATGCATTCCATTCTTCACTTAATGCATAAAATTATTTACTTTATTGCCACAGAATTTATTTTCTCTAACATCTGAGACTCATTTGTGTACTTAGTTCCCATATGTGACCCCTTGTTTGTGTAATCATCTCTGCTAAATAGTTTATCCTTGTCGGCAGTACTTACCTAGAACTGTGACAAATTGTCACAGCTCTAGATAAGGAGTCAGCAGCTTTCAAGTACCTTCAAGACACCTTTCCCTAGCTGTCTAAGGTACAAGTAAAAGCAAAGTTTGAGGGAAAAATAACCATTTTCTATACTTTGGAGGTATAAACAATTAGAAATCATGCTTACTATCTTGGGACAATATATATATATATACACACATATATATATAAATTTCTTGCATAAACTTATTCTGAAGGAAGCCTGAGCAAAACCTAAGCAAATATTATTCCATAAAATACAAAGGAGAAAGAAGGAATAACAAAGATCTAGTAAAACCACTTAAGAGAGATTAAATCCTAGCAAAATGACCCCCCCACCCCACCCTGTCCTTCAGAAACATACAAACTTCAGTAACATTGTTCTTACCTAAGGAAGAGGTTATTAAGGTCATCATTGATACGTAAGAGATCAGCAGTGAGAATGTCATCGCTGACTCGACCCACCAGTTCGACCACTCGTTGCTGCATTGCTCGACAGGTTGCATGTAGCTCCTGTATTGAGAAAGTGATGTCATACAATTCAGCAGTATGAAAATAATACTCTTAAGTCAGCTTATTCTAACATACTTTAATGCACTAGAGTACAATGTCAGCTCAGCTTCCCAAAACCTATATTGTATATCTACTTATATACAATTTATCTTGTTTTTACTTCACAAATATTCTTTACAACACAAGTATAGTGATTACACAGCAATATTTTAATATTTTAACTCCAGATAGTTAAGTAGCTCATGAACCATCTCCCTCTTTTCCATTTATTAATTTGGTTAACAGTTTATGTGCTATTACAACCTGTGGTTGATTTCAAAGCATTTTACTAGTCTTGCAGTCACATACAGTATTTTATATTATAATTATAACCCACAAGACAAGATTTGCAACAAAATATTATACTGCATTTCAAACTAATATAGTCAGAACTGTAGCATTCATAATAAAGTCTCACACCTGCAATAACTGTAGGTCATCTTGGTGTTCCTTTCCAGGGCTGAGTTCTCCTAGCATCTCCCCCAGGACTTTGGCATTTGCTTCCACAACGTCCAACTCACTGTGCAACTTAGCTCGTTGTTCAGCCGTCAAAGTTACCGGAGCAGCAGGAGTTGGCGTTGGCTGGTGGGGGTTGGGGCGACGTGGCGATGTGACAGTTCCTTGGGGTACACGGGGAGGACGCGGCTCTGGCGCTGTGGCTGTCTGGTAACACAAAACTCCAAAATTACTAAAAAATTCTTATTACCAATAAAACTGCTATTTAGATATATTTTGATTACAAGAGTGTTCTTACGAATGGTAGCCACAGAGCCGTTTATCTTGGGATGTGGTGGAGGCAGAGAAGGATGGTAGTAGTGGTATTTGCCTAACAGTGACTATGGAGGAGCGAGGCCTAGCTCTTCATATCCTGCCTCCTAGAATTTTTGTACTTCTTTTTTAACTTAAATAATAAGCTTTTTGTTATATCTACTCTTAAAGATGTGGATAGAGGTGGCTTTAATGATTTCTTCCTTTAGTGCAATATCCTACTTGTTGACCTCCTAATTACCTACATAAAAGTTGTATAGTAATTTAATTTATGACTGGTTGATATTAAGTTCTTAATACGGAGAGTTTACTGATGTTGCTACATAAATCAAGTTACTAAAGATGAATATTTCTTGTGGAATTGTCACATCACCTGTTTTAACTATATTGTAAAGATGCATACACTACACACACAACTAAAATTTGTGTACCCGTAACTTATGAATAAAGCTTCAAAATCTTAAGATGAGCAATAAATGATAAAGCATTAAAAATTGCAACTTATTATTTATAGGTCAAATTTAAGATGTCATATCAAATTCACATGACGAATTAAAAAAATATTAATGCTGTGCTGTACACAGCTTCAAGCTATAGCTAACCAACAATAAGTACTTTTCAGAACTCAGAACTCCCACACATTTGTGAAGACAGCATGACATATAGATTTGGACGCTGCTCATGGGACAATAAATACATCGGTATGGAAATTGCTAATAGGGCAAACAGAGGGTTAGAGTTAAGAGTCAACTAGAGCAAGTGTATGTTTCTTACTCGCTGCGGGGTGATGATGGGAGCCATGGTGTCCGGATTGGACATGGGGAATTCAACACCTTTAAACTTGAGTTCTGCATATACCTGAAACAAACAATAAATTAATGTTATCCATATACCATACTATACTCTATATACTCTCACACTATACCTTACTGCAAAATTAATACACCCTGATTTTAGGAGGCAAGAAATAAGCCTTGAGAATACTGTATATAAACAGCATTTCTGAGCAGATACTGTATTGAACTGTAGGGCTTTCTTGTGGTGTCAATACTGCCAACTTGTGGCTGTTAGGGATAGTAACAGTGGGCCATTTAGTAATTGGCAAAGGTGCATCTTTTTTTCTACAAGTTACAGCTTTAAAGGCTTTAAAATTTATGACACTGTTCTATTTACATTCTTGGCTGGATTGAGTGTTTCCCTGGCATCAGACTAACCCAGTAGATATGGTAAAAAGTTCCCTGCTGTGCTGGTGTGGTATGTCCACCTGCCCTAACCATGAGGATTCTAACTTGAGGGAAATAGGAACAAGTTTACACAAATCAAACAAGATAAGTGATGGAGACTTTCATACCCATCTTTTCATTTGCAGCACTTCATAATACAATATAACATCTCGGTTTCAAAAGGTGCTTAATACTAAATTTTATGTATTAAAATTTAAAAAATTTAATTTATGTACATAAAAAAACATGTCCTTTCCAAAACCGAACCAGGTTTATTCCACCTAAAGAGGCATTCACTCCAGTAAACACAAACACAATTACCTGACTAACTCCCGAGAGTTCTGGCTGGTGACGGAAGGCATCTGCCCAAGCTTGGATGAGGAGGAGAACCTTTTCCTGCACAGCAGCAGGAGGCTCATTCTTGGGACCTGCCACAGTCAGACGTGCTCAGTATTAGACCCACTAAAATGCTCTTTCATCGCACCAGATATTTATCGGTAATGAGAAAAATCAGTAGAGCCACGTTTAGGATTCCAACCCACACAGTTGGTACTCCTGAGCATAGCTCGTCATGGCTCCTACTGATTTTCTCTCTGATACATCATGTTAATGTGATTTCATTGTGTATTGCTAATGACATGCAGATTTTAATATAATTTAATCTAAATGACTGGTTTATTTCAGCACATATCATCAATAACAAGTTTTTAAACTTATTTTATACATGAGAAGTTAAATTATTTTAAACAGTACTGTAAAGTACATACAATTCTAAGAGAGTTTACATAAACCTATAAGAATTAGTATTTACTCAATTATAGCCTCTCAATGGTCTGGCAGGTTTCACTACACAAGCATTCCAGACTAAGGAGTTTTCAGAACTGCCATAGTTCCTCCCCTACAACCTGGTAAGCATTACTGGTACACACCTTCATGTTAACAATTTTGGTAATACAGCAGTAGCCCTGTCATTTGTTTCAGAATGGGTACAAAAGCATTTTAAGAATGTAGAAGACATGTGGACAATTAATGCAAGATGACCGAGAATGGCACCACAGTCATTTCAGTCTATGGCACCCCCGGCATTAATAGATGTCTGGCATGGGTGGTGTTTCAATCAGAGGATGGGAATTTTTTCGTATGGAAACATGGAAAATACAAGATACCGAAGGCAAGTTTTATAAAAATGCTTGAAATTTTGTTGCACGATGCCAGACTATAGAGGGCAATCTGAATTGAAGTAAAACTTAACTATCGGCTACATGGTTATGAATATGCATTACTATTAATAGGTTAGCTATAATGCCTTGTAGTCTTTGTTACTCTTGAGATGACATCCTAAACACACCTCAAGTAATGACCAAACTTCATTGTAGATGTCTCTTTACCTGAAAGTACTTTATTATCAGACTTGCTAAAGCCCTTACAGCCTAAATGTCATCTACAATAATGTTTACTCTCTTCTTGACATTTCCCTACATCACTGCCATTACTTTGAGTTGTATTCAACCTCATTGCTTCCACTCAGGTCAGTAAGTTAAGACAAAACTTTAGTAGTAGGGCCAGTCTTAACACTGAAGCCATAGAAATCTACCTAACCCCTACTCAAACATGGTCAAATCTGATCTTCTGACAAGTATTAGATCTATTCAGGACTTAAAACTGCTGCATGCAAATATGGCAATATGGATCACTGACCATTTGTCTAAAGTTATCAAAGCATACAACTGTCCATAGTTCAAAAGATAGACTATTCAATTTAAACACAATATACAAGACTTACACTCACCAATGAGCTTTACTAAATCCTGCACAAAGTCCTTACTGCAAGCATGAACGTGAAACCGCTTCCCGCAGTTTTTGACGCACGACTCCAACAACTGTGGAAGGTTAGCCATACATAATATATGGTCGTTCATTGACTACAACAGAATCAGTCTACAATTCATTTCAAGTAAACATTACAAGTTTTTTTTTGTAAGTTTACTGTTTTCTTTGATATTATAAAGAATTATGTTAACTTTGATTGACTTTAGAGTCTATTTGGAAAAAATTTGTTTAAAGATCAACATATTCATGAAAAGTTGACACAAACACTAAGGCAAGGAGAAAACAAGGAGACAAGGAGAAATTAGATTTCAACAGAGGGTTGCATGTGCAAATTTGTACATCTGAACAAGAGTACAATACACAGTACAGTACGTGTAAAACTGTGGAGGCCATACTGTAATATTTATTGTACACTACTGTATTAAATTTATTTATCCTTTTTAATTCACAAATTTAACTTGCAAGTGATCATAAATGAACAAATTCAAACTCAAAACATAGTTTACTGACTGTAAGTGTGTACATGACAACTGTGTAGTTCTTGGGCTGGGTGGCCAGACGCTTTCTGATGGCCTTAATGGCATCCCGAGGACCATCTTCCGACTCGTTGACCAAGTCGCACACCTCTAAATTAAGCCCCCAATCTTCTGATGGCAACGTTTCTGCCGTTGCTTGTTCTGTAATTTAAAAAAGAGAAAATGGTAATGGGTTGAAAAATAAAATGAGTAAAATATAAAATAATATCCTATGTGAATGGGGACTGGACTGGTTATTCAGCATACTAAATAACCCTACCAATTATACCTTTCCAATGTTATTTAAGGATCATGGACCAAAATGAACAATTTATGTATGCTGCAAGCATTCCAACTAATGTAAAAACAACAATGTACTGTACTGTATAAGCAGTAAAGATAATTTTAAGCAATTAGTGGTTGCTAATGACATGACAGTGTCATTAGCAACCTTTTAAAAAGTTACATTTTGCAGATATTGTATGTTTGCTTGGCAATGCAAAAGCTTTACTTCAAATGACATTCACAGCACTGTACACTATTATTAAAGCACAAAAAACATTGTACATGTATTGTCAGAAACAACTCAAATACAGTACTTGATAAATAAATTCTAGAAGATGGGGCCAATGGTGGGAGCCCTGTAGCTAGCCACACTGAGAACTCCCTATGTGTCACATCAGCCCTAGGAGACCTTTAATAACCTACCAGAGGCCAAAAACCTGGCCCTCCTTCACATTAGGCCCAGGGAGCATGGGATTCAAGATCATCCACACTGAAGAAACAAACCTCTAGAAAGGAAATGAGGCAAAACTGACAATTACAAGCTTCACAAAGTTAACAAAGCACCAAATAGTTCTGCAAACAATCCAACCACTAGTTAGGTCATACTCCCATAGTGATAGCTGATCACAGGAGCTGCTAGCGCCTCATGTCAACAATTCTCAGTCTTCTGCCAGACATCTGACACTTGGGACTGTTCCTCTAATCACCAGCCATTCTGGTCTCAGACAATCTAGGTAAGTGTTGGCCATCTTTTGGACTTGTCCTGTGGAGGCCCCAATTTGTGTGTGAATCATTTCAATATTTTGGGTTTGCTTCATGTGCATGTACTTACAAGCCTTCCTTCTTGTTGTGCAAACTTTTGGAAACTATTCGAGATTAATATGCTTAGGGCCTTTCCCTAGGCACTCATTAATGTTGCCCATGCCCTGGCAGGATTACTTCCCTGGTGGGTTCAGATGTTCATGCCATACAGGCCATCCTCCAGTAGTGTGTGCCTCATCATGAATAGTGTAAGGGTTGTTGACCACTCTGAGGCTCTGAGATTTGCGTACTTGTATATATGGCACGCCACAGATGCCCTTCACAGACATTTTTCCTGGTGCTGTATTCAGTATCTTTTCACTTCATCCAGCGAGTGTCCCTAGTTCCTGGGTGTCCTGCTCAGTCCTTACCTGGAATACCAGGACTACGAAGCCTTCCGTTTCTCAAGAGGCGTGTATTTGGCTCCAATCTTTTAGTTTTGGATGATGCCTTCCTGTCTGACCAAGCATCAGGTGTAGACCATGGCTCTGCACGTTTGCAGCAGTGAGGCAGGATCCTCTCCCTCCAGCCTTTATTCTACACTTCCCTTCCTACTGCCTCTAGTGGTTTGCTTCGGACCCTTTCTCTGTTTACTTTGGGAATCGTGTAGTTATCCATTTTGCTTCACTTCTTTTTTGGAGTTTTGTTTCTTCAGTGAGGATCTTAAATTCCCCCTGCTCCCTGCACCTTTGAGGGGAGGGAAGGGAGCCACCTCTCGTCTCCAGTAGGCTATTAAAGAACTACTGTACTAGAGCTCATGTGATGCATGACGTATCAAGCCCCTTCCCCCCCCCCCCACAGAAAGACATTTCTTTACATTCAACATTGCTTATATACACACAGAAATCACAATTGCGTGATGCATCAAATGAACAAATCCACAAGGGCAATGACGAGGATTCGAACCTGCATCCGAGAGCATTCCAGATGTTGCCTTAATTAAGGCAGCGTCTGGGATGCTCTCGGATGCAGGTTCGAATCCTTGTCACGGCCCTTGTGGATTTGTTCATTGTTTATATATACTGTACCTATTTTCTGGGTGACAGATGTCGAAGCCATCTTTGAAGACTCGTTCTTTTATACAAACTTCTTGTATGTTTCTTTAATCAAACTTAGAAAAATTTAGCTGTGATGTACAGTATTGTACTGTGTGTTAATATACTTTTCATCAATATTACCACCAACGTGGAAGACTAGAGAATGCAATAGAATAATAAAACACAGGGGTATTATGGATGTGGCCAAAATTGTTATAATAGAAATATGGTAATGGTCAAACGTTTTTGTATAAGGAGTTATATGCAGCACTTTTGTACACAACTGCATTTACTGCTGTAAACCAGCACCCACATTATGACTACACACGAAAACAAGAAATGATCTCAATAAGAAAAACTCTCAATCATCTCCAGGTTAAAAAAAAAAAAAATCCCTATTTATTCTTTCAAATTAGTTAAAAATTATTTGTCTATATAAAATGTTTTTGTAATTTTTGGCAATAAAAAAAAAAAAACATTTGCATCAAATTTTGACAAACTAAAATGCTCAGAACTGGAATTCTTGGCAATATAGATGTAGTCTGGCCCAAATTAGTCTACCTGAGCATATACTGTATATTAATTTCAGCCCGTACTCCAAACAAAGACCCAAAATTGATTCCATGCACCCATCAAACTTCAGCCATTTATGAATGAAAAACGGTTTGCACACAACTCGCACAACTGATGACGTTCGAACATTTCCGGAACAAATGCTTCACCGACGAATTTTGTTCGAACCACAACGCTGTAAATGCTTCACCCACGTACTACAAATAATCGCCAACAGAACCTAAACACCTAACCTAACCTATGCCTATATATACACAATATACTAATACAGTATATTATAGTAATTTATATTTGAGAAAATTCCTGTTTTGAATGATCAGCATGTAAAAATTTATAAATGTATCTGTGGGGTTGACCGCTGGATATAATGGACTCGAGTCGAGGACGGGTTGATTAATTTTTGTTGGGATTTATATCTTAGGACAGGTATCGAATTTGGTTAGATTAGTCATTGCCATATTTGCCTTATTCCTTGAACACAATCTACTAATTGACTTAATTCATGTCCACAATTACCTCAGTTAACAATAAACAATGAAAGCATTGTGCCTAATGTTCCCACCTTGCCTAAGGCTTCAACTCGGGTTGTTTTTGCCTCTGCACATCACAAAAACACAATCCTGTAAAAATCTTCGAGTACCACACTTTAATCAGGGATACAGTACCTAAAGGAGGTGATGACTACAATTTATGAACAAGTTACAGTACAGTATGTAGAAAGACAATATGAAGTACTTCTTTACAATCAGTGGTAGGAAGCTGGAATGGACTTCAAAGAGGCAGGATATGCCAAAACCATTGGAAACTTTAAATACTGTCTAGTACAGTATACAGTATATTTTTTTATGATAAAGATTGAACACCATAAACACAGGTCTACTCATATAACTGCAAACACAGAATCACACACACACACACAAACACACACACTGAGTAAACCAGACAATCTAGCAAATTACTGTGGCAGGAACACACGGTCCAAACAAAACACTTCACCTTTCTTTGTGCTTTGATCAACACAAGGACACCAAGGCTTGCTACAAATGTCAACTTCCTCTGCCAATACACAAAAAATTGCTCTTGCAAAAGAATCTACATTTGAATTTTGTTTAATATGATACATAACAAATAACTCAAGTCCTACAACCACTCATACACTTGTTTACTTTTGTTCACATACTGGCCAACTTTTTTTTTTAAATGATAATAGCCGAATAAAAAATGAGTCAATATTATATACTGTACTACATCCATCTGAAGTTGTTAGTTAATCACCAGAAATCTTTACGGTACTTGCAAATTTGTAAGTGTAAAGTATCTCTTGACCACTGACTGTTGAAGTAGTTACCAGGAGCAAAACACAGCAGATAACACCACACAACTTTCACTTAAACAGAATGAAATATAATACAGATAAGATTCTCCTGCTTTCTAATAAACATTACATATTTCTCGAGTGAATATTTTTAACTGGCACAACACACAACACAGGTATAACTTCACTACTGCAACCTAAAGCGAAACTCATGCACAAGGGACAAAAAGAGTGGTGTTGAGCAACCAACTGTCATACATGACTGCCAGCAGTCACGCCTCCTCACTATCAAACTGCCACAGCCGTCAATGTCACCACATTAACTCTATCGTCAGTAAACATTACTCATAATATTTCAGTTCTAAAAAAGTTAATAATTAATATGCATAGCTTGATCTAGGAATACTGTCATAACCTCAAAGTTGAAGCGTGTTTAGTACATCACTTTTTTCATGCAAGTTGATTTTGCAACATGACTATTCTACTTTATTTCATTCAACATACTAGTATTTTATATGTTGAATGTATTTTACCTGAAACGCTATGCGTGCTAGTGGCTTTACAAGAATGTAAATTCAACTTCATTTCTATGTTCTCTGTTAACCCCCAATGTACCTTCTTGTATATAAATAAATAAATATAAGAGCATTTAAATAACAATGAACTTTTATTAATCAAAGGATAATGACAATTACCCTTCAAATTTTCTACTGAGCCAATCATGCCCTGAATAAGTAGAAATTCCAACACATTAATAAAGGCATTAACACGCATCCATTTATCCATCCTAGAGTCATAAGACATACTATACAGTGCTGTAATTAAATCCATCACTACCTAGCTAATTGTAGTTTTGGAAAACCTATCATGCACTGCATCATTAATTTCAACTTATTTCCTCACACAACTATAAATTAGTGAACAATCTAAATACTGTACACTGTATTGGCTATTGCCTGCCTAACGTATATGAATGCAGTATTGAAAACTAAATATACAGTACCTGTATTAATTGATTATTGTATTACATAATGAACTTAAATATTTCCAATAATTTTAACTTGAAAAAATAATAAAAGTAAATAAACCCACTCACTCCCCCACCCTCCCCCATCACCCATCCACCCCACAAATGCCCACCCCCACCCACACTCCTACACATGTAGTCGTAATCTTGAGGATCTGGGTTTAATTCCAGGTCAAGGCCGTGACAAATGGGCAGTTTCTGTCACCTGATGTGTGTATTCTCATGGTAGTAAATAGGCACCTGGGAGTTTGATATCTATGAACTGCATCATAGATGTCAAATATACGGTGTGTGTTAGAGAGAAATATATGTAGTAATTATGATAGAGGAAGAAATGGTTTGGTATTGTGTGTGTGTTAATAAATGCAAAGCATTAAAAACAGATGTTGATACACAAGATACATACAATACCAACAACTCAAGTAACACCTTGCACACACACACACAGATTTGCCTGATAAACCACCAAGGCCAAATAACAGTCACCTTGCATAAAAGTGTCACAGCCTGCTGGAGCCTCCCAAACCTTGAACAGGTTACCTTAACATGCACAGCACACATGCACTCACCCACCCATGTACTGCAACACATCCATGCCTCACCCACCCATGTACTGTAACACACCCACCCATGTACTGCAACACACCCATGCACTCACCCACCCATGTACTGTAACACCCAGGGTGCTGTGCCCAACTGCCCTGAATGAAACTCGTCAAACCTGCTTAAGCCCCATTAAAGGTCAACTTTTCTTAATGCATTTCATGGTCAACTTTCTGCAAAAGATTTCTTAGCTGCAGTCTTACCAGTATAATTTAATTCCTCTACAAAATCCATATTAAAATGTTAGTTTAAAATAGTCCTGTTAGAGCCTAAAGCTAAATCAGAAATAATTTAAGAATAACCTAAACAAGAAAATTAAATTTCACTTGCTTAACCTGATAGAAGCTATACTTTTCAAAGCCTGAATTAGGGTAAATTCTCCATTGTTTATACAAGTCTTGAAACACACTAAATTTTGTAGCAAGTATTATAAAGGGACTAAAACTGAACAACTTTGAAGCAAAAACCAAGAATATCAATACAAATTTCCAAAATAATTGATGCTGGGAATGCCTTGTCTGCTACAAAAACAAATTACACGTGTCTTTTTGCAGTCTTTGTTTTCACAAGAGGTTAATAAACTAATCTTGCCTTTGTTCTGAAAATACAATGCAATACTGTTATGTGTAACAAAGGATTTTTGTTCGTCACTGGTTATCTTTTGTTTATTTGTGGCCATCTTTGCCCACGTCATCGTCATCAGCTTCCCGAATTGTTTTGCTGAAAGTAATTCTTGTAATTATGTTTTTTAGTTTAGTACTTAAGCGGTGTTTTAAAATACTATTAAACTTCATGGGGGGGGGGGGGGCGCACTTTTTCTGTTTAACCTATTTTCACCATTCTAAGTCATTATTCAAATGCCATTCACCATTATTCAATGATAGTTTGATGCAGACACTACAACTCTGGATGCTGTCACCTTGCTTTTAAATTCTTGAAAGTGTATGTGTACATACACTTTCAAGAATTTAAAAGTAAGGTTGGTATCCCAGAATATCTGGGAATATCTGGGAATACAACCCAGAATATCCCATGGACAGATGTCTGCCACTGTTCAAAGTGCCCATTGAAGTTAATTATGAACACACTAAATCTGTGATAGTCAGATGACAAAAAAAATATGCCAAGTCACTGATAATGAAGATCAAAGATACTGTACAAGAGTGAAGTGCAAGGTCCAGGTAATACAGTCGGGTTCATTCTCGACTCGACTGAGAATTCCAGGTTTACACCCCTGGGCAGAAATGGTTGGGTGCATTTCCTATCAACAAATGCCTTTGTTCACCCAGCAGTAAATAGGTTCCCAGGAGTTAGTCAGCTTTTTGTGGGGTTACATCCTGTGGATAGAGGGTCAGTAATTTGATCTTGAAGACTGGGGAATGGAAGGGGGGCCAGTTTGATATAAGCCTAGCATGTATATATATACACTGGCTGCCTGTCCGATGACAATGATTATTGTTTTTATTAAAGACAAGTGTGAAGAGAGCCACTAAGCTTATCACCATCAATTTGTGAAGTTATGAAGGCATTACATTCATACCAATCATGTGTAACAAGCAGGCCTATATAAGAGCCACCTGACACCACCTGGGACCAACGACACCACCTGGGGACCCTGCCACATCATTCTAACCTGTCACACCACCTGGGGACCCACATCACCACCTGGGGCCCCTGCCACACCACCTGGGGACCCTGCCACATCACTGTAACCTGTCACACCACCTGGGGACCCTGTCACACCACCTGGGGACCCTGCCACACCACCTGGGAACCCTGCCACACCACCTGGGAACCCTGCCACACCACCTGGGAACCCTGCCACACCACCTGGGGACCCTGCCACACCACCTGGGGACCCTGCCACATCACTGTAACCTGTCACACCACCTGGGGACCCACATCACCACCTGGGGCCCCCCTGCCACACCACCTGGGGACCCTGCCACATCACTGTAACCTGTCACACCACCTAGGGGGGCCCTGACACCCGGGCGGCAGCAGACGACAACAGCTGACTCACAAACACTCCACCTGTCAACAACCCACTCTCCCCCCTCTTGGCTGTCACCTGGCCGCCCATGGCCCCCGCCCACGCCCGCGGTGCACCCTCCCACGCCCACCAGCAGTACCAGCAGCACCAGGCACGCCCCACGACACCAACACTCACCAATCTTCTGGCCCACGGCCGTCCCAAACGGGTTGCCTCCGAAGAACGACATTTTGTTGTGTGACGTCATCATCTCTCTCACTTTCCCTGTAAGGAATAAAAAGATTATATTATGGCTTAATTAGCCACACTCTACGGTAATTAGGCGCTCATTGGCCTTATTTCAGAGTCGCTAAAAGAAATCTTGCAATATGAGCCTTTACTAGAGGGAAAAAAAATAAAATGCTTTTATAAATGTGTTCTTGCATTTGTGTTGAGAGTTGCCACTTGGGGAATTGTGTGATTCACTCCGTCAGGAGATAATGACTGTCATGTGAGCGATAGTAATTGTTAATGTGGCACTACATCTATTGTGGGGACTACGTCTGTCGGGCTGCATCTATTGTGGCACTATGATATGGCACTGTACTTACACAACATCAGTGACTGTATAACGAGCAAGTGAGGTCTAACAACTAAGCTCCGGATAATTAGCCTTATTATACCTGTTGCTTTGTAATTGAAGTATTATGTAACATAAGATCTATCTCTCTGTCAAATCCGGACTTTTAGTTGGGGTTGGAGGTGGCTTCTAGAGCCTCCAGTGCACGCCATACTTGTTCACCACCCGCGCGGCGTATATTTCTTTATTTACCTGAATTTACCTGAGGGTCACTGACACTAGTGGCCTCGATGAGGACAAGTAGCCAGCGGCTTGTCGATGTTTTCCCCTCCCCCCATTTACCTACATGATCTTTGTACTTTAAATGTTAAGAGTTTGGCATTTACGGCTTCGGCGGGTAGGCGGTTCCTTGGGTCTTCACCTTGTGGGTGAAGAAGGATCTCCTGTTCTCAGTTCTACATTGTGACCTGTTAAAGAGCAACAATGGGCAACAAAAATAACTCCAGAGCTGTCAACTCTCGTATCAGGAACGGAAGAGGGCCACATGGCCAACAACATGCCAGGGCGGATGTTATTGAAATTTTTATAATGCTAAACATTTTGGAGGATGTTAATCCGCACAATTTCTGCAAAAGATCAGATGTAACACAAACAAGGAGCGACGGTTTCACGCTCACCAAGTCACAATGTAGGACTGAGAACAAATGTTTTTTCACCCACATGTTTTTTCATAAACCCATGGAACAGCCTACCCGCTGAAGTCGTAAATGCTAAAACTCTGTTAAATTTTAAAATCCAACTGGCAAATATCATCAGGGCAAATGGGGGAGACCTCTGACAAGCCACCGGCTTTCTGTCCTCGTCGAGACCACTAGTGTTAATGGCCCTCGGGTAAATTCAGGTAAAATTTGCGAGATTTTGATACCATATTCTTGCAACATAATTGTAAAATAATAGCTATATTCCGTTCTGAGCACAAACATCTGGTAATCATTATTAGCCTTAATTAAACACTTTGTGAATTAATATTGGAAAACATATTATTAATGTAAACGTGAATGTAAGAGTCCTCCGGTAACCATAGTAACCATGACGCCAAAACAGTTGCTTGGATGTGTCCAGAAGTTTGTCAGGCTTAAAATAATACTCCCAGTCCATAGTATACAAACTTGATAAGGAAGTCTTATTAACGTGGAAACGCAATAAAAACAGTGTTATTTGACGAGTGAAATATAATTTTAAGGTAGCTGTGAAGTGAAGTGTTAGCCGCCATGAGCTGGAGAGAGCGAGGGTTGAGCTCCCTAGACAACACAATGAGAGAAGATGACGTGACTGATGATGACGATGATGATGATGATGGTGATGAGGAGAACCTCCAGAATGTCATGAGTCTCTGTAAGGAGTCTTCGAGCGGCCTCATGGCGACAGTCTCATCCCTACGCTCAACGGTAATCCAATCACTGCTGCAGGTGGCAAACGATATTGAACGCACAGAGCACCGCTCCTGTGCCAGGTAAGTCCACTACGGGCTCACCATAGCCCGTGTTACTTGCCCCGCTCCTGTGCCAGGTAAATTACGGGCTCACCATAGCCCGTGTTACTTGCCCCGCTCCTGTGCCAGGTAAGTCCACTACGGGCTCACCATAGCCCGTGCTACTTGCCCCGCTCCTGTGCCAGGTAAGTTACGGGCTCACCATAGCCCGTGCTACTTGCCCTGCTCCTGTGGCAGGAAAGTTACGGGCTCACCATAGCCCGTGCTACTTGGAACTTGTTCCGAGTAGCTGAATCTATAACAACAACGACGACATTGAACGCTGAATCAGCAACATTAGTCGAGCATGTTTTGCTCCCCCAGGGTTAATTAATATAGGCTCACAACTCCGTATATCTGGGCCTGGCACGACGCCATTACAGCTACACCAACTGATATAGAATTACTGCGTAAATGCATCTCAAAATGTCGGAATGTTTCGAGTTTATTATTCGCATCACGATGTGTCTGAGAGTGACCAATATATAATAATCGGTATATAGGTGGTATTTGATTTTTATTGTTATAACAGAATTTAGAATTAATTATATCTTTATTATTTATTATTATCAGTAACAATAATAATAATTATTATATGATGATGATACCATCACACATACATACATACATAGGGGTGACTCACTGATCTGACGCTATCAGCCGTGGGAGGAAGCACTCACTTCCTGACTACATAACTAGGTGAGTAAACACGCACACGCACACACACGCACACGCACACACGCACACACACACACACACACACACACACACACACACACACACACACACACACACACACACACACACACACACACACACACACACACACACACACTGTAAACCTTTGCTGTTTCCTTCCTGGGAGGTGCTCTCTCTAGAGTACTCTTCAATTTCACCAGCCTCCTTCTCTAGCTTTAGTAGATGTCTCGTGTGTGTGTGTGTGTGTGTTTATTATTTGTGCCTGCATAATCGAACTATTAGCTCTTGGACCCTGATTTCTAACCAATCTATTTTTCCCCTATTATATCTACTACATATATTTCTCTCTAACACGACACATCCCCAGGTACGAGGAAACACACAGGAATCTGTACTTGACCATACCGCAAAAGAAAGGAACAGCGGGGATATGATAATGATATACAAGATTCTAAGGAAAATTGTTTAAAGCGAGAAACAGTAGAACCAGGGAGCATATAGATGTAAGCTGGAGACACTAATGTGTCTGAGTTGTAAATAAATTTAATGAGTTAGACAAATATAATAATGATAATAATAATGTACTCAATACACAACTATACATGTAAACACAAATAACACCAAAATAAAACAAATTGTTGCTGTTTACTTGAGATAAATAAACAAACATTATGAATCATCAGGGGACGAATTATATATATGGTTACAGATCCAGACGTCGAAGCGCACCTCAGCGGAGGAGAGCGGAGGGGAGGAGGGCGTGGGCGTGTGCCGTGGGCGTGAGTGGGGGGAGATGGACCCACTCACCCTGCAGGTGGTAGGGGAGGCCCTGGCAGAGCAGGAACCCCACCTACCCGCCCTCACCCACACCAACGCCACCACCACCACCGCCCATGTCAAGACTCTCTCACTCCAGTTTAAGGGTACGTAGTCACCCCCTTTAAGGATTCCGTTTTCTCTTGTTTAGAAGGTCTTATTGTACTGTTTTCGCTTTGTTTTACATTTAGATTGTCGTAATGTTATCGGTCACGTCATATCCTGTGGTGTCACGTTACACCCCGCGTGCTGTCATATTACATTCCGTTCTGTTACGTCACATGTCAGGCGGAGGGAACTGGAATGTGACGTTACGTCACATCCCAGGGTTTTGTTCACACATCCTGCGCTGGTGCGTCACATCTCAACCTGTCACGTCACATCTCAACCTGTCACGTCACATCTCAACCTGTCACGTCACCTCAACCTGTCACGTCACATCTCGACCTGTCAAGTCACATCCCAGCGTATCAGTTCACACCCTAGAGTGTCACGTAACATCTCAACCTGTCACGTCACATCTCGGGTCAGTCACGTCACAGTCTATAAGCTGTCACTACACACCCGTGGGCGTCATGTCACAGCCTAGGGCTGTCAAATATCACGCCCTGAGAAACAGTGACTGCTAGCTGTGCTCAGTACACCTTCGGAGCGAAACCTTAGACAACCCGCCGGCTTCCTATCGTCGTCGAGGCCACTAGAGAGTCAGCAACCCTCAGGTAAACGTCCCTTAGCTCCCTCCAGGGCGGACACTTGTCATGCCAAACGGTAAAGAGTGACTTACTTGGCGCCATGCTCGCTGTCCACAGTCAGACTGCGGCGTCCCTCCGTCTCTACCCCCTTGCAGCTCTTATCTCAAGCTGTCCTCAGACCCACTCAACACCGCCTGTGTGTGTGTGCACATTCTCTGCCCACGTTTGAACTATGTGCCTCTTCGCCGAGCGGAACTAAAGATAGGAAGAAATCCAGGGTTGAGATAGTCTAGGTGTTAAGTTTGACGCTATTTTGGTTTGGTTTAGCTTAGCCGTGTTGTTAGTGCTTTGTCACTGTGCTGGCAGTCTTTGGAACTCGTTCCCTGATGAATTAAAATATTGTCCAGCCTATGTTCTGTTCAAAAGTAAAAGCCAAAATGTATTTAATTTCATCCTCATAGTTTCTTATCTTGTGCTTCAAACTCGCCCCGTATCTTGTACTACCCACTTCCCCAATATATATTACTTAAGTCTAAGTACTTAATCTTTGCCAGTGTAATCATCTGTCAGTTTATATCGCTGTTATAAAACCTTGCTACAATCTATTTTTACACCTTACCTGATATGTTAGATTAAGGACTTGCCTGCAAGAATGAAAAAATATCACTAATGTAATCTCACCAAGCCATTGTACCTTCTTGTAAATAAAAATATTATTATTATTATAGTAATACCAAAACCGCGGGCTCTGGAAGACCCAGGTGTTGGCACAGGTGCTGACACAGATGTTGACACAGGTGTTGGCACATTTGAGGCATGACCCACAACAAGAAACAATTACGAAGAGGAGAGATGTTCTGCTGGCATCCAATGAAGAGTTTGTGGTCTGAGCTTGTTGAAGCCTTTGAGCAGATGCAGACTATCCTCCTGGTGCAGCACAGGTGGACCGCTACTAGGTGAGTCCACTTGTGCTCTCACTCGTTTCCCAGTTGGACACCAAGAAGAATCTGTGCCGCTACTGTTGCTTGCCCTGGTGAGGTCTGTGCCGCTACTGTTGCTTGTCCTGGTGAGGATGACCACGGAGGTTCTAATCTCAAATTCCCGATGGAAGACACCGTGTCTGCACAACCTACTACCGTCAAACTTTGACAGTTCAACGGTGTGAAACAAAAGTTAACGCTTGATAGTGTGTAATGTGGCAGCTACAGCAGCAATATTATGAAGCTGTTTTAGCTCCCTCCGGATAGACTGAAACAAGACGGAAGTGTTCAAGTTACTCGCAGAAGCTGTCTGTAAATGGTTCGACGAGGAACACAAAGTTTGGCAAGTCTTCAGCAAGCCCCCCACTATAGTGGATCTGGCATCACTCACTCCATGCAGCCGTGAGCAGCCCGACAGTCGCATGTTGTTGCCTGTGTCGCATGCTGTACAGCATGGATACCGCAAGATCCTCATCCGGACGGTTGACACAGACGTCGTGTCTGTGCTACAGAACTCCAGTCGGCAGATAAACTGTGGCTGACATTTAGAATTGGGAAAAGAGCTTCCGGTACTTGTCAACCCACGAAATAACAGCTTGGATTGGACCAGAAAAGGTCAGGACATTGGCGGTGTTTGAAGCGATTCTAGGGCACGACAACATATCCATGCTCCCTCTTTGTGATCATGGTACATCCATGCTCCCTCTCTGTGACTATAGTACATCCATGCTCCCTCTCTGTGATCATGGTTCATCCATGCTCCCTCTCTGTAACCATAATACATCCATGCTCCCTCTCTGTGATCATGGTTCATCCATGCTCCCTCTCTGTAACCATAATACATCCATGCTCCCTCTCTGCCAACACAACAGTGTATCGCTACATCCGAAATATACCTAAATGTAGAACTCGTTTTGGGTAAAGTGTTGTCATGCAAAACATACAATTAGTTTAATCATTAAAATATCTTGTAATTTAATGACAAATATAACATAATGGTATTAAATACATTCCCAGGAACCCCGCATCATGATAAGAGGGTACAGTAAAAATACAGTTCCATCTCCCGACAAACAAAAGCAGCTAACATAAATTATCTGTGAACAGCAACAAAATACTAACGAGTTAACTAGATAGGTAATATATATCACATGGGAGTAAGATAATAGTTTGATGACCTTGTTTGATGTACTTAGAGGTACAGCTTTTTACAGTCTTTTTTACAGCCATTTGATTTGATTTGAGCGCCTTGGTGAGTGTCCAAAGGTCAGGTCATCACGCGTAATTATATTCTCTGAAATCTGTGCTTGACTCAGGCTTGGGGAGTCTGGACTTCCTGTGGATGTTGACCAACCTCACCCATCTGGAGGTGAGCAACAACTCCCTAACCCACACTAAAGGACTCGAGAGGCTCTCCATGTTGACCTGGCTCGACCTCTCCTTCAACCAGGTGAGTATGGTTATAATTATGATGATTATAATGACAATAATGACTGAGTACGATGACCATGCCACTGGTGGTGCTAGGCAGTACTTAAGAGAAGTATCCTTGACCGTTTGTCCTGTATAAGGTCGAACGGCTCACACAAGAGTGTATAACAACTCACTTTACCCCCCAATTGTTTTGTTCTTGATGGTGGTTGATACTCACCCGTTACACAGGTGAGTGACGTGAGTGTCCTTGAGACTCACGCTATGTTCCTCACGCAGGTGAGTGAGGTGGGAGGCTTGGGGAGCCTGCGGCGCCTGGAAGTGCTGGCGCTACACAACAACTGCCTGGAAGGCCTGGAACGAGGTGCCCTCCAGCCGCTGGCTCGTCTACACGTCCTCACTCTCGCTAACAACAGCATCTCCAGCATGGATGACGTCAGTTTAGCACACACATTGCTGTATTTTAGGAGCTAGTTTAGCACACATTGCTGTATTTTAGGAGCTAGTTTAGCACACATTGCTGTATTTTAGGAGCTAGTTTAGCGCACATTGCTGTATTTGAGGAGCTAATTTAGCACACATTGCTGTATTTTAGGAGCTAGTTTAGCAAACATTGCTGCTTTTGTAGATGGTAGTGTAGGGCATATTCAACTACACACACATAGGGAATTAATAGGCATCGTGACAGTAATGTACATGTGATACAAGGAGCTTTGTGGCGCGAGTCTTCGAGATAATATGTTCCCATTATGTTCTTATGGGGAGTGTTTATGTGTTGCTATGTACTCTCAACGCAAGGAGCGCGTTGAATGCGCATAGTACTAACATGAAGAACATTTAGTGATATTAGATTATTATGTGGCTGGAGTTAGTGTGTGCGGTGCAGGCTGGCTGATGAAGCGGGCGCTTGCAGGTGCGGACGCTACGCCAGGTGCGGAGTCTGGCGAGCCTGAGTCTGGCGAACAACCCGCTGTGTGACCACCACTACCCTGCCCGCGTCCTGGCTTACCTCCCTGCTCTCGTCTACCTAGACCACCGTAGACTCTCCCATCACCAGCACACCCACGCCGCCACCCTCTACAGGTACGTCCATGGCAGCCCTCCTCTACAGGTACGTCCATGGCAGCCCTCCTCTACAGGTACGTCCATGGCAGCCCTCCTCTACAGGTACGTCCATGGCAGCCCTCCATATGTACACACACACGTCTGTCACTGTTGGAATGCGTGATAAGAGGCGGAGTCCAGGAGCTGAATATCAGTTCCAACAGAGATGCCACACGCCCTTCCATGAGCCTCTGAAGGCTCTCCTCTCCAGGAATTTCTTTTGAAAGTCTCTTATGAAAGATTCTGCTCTGAAGAAGTTTCCTCTAACGGAATCTCTTATGTAGGAGTTTACTCGTATGGAGTTTCCTCCGAAGGAATCTCCTTTGAAGGGGTTTACTCTGAAGGAGTCTACAATGAAGGGGTCTCTTCTGAAACAGTCTCTGCTGAAGGAGTTTACTCTGAAGGAATTTACTTTGAAGTAGTCTTCTCTGAAGGACTCTCGTCTGAAGGAGTCTTCTCTGAAGGAATCTCTTCTGAAGAAATTTATTCTGAAGGAGTTTACTCTGAAAGCGTCTACTGTGAAGGAATCTCCTCTGAAGGAGTCTCCTTTGAAGGAGTCTACAGTGAAGGAGTCTCCTCTGAAGGAGCCTCCTTTCAAGGAGTCTACAGTCAAGGAGTCCCCTCTGAAGGAGTCTACAGTGAAGGAGTCTCCTCCGGGTCTCCTCTCCAACACTCAAGGTAATCTATCTTCCCACCATTATTAACACACATTAATATCATTTTCAGATATAATTATTGTTTTTAATCAAGTTATTTATAAAACTTAATTGATAACACAACAGAAATGCTGCCACAAGTGATTTTGGTAGTTTGCTTGGGGTGGTGGGTGGCGTCGGGCAGCCCCACGCTCCCAGGGTACGTGGTGGGGGGGCCTAGCAGGCCCAACACGGGGACCATTCCACAGACCCCCGGGGGCGGCGCCCCCCTGGCAGGCGGGTCGAGGGGCTCCCCCGAGGTGAACCCCAATAAGAGCGCCCCGGTGGGCCCCGGGAACAACTCCAATGCCTCATCCCGGGGCACGACTCAACGAGGGGTTGCTGACTACGTAACATTAGGGTTTGATGACTACCCAACAGTAGGGTTTGATGACTACCCAATAGTAGAGGATCCGGACAAGCCGTCTTCAGGTCCTGCCCTCCCGTCCCCAGGACCTTCGCCATTGGCTAAACTCTTCAAAGCCGCCGCCCAGCAGCCTTCCCTGAAGGAAATGTCGCTGAAGTCATTCCTAAAGAAAACGGAGAAAATAGACCGCAAGCTTTACGAGCGGGAGCAGCGGGTCCTGAAGAAGCGGGAGGAGAAGGCCAAGCAACGCGAGGAGCACCACCAGGAGAAAGTCAGGCGCCGCGAGAAGAAACAAAGGAAGGTGCATAAGATGGACGAGCGGACCGCCAAGCAACTGGAGGCGCGCAGTAACTTGCTGCGCATGATCTTAGAGAAGCAGCGCCTCTACTGGCAGAGCGCGGCGTCCGTACCCGGCGCCGCCAAGACTAGTGACGCCCTCCGCTCTCCCAACGCCGTCACACACATCACTTGATTCTTTTTCTATATATAACTTTTTTTTTGCCGCCAACTCTAGTTCAGCAACTTGAACTGGTCGGTACAGACATAGCCTTCCTTTTTGCAGGTTGGCGTTTGATCTCCGACGGTCCAAGTGGTGGGCACCGTTCTTTCCCTCCGTCTGATCCCAGATCCTTGTCCCAGTAATCGCTCTAATAGTTAAATATTGACTGTGAAAGAGGCAAGTATGTAGATAGAGGCAGCGGTGCCCGGGTAGTGATGATGGTTACAGAGATGAAGGTAGCAGGCAATGAAGGTCGTTACAGTGATGTGTAGTGTTGATGGTTAGTGATGAGTATGGTCATGTGAAGGTGATGAGTGTGGCCGTGTGTAGTGTAGATGGCCACAGTGTTGCAAGCTGTGTTTCAGTAAAGATGACAGCCGTTGTTAGTGAAGCAATTGTGGCGATGGTTGTATAGCGAAGATGGTTACAGTGATGAAGATAGTATAGTGAAGATGTGGCCTCCGTCACCCTGAGCAACACCGGGTAAAGAGACCAAAGAGCCAAAGCTCAACCCCCGCAAGCACAACATAGGTGAGTCCCCCCACCTAGTCGCAAGGAAGTTACATAGAGGATTAAACTTAGAATAAGAACTAAGACTTGGACGTTACTATAGCCGAGGTGTGGTTGGCAGGTCGGAGGTGGCGGTGGTGGAGGCCGAGGAGGAGAAGGCCAGGAAGCAGGAGGAGCAGGAGGTAGTGACGAGGACTTCACAGGAGCACCACAGGAGGGCAGGCGTCCTCGCCCTCAACGATGGCTCGCTCTTTGCAAGGATGTTCAGAGGAGACAAAGATATGGGAGTCCTTCTTCACCTTCCAGGCGCCAACTCCCTCATGACCAAGTGAGCTGGGATCCTCTGGTGGGTAGATGATGGGTAGATGATGGGTAGATAGTCAGAAGATGATGTATAGGTGGTGGGTTAAAGGTGTATAGGAACACTTGTAGGAAGGAATATAAGGCAAGCCAACGCATGTTTCTTCCCGAGGTACCGGGACCAGTTCAACGCGGTGTGTCTGCGGGTGTTCAACGCGGGTCTGGCTCACGACGACCAGCGCCAGACGGAGCTCAGGCTGCTGCAGGACGCCCTCCACGCTGCCAAGAACAATGCAGACACTCATGCCAGAGGGTAAGTGATGGCTCGGCTTTAGTGTCCCGTGGGTTACAAGGTGACTCTAGATGACCTCCCCCCCCCTCATGCTTTACAAAGCGAATCTATACTACCCAATTAATGAGAGGCTCTAGAACACTTCATTGGTCACATGACTCACATGACACATTGGTGGCTCTTGACAGTAAGATGTGAAGTACTTACCCGGGTAGAGTGATGTTTGAGAGAGGAGCCTGTGTTGCAGGGTGGTGCGGCGGGTGGAGGCAGAAGTAGACGTGGTTGTGGCAGCTGGCAGGGAGCTGAGAGCCGCAGAGGAGGCCAGTCTCGGAGACGACCAGGTGGCTACACATTACCTCTTCCTCCATAGTAGGCATCCATCAGTCTCAGGAGACTATGGAGTTGCGCTCTGGTTGTCGGTCTGGAGTGGCCTCACCAGGGCGCAAAGCCAGGGTAGGTTGATTCGGGGGAGAAGCTGTTACCCAGGCAGCAGGTCCCCCCTCTCCACGGCGCTGAAAGTCTCCAATGGAAAGGCATACACCAATACGATTGGTTCCAGATTGGTTCTTCCTCCATATTACTGCTACTACCGCCTTCATCTGTTTACTGTTAATGCATCCAAACCCGTCCTATATATCACACACGTTACCTTTTTAATCTGCATAATAAATTCCAGAGTGAGAGTCAAGTCAGTGTCCGGTATGGATTCAGACACCCTTAAATAAAATTTAACCCAACTTGTCATGATGATAGAGGGCTTTAAGGGTGAGATCACAGACTGTAAGCGGGCCCCTGCATTGGGGACCCCTGGAAACCCCACGAAATTTGGGTTCTTTGGGCCTCCGTGTGTAGGAGGTTCTGTAGGAAATCTTGCAACCCGTTCTCGCAAATTTAATAAGCCAATATTGACTTATTAGTTGCGTGCATAGGTGACATACTAAACATAATAGTTTCCCTTGAAAAGCTTCATAGAAAACACAGACCTTACCTAACCTACTTAGTATGTTAAAATAAGCATCTTATAGCTTCAACGGCACATAATGGGCTCAGGGACTGAACCCCACAATTCATTTAGTTGAGAAACTTCCAATCTTGATGAGCAAGTTACAAAATTCAGTAGACATTGTCACATCATTACTGGGTTCGAGATCGACCACAAGTACAGTTTTGCAAAAATCGTCACTCGATACGATCATGGACTGTTCACGTTCAAGTTAAGATCAGGACATAGCCCAGCTAAAGACTATAATACTATATTAGAGTGCGACTGTGTTGAAGTGATGAATTGTTGTATACTTCAGGATGCACACGAGACGAGGGTTACGAAGGCAGTGGCACTCCGGGAACAGTTTGACACCCTGCTGGATGATGCCTCACAAGAGCTCCTCACTGCCGAGGTCACACTCGCTGACCAAGTCAAGGTCAGTCAGCACGGTGGATGAATATAACGACATGAACTGCGGGCTCCGAATAAAGCTTTGGCACCTACAGTATTATGTTCAGTGCAGCACCTCAGAAGCATGTGGCACCCTCTGGTCTTCGCATTTTCTGTCAGTACAAGTGAGGTCACACTATAGAGAAAAGTTGATATGAGAATATATATATACATATTTTCGTCACTTGTGCAATATTCTTCTTTCTAACCTTTTATGTTCATGTTGTGTTCATGTCTTGGGTCATGAGAGACGTTAATGTTATGCAGGACGTGATTGACCGCGCCAGAGAGGAGTTGGGGACCTTAGTGGGGAACTTCCTGGAGGCCGCTGCTATGGACCTGCAGGAGGGACGACGCCTCGCCTACACCTTCTACTGTCGTCTCAGAGAACTTACAGCCAAAGTAAGTTTAAAACTAAAGAAATGATCTTGTAAACAAATCTACGGAGCAACAATCATCAGAGGGACTGAAGGAGGGGAACTTGTTTCCCTTGCCCGAGTTGGTAATATTAACGACAATGTTTTGAGTCGCCAATTTGTCGAGAGATAATAGGCATCCATCAGTCTCAGGAGACTATGGAGTTGCGCTCAGGTTGTCGGTCTGGAGTGGCCTCTCCAGGGCGCAAAGCCAGGGTAGGTTGATTCGGGGAGAAGCTGTTACCCAGGCAGCAGGTCCCCCCTCTCCACGGCGCTGAAAGTCTCCAATGCCCTCCCCTCATTTGTAACATTAAATAAAATAATCAATGTTGAACATCATTACTGATTATATAACAAACAAAATACTGTATCTGCTAGGAGAGGTAGATCTGATGAATTCAAGTACAATCAATCTGCCAGCAGTGTACAGTACAGTACTTTGTCACAGCTAAATAAAAGAAAATGTCTGTCTGTCTGTCCAAGGTTGGAGGCCATACACTTAAGACTAGCCTCACCTAACTTTCCTGTATGATAAAGTAGTGGTAAGGGACTGTCATAGGTTGGCATCAGCCCCATTCCCCGTATAAGATTTGGCTATTAATTTGATGATGTGGTTTGTAATATCCACATCATTGATATGCAATATGTGGCATCTATCAAGGTGTATTTCTTGGCAGGTAGTGGAGGATGGTGGTGTTGGAAGCAGCAAGGGTGTGGACGAGGAGCGAACAGCCCGAGTGTTTGAGGGAAGTGATACACTGACATCAGCTCTAGCTGGCATCCATGACCGTCATCTGGCTCTCATTGACTCCAGGGAAGTTGACCTCAGGCATCACTTGCAACACTGGCTTACTCACACACTTCAGGAGATCTCAAAGTAAGTCAATAGATCTTGATTTGGGTGTTAAAGATAGCATAGTTTGCCACTTGTGACCTATTGCTATCAATGTCTGAGCATTGTTTCAGCTTTCCATAATATTTTGCCTCGCCTAATACTCTTGCATGCTATCTAAACAACACTTCGTGCCATCCCCATTACATTGTAAAATGGAAAAATCTTTCAATATCTAATACTGTATTAATTTTAAGACTTGCCTGAGACGTGAAACTAGTCAGTGACTTTGTGAGATCTTATGCTACCTGTATGCAAATTATTGATCAATACATATTGGCAAAATTGTTGCTGTTTATTGTACTCATGTGAATATTGCATGCATGCTCCAAAATGTTTACAAAACCCAACATATTTTCTCATAAATAAATATATCAATAGAGGCCTGAATCAATACATCTCTACTACAACTCTCACCATATTTGAGCATCCCATAACATAGAACTCAAATTCAAATACAGTATTTCTTTTGAGAACCTTTTTTCCAGGTACTGTCTATATATGTATTTGTATTAAAGCAAACGACTTTGTGAATTTGCTGACATATTCCAGAGCGGAGTGGGTACGACACAGGAGACGAGTGGAAGAGATTACCACGCTGACAGCCAGACAGAGGCAGCTCCTCTATGATGCTCTGCCGAGCATTCATGAATAGAAGATTCTGGTTAAAATTAAAAAAAAAAAATAAAAAATCTGGTTAAAATTTACATTTATGAACTCAGAAATATACAAAGCGGCCTTTTAAGTTTTACTGTGCATAGCATTTTTTGTCTTTTTTTAAGACAGTTATGTGATCTTCAAAATTTTTAGGTGTTTTATTTTCTAGGTAGGTGGTTTTGTATTTTCTATTATCTCTATTTGGTATCCCTGTATTATGTCTTTTATTTTTGCAACTGTGCATGGCAATAGTTTGTGTTAGGGTTTTGTATGGTATTGGGAATGTACCAATGCTTGTATTGGTGGCAACTTAGTGCTGTAATTATACAATGTATTCATAATTAAAACATATGACAGTTTGCCTTATTGTTACTGTGCTGCCTATGTTGCCAGTCTTTGACAAGTAATTAATTATCAAAAGAAGGCATCAAGCTGGGAAGGCTATATAGTTTTTGACAAGGGTGTGTGTGCAAATTACCGAGATTGTCCAGGGGTTCAGCACAGGGTCAATACTTACTACAGTACATCAGTTGTGGCAAGTCATGGAATGATGACCATGTCATCAGGAGCCAGACATTAAACAGTCTGGCTCCTACCTTTGGCCTGAGGGGCAGCGCAAGCTCGACTCGACTATTTCCTGGAGCATCAGAGCATGCAAGCTCCTCCCCCACCATGATGAGATAGTTCCCATGGGATGGCATAAAAGCTGAACGTTGGCAAATAATCCGGTTAAAAAAGCAGGAAAAAATTAAACATATACAGTAGTACACTCAAAGTTACATTATACAACAGCCATGTAATGGATAACAAATAAACTTTACACTGCAGTACAGGTATATCATTACTGTCTCTGTATAACATATATATACAACTGTTGACATATTCAATAATGAAAGGAGTTCCTAGAGGAAACAAGCCATGAAAATGATATACAGAGATGGATAGTACACACTTTATTTACACACAAACACACTAGATTAGGTTTACAGGTAAGGGCTGTTGAAAACCTCACAGAATGATTGCCTGCATTGACATACATTAGCCATGGTAGTGAGAAGAACTAAGGAGGCCAGAAAGTGCCACACACTCTTAAGGTTGAGGGAAAGTGGTGCCAGAAATAAAATGCAATTGACACGAAATTGCAGTTTAGTGTACTGCCAATGCACAAAACAGCTGGAATACACTGAAAAAAAATAAGCAAGATCTAAGTGTGATAATTGGCAAATTAAATTATAACAAGAAATAGTGACATGGCAATCAACAGTAGCAAATGAAATCTGAAGAGAGTACTGTATATACAGGCAAGAGCAGGCTGCAGAGAAACAAACAAATCCTGTTAAAGAAAGGAAAGAGACAGTAGTTGTGAATTATATACCTGAGTCAGTGATGTACTTCTCCTGTAAATTATGGAAACTGCGAGGACAAATTTTTAACATAGACAACTTCTATTTAAATAGACTAAATTGTGCATGATGAACCAGACAGTTTGACTCACTCAAAACAAGGAAAAAAATGGGCTTGGTGAAGTATATTTTCCCGACTGTCAAAACACTTTTGATTCTCCCCATCATAAACGGCTAGTACACAAGATAGAGAAACAAGCTGGGAGGGTAATGGACTGGTTAAGAGAGCACCTAACAAACAAGAGGGTCATAGCGAGTAAGGAAATAAGAGTGGAGGAAAGTGGTACGTAGAGTACTGCAAGGTTCAGCGTTTCCAACCCTACCGATTCTCAACAATATGAATGACCTTCCAAAGTAGGTAATATCTTACATGATAATAATGGCAGACACTGCAAAATAATATTACAACCTAAACAAGCTGCAGGATTGAGAAAACAAATGGCTACATGAGCTTAATCCTAGAAACTAAAATGTAGCAAAGCTATAAGGTTGAGTTAATGGATCTCAGTCTTATGATATTAGTAGAAAGCAGGACTAGATGAGATATGATCACCATATATAAAATATAGATGGGGCACAAGTGAAATTTTGAAACAAATGAGACAAATATAAGAAACTACTCATATGCAAAGTAAGTGGTAAGTGGAATGAGCTCCATGGAGGCAGAGGCTACGAAAACCATCTCCATTCATAACTTCAATATCAAGAGTGATAAGCCACTAGTATGTCAGAGGTATAACTGTATCAGGTACAATAGCTGTGAGGTGGGAACCAAGAGCTATAACTTACTCATCGTAGGCTTAAGAGGTAGTAATATGCGTAGTAAATTTGACTCCAATCGTGTTAATCTGAACTGGACACAACCTTCACCTGAGCGTGTGGTTAAAGCTAGACTTTGCTCTGCCTTGCTCAACAGTAACATATACAACACTATGTATTCAAATCATATATAAAAATGGTGGGTATTAGTGTCTTGCAGAATATGTTGTGTGTAATCCTTTCTGATGTGTTTTACTTAATTCATTCCCAGAAAAAAGTGGAAGTAAAAATACAAGATTTTATTTTACAAGTGTGTAGACAAGAAGAAAAGCAAGAGAAACAACTATTGTACACAGATCACCGAGTCCATGTAGCAAATGAGTCATAGAGATGTAAGGAAATTCTCATACCCTGCTTGGGTAGTCAGCAAATAGTGCACTGAATGAATGGAGGTTGTTGAAGCCAATTCCATCCACAACGTTAAAGAAGTTGAATATAAAATGCAATGAGAAGGTTGCAAAGAACTTTTCTTCCCCTTTTTATTTTATTTATAAAAAGAAAATGTAATGCTATTTCTATACACATACCATGAAAAATTATACAGTACACATTTTCTAATACCCTGTATTACAAATATATAAAATAAACTTTTGGGTTAGAACTTGGTGACATTTTGGATGTTACCATCTGAGGTGGCATTTAATTCTGTTGTCAATAGATTGTTACATTTACTGGGTTCATGAGCCAGTTTTGAAAACCTGAGTACTGGGTCATATATTTTTCTAGGTACCGGGACTGAACATGAATGACTCTTAAAAGTTTTTATTTTTCTTTCCTTAGCCACAAATGACGTAAGCAGTGAAAGGGTTAAGCATTGAAAATTATTATGAAACCCTGTATACAAACTTCACTAGTAGCATCTTACCTGACTGACCAAGGAAAATCTTGCAGACAAGCAAGATTTAAACCACTTATAAAACATTGAAAAGAAAGATATTACTTACTGTACTATTCAAATACAGTATTAAGCTGTAGCTTTATAAGTACTGCAATGACTACATTTTAGATAACTTGAATTTCTATAATATACAATATCACAATTTAAAGGAATTATATATTATATTTTTATTGCATATAACCTAAAAGCTACAACAGGCATTACATTTACAAAGTATACAAATAAATTTAATACATAATTACATAATATACATAAAATACTTTACAAAAATTTCAAGAGGCTTATGTAATGGAATCTTGTAGAAGTGTCCACACTGTTGAGAAAGAGCACAAGAACATAAGAATGAAGGCAACTGCAGAAGGCGTATTGGCCATACGTGGCCGCTCCTATTTTTAATCACCATTTTAATTGAATTTTTTAATCATAATTTAATTTTTAATCATATTTTTAATCTCATTCATATATACTGTATGTCTAACCTTTGGCAATTAGGTAATTAGTGCGTCAGATATAAACCGCCAGGAGGCGAAGCACATCGAGCCCGATCTCATTCTCGTGTAGTCAGTGATACGTAGGCCCTTGAGCCCAGGTCTAGTGATGAAGCTACTGTAGCAAGAAACTTGAGATGCAGAGTAATATTGCCAAGAGACAGTATTTGGAAGGTACTCTGTCCTACCAACACAATCTATTACAATTATGCTGCAATAAATAAGATGTGTTTTTTATGTCTGCACTTAGTAGACAGTCTGGGAGCCGGTCGGCCGAGCGGACAGCACACTGGACTTGTGATCCTGTGGTCCCGGGTTCAATCCCGGGTGCCGGCGAGAAACGATGGGTAGAGTTTCTTTCACCCTATGCCCTTGTTACCTAGCAGTAAAATAGGTACCAGGGTGTTAGTCAGCTGTCACGGGCTGCTTCCTGGGGGTGGAGGCCTGGCCGAGGACCGGGCCGCGGGGACACTAAAGCCCCGAAATCATCTCAAGATAACCTCAAGATAACTTACCCTAAGCCTAGCATATCTGAAAAATATCACGCAAGAGCAAACCAACGGGGCTCTTGATGAGTCAAACTCCAGCATCTAGTACAGTGTTCAATACAGGTTTCATTATGTAAAACTTACTCAGTACAAGTTTTATTATGTAAATGCCCTATAGATTGTTTCATGGTAACAATATTAATATTGAACACAGTTTATACTTACACAAAATTGTGTAAGTATAATATTTATTATACTTACACAATATTGTAATATTAATATTACACAATATTTATCTGGAAATTAGCCAAACAATAACATTACTCAAGAACAATTGAATTCACATTAACACAATTTTCACTGAATATTTATTCCTCTTTACATTATGATCATATAGCAATATATTATATTAGATATAGATTGGTGATCTGTGCTTTATCCTTCCCATTCTTCAAGAGACAGGATGTAGACACAAGAGAAGCAGCTGAAATGCCTCAGCCAAACACAACCCCACTCACAAATACCCGTCTCTACTGCTGGATGCACAAATAACTTATGACAGGAACAGTAGGCATCCATTAGTCTCAGGAGACTATGGAGTTGCGCTCTGGTTGTTGGTCTGGAGTGGCCTCACCAGGGCGCAAAGCCAGGGTAGGTTGATTCGGGGGAGAAGCTGTTACCCAGGCAGCAGGTCCCCCCTCTCCATGGCGCTGAAAGTCTCCAGTGGAAAGGCTAACAAATGGAACAAATGCACCAATAATCAGTGCTGGAGCTTAATAGTAGGTGTTAAAAAAAACATCAAAGACAAAGCTGAAGATCTGGATGTTCAACTTTTACAAGCTACCATTATGCCACGGTGTCTAAATGTTGTACTTTGGTCCTATTTCATCCTAAGAACTACAAACAACTTTAGAAATACTGTATGTCATTCTGCTGTTGATGTTCTTATAAGAAGATCTGACTTTACAATTCTTATAGAATACTGTATTACTTTTATTGTCATCAGTGGAAGACTGTTAAAATGGAAGACAATTTTTTGATTACAAATAATCTTACAGATAAGTATTTACACCAGCCACTTGGAAAGAATATGTACGTCACAATTACTATGCAAACGATGGCATAATTTGTACACAATTTTCATGTACTACTTTGTGATGTGCAGTACTAAGTACTGATGTGCAGTACTAAGTACTCTCGCTCGCTCGCTCTCTCTCGCTCGCTCGCTCGCTCTCTCTCTCGCTCGCTCTCTCTCTCGCTCGCGCTCTCTCGCTCGCTCGCGCTCTCTCGCTCGCTCGCTCTCTCTCGCTCGCTCGCTCTCTCTCGCTCGCTCGCTCTCTCTCGCTCGCTCGCTCTCTCTCGCTCGCTCGCGCTCTCTCGCTCGCTCGCGCTCTCTCGCTCGCTCTCTCTCGTTCGCGCTCTCTCGCTCGCTCGCTCTCTCTCGCTCGCTCTCTCTCGCTCGCGCTCTCTCGCTCGCTCGCTCTCTCTCGCTCGCGCTCTCTCTCTCGCTCGCTCTCTCTCTCTCGCTCGCGCTCGCTCTCTCTCTCTCGCTCGCGCTCGCTCTCTCTCGCTCGCTCGCTCTCTCGCTCGCGCTCTCTCGCTCGCGCTCTCTCGCTCGCGCTCTCTCGCTCGCGCTCTCTCTCGCTCGCGCTCTCTCGCTCGCGCTCTCTCGCTCGCGCTCTCTCGTCTCGCGCTCTCTCGCTCGCTCGCTCTCTCTCGCTCGCTCTCTCTCGCTCGCGCTCTCTCGCTCGCTCTCTCTCGCTCTCTCTCTCTCGCTCGCTCTCTCTCGCGCTCTCTCGCTCGCTCGCTCTCTCTCGCTCTCTCTCGCTCGCGCTCTCTCTCTCTCTCTCTCTCTCTCGCTCGCTCTCTCTCGCTCGCTCGCTCTCTCTCGCGCTCTCTCAACAACATGGCACGTCTCCTAAAAGTGTGGTATAATACTTCTCCATGCAGGAGGCTACCAGCTCATCTACAGCCAATATCAAAAGCAACAAAGCCCCAAGTGTAAATTTGTTCTTTTACAAGAAAAAAAATTCAGGCATGAATTTACCCAGTTTTGTTGTCAAGGTTTTATGTGAACCACCAAATATGAGATCCACATTATAGAAATCTCTATGGAATACAAATTCTTACTGAAACACCTACATTAGACTGACTTGCATAGCCAAAACCTGTTTAATAAAACCACTTTCAACTGCATTTTTTAATTACCTAATCATTATATAGGAAGTGACTAAAAAAAATCATGTGTCAGTACTATATACTTAAATAAAATAGTAGCCTAACTTTTTAATTGTTTCAAACTAAATATGACTAGCACCATCAAATATCTTGCATGTCCATTTTTGCTATCTGACTAAATTTAAAATGTTAAATAGAATTAAAAATTTACATCTTCAAGAAATGTTCTACTTTTTGTTTTTAAACAATTTAAATATGTAATTTCTCTGCATAAAATTTCCTTAAATTATTTTCATGTAAAACACAGCATGTGAATAGCAGCTGAACATTCTGTGGTGTTCTATGTCCAAGTCTCCATGGGTAGAAGGTACTCCTTGGTCCCCACACCTGGCTTCAAGATTTCATCCTTCAGAAAGTCCAGAGGGAACTGAACCAAATGTCCCTGCAAGAAAAGGAAACTATTAAACAATTTAATTACAATGATTATAGGCTTAAGACTTACACAAGATCCCCTGTACATTGAAACAAAACTTAAAAATTACACAATACAGTACGACAAAATTATAATCATTGGAAAACTCATGCCGAGCCATCAAGTTACCTGAACTTGCTGTAGCCTTGCTTGTGCATCTGTTGGGTTCACGTGTGCAAGAGTCATAACATTTCTCAGCTCATCCACTGCCTGAAATGTTGTTGCACTGTTGCACGGGTAGCAGGAGAACACCTGTCATCCAGAAAACGTCAAATTATAGTGCAAACAAGACATGCCAAATATTGTATCTCGTTCACATGATATAACTAAAAACTTCATCAACTATTACATATTAAATGAGTCTGTAAAAAGGTTGTATCAGCTCAAGACTTTCATTTGTAGCAAATGCTGTTCAAGACCTGCGAGACTGGCATAAATTCCTCAATAACTCCATTTTGCTCATCACTAAGAAATTTTAACTTAAATTTTTATCGGAAAGTGAAGGAAAGAATGTATGGATAAACAGGTTAATGAAAGAAGCAAAACAATATATAACTTGCTGACTGATATGAAGTTTAAAACTATGCTGCTACAAGTGAGAAGAATGTTAATGTCTGCTTTTTAATGAAAGAAAATTATGGAATAACAAGAATGGAGGAAATGAGGAATCACAAGAATGGAGAAAGTAATGAGTTAATAATGCAGAGCAAAATGGAAATAACTCCTGAGAAGAGTAATAAGAGCGCATAGTGAAACTAATGTGTGTGTTAAGAGCAACAATAGCGATATCAGATCAGACATGAGGTGAAAGCATCTTCCATATACAAATGAGAAAAAGACAAGTAAAGCAGAATGTAAAAAAAAAATAAGCCCCCTCATTCTAGTGCCTCAATGACATACACAAGTTTAACGAGTAAAAATACAAAAATCTTGAAAGAAATATAATCAATCTACTGTAAGTAGAACCTCACCTCCTCGTATATTAATGTGTTTTTATTGGCAATGTAGGACCAGACATTGACAAAGAAGGCATCAGAGATGGGGTCACAAACATCAAAGGCTGGCACCTGACAGTCCTGGATACCCAGGTGTTCACAAAACAAGTATTTCCTCATACTGCCGGCAAACACCCCAGCCTGGTATGGCTTACCATTCATAATACTCTCCTCAAACTCTTGGTCCTGTAAGAATATTATCACACACTGTAAACTGACTATGCAATCTTGGTGCAGCTTGGTGGGCAATATTCTGGCCACAATAATGTATTTACAATATTAATATTTGCAAATACATCAAATACAAGACTGAACATTCATATATCAGCAGTTTTTTTTGGAATTGTCTTAACTACAAACAAATACAAAAATATGAATGAAAATATGCAGCAAAGTACCTTAAGATTCTTTCAGTGAAAGAACTGCAAACTGGTAATCCAAATACTGTAAATTAATCAATTTACTGTATATATATATCAAACTATTTTGTCTTAATATTAGTTAAATATTAAATTAAGAAGGCACTTTACCTCAATGACAAGACACACTTCAGAATCTCTATTTCCATTAAGGCTGCGATCATTGATATTTGCCGATCCAGCAATAACAAATCGATCATCTACAATCATTAATTTGGAATGGATGTATACAAGCTCTGACACTGGATGGTCGCCCAGGTTCTCATGTGTACGCAAGGAGCAGAACGACACGTACCGCTCCCAGTCTGTGACACCACGCTCTTTCAGGCAATGAATCACACTGGATTTACCGCTGCAGTAATAAAAAGTTATTGAAACACTACATTTTTTTATGATAAATAAAATATGCAATAGCATTCAACTGATGTGTGATCAGTATACATTATATATTAAGTTTACTAAAACAGTAGATCAAAATCTATGATGAGTGATGATCAAAAACATGATGAGTTATATTTGTTACAAAATCCCCCTAAATACTTGGCAATTAAACAATAATAAAGATTTCAAGACCCAATACATTAGGATTTTCGATGTTACACTGAATAAGTTATAAAGCTTGCCTGTTCTACTGCCTGAAAATAGCTCACACTATAAATTAACAATCAACATATAGCAAGGGTGTGCTGTGCTTCATGATTCTCAACTTTATCCTAAATACAACAAAAGTTATATCCAAATAGTCTGTTGTTGCCTTACCGGGATATACTCATGTAATTCCAGTATACAATGTACTGCATTGCTATACCGCTTGATTTGCCAATCATTCCTTCAAAGGCTGGCAGGAGAGGCAGCAGGATGAATACTCGGAAAACTTCACCATTGCTAAAAATGTTAAGAAAACAAGGCTTTGAGTTAACATCAAAAAACATCTTACTCAGTTAGGAAGCCACCGGGACCTCTTTTTTTACTGAATGGGGTGAGAATAGCTTGAGCTACCTCATCCCTTTGTGTGTATTTTACCTCAATAAACTTATTTCAATTTCAATTTCAGTTAGGAAGGGGTCCAAGTTTATCATCAATATACCCCTGTCAGCCATCCTGGCCTGAACATAGTCTTTCTTGTGACTCCCTAGCATCTTAAATGACTCTGCAGCGATGCCTTAATTTAAATGTAGTACTGTACTGTCGTACTGGTGCCATTATGTTGACCAGCCTGTGCATGATTATGGTCATAAGACACAGCAAATCTTTACCTTAAGGAGCAACTGAATGAGAGTTCAGAAAACATTTTATACAGTAACAGTAAAACCATTTAATGAAACTTTAAAAATCAAATATATAATAAGATAATGTTAGAGATTTAGAACGTGCGATTAAACACACAAATCTTACTTATGTGCTCGGACAATGCGGTCCACAATTTCATGACCAATGTAATTGGTAACCTCTTTCTGTTCATTAATATTGCCACATGTGATGAAGAACTGGTTTTCTATATATATGTAGTGTTTGGCTTTCCGAATAAGATCAACATACGCGGCAAAAATACTGGCTTCGTCTTCGTCCAGTCCTGCGCTCCAATTGCCCACGCTACGTACAACCTGGAAAATAAACATTAAATTCAAATATATTTTGTAAAACATTAAATGAAGGCTGTCGTGGTCACCTGAACCTGGTGCCTCCCGAGGCATGCCATACACATAACTCATTCACAATACAAACTGGATGAATACAAAATGGATGGTGAACAAAATACATATTCATCAAATTTATCTGCCTATTTTTTATCCATTTATTTATCTAATTATGTGCTACCCATCAACCTATTTATAATTTCTCTCTTAATGGTGAACTCCTTTACCAACATATATATTTATTTATGTATTCCATTTCCAATTTGATGTCAAACAGGTGGATGCAAGGCAGCATAAACCTTGTTTTGTAATGCGGTAAATATAACCCAACAAGCACAAAGGTATGCATGAAACTATTAAATGTTTTATAGTTCTTCTTTGAAAAATAAGGCAAAAAGAAGAAGAAAGAGCGAGAGTGTAATGTTGGAAATATCGATGTATTCGATAACGTATGAAATACATCGAATACATGTTGGAGACATCCTCACCTGACACTTCACTTGATGCTTAGGTTCCATGTTAGATGGCACGAAATACTCCCTGTTGTACGACCTCGGCACCAAGTATGGATAATTAGCATTAGGTTTAACCTGAAATATAAGGAACAAAAATACATTTTGGATATTTATTAAGCAATACTAAATACAAATGGTGGTAGTAGCACTTACTCTTCCCTTAACTGGTATTAAATCAAGTACTTTATTACACACACTTTACTAGGAATTATTTTCTATAACAGTGTATTAAAATTTGAAATATTCTTTCAGTCCACCTTAGAAAATCATTTTATAAATGTAGAGGGAACAATGTCAACTAAGTATGGTCGAACTACGGCAAATGTGATCGAATGTTGTAACTCACAGGTACGAAGACGTCGGCTACTTGCCAACCTTCTTGCTGAAGCACAAGTGATAGTCCTCTAACTTATTTTAAAAGCAGCATTAAAGCAAAAATGGAATAATTTATAGTTAGAAATGAGATAAGCAAAGGCAAGTTGAACATTAACATACGGTGTTAGTTATTAGTAAGCTTTAAAGTTCAGTTAGTTATTAGTAAGTTTAAAGTACAGTATGTTATTAGTATGCTTTAAAGTACAGTATTGTATTGCAGAATGAATATATAAGACAAAATTAAGAATAAATAGTAACAACGAGTCACAATAACGTGGCTGAAGATATGATGACCAAACCACACGTCAGAAAATGGAGAAATGACATCGTTTCCCCATTTTCCGATGTGTGGTTTCGTCATCATAAGAATAAATATATAAGATATGTTGGCAAAAAGCTACCAGAGACACACACAGAAAATAAACTGTGAAGATGGCTTGGATAGCTGTACTGCATGCGAGAGGAGAATGTTATAGAAGTGCAAATTAACAGTTGCAAGAAACAAGTGTAGATGAAATGTTGCAGAAAGAGTTTGCTTTGAAACCATTTTTTGAGAGACGTGACAATACATGGAAGCATGGGCCCTCAAAGGCCCAAGAATAGGATAGTATATCCCTTTAGTTGTAAAAATTCAATCTAACTTGCTGTATTAAAGTCAAGGATATATACAAGAGGAATAAGGGGCCTCACAATGTTTGATCCACCACATTTTATGTGGTTAATGAGGCACTGATTAAAGACAAAAGGAAATTATATGAAGCAGCCAACCACCACCACTAGGTGGACCTATGTGGTAAGTAAAAACATCTTTAAAGTACAATATTTCTAGTTGTTGTCCATTACCATAAATACAATGGTAACTAACTTTATGTAAAGTTACAATGGTAACTTATTTTACATAATATACCTAAAATTCAGCCTGAGCATGGACATTCCATAGGCGAATAGCAAAAAAGTGAAAAATAAATTTACACCAGCATTAAAGGCGTACCTTTTCAGTTTTTACAGCATTCCAGCGTTGAATAAAATGGCGAGCTGCATCACGAGCAGCTGGTCCCTCAACAAAGAGGCCAATGTCATGCCACGGCATACGTGGAGTGTGATGGCGATTAACAATATCTGAGAAGAATGTGTATTATACTTCAGTGATACAACTAAGCATTTGTAGCAAACATTTCTTGTATATTTGGGAACTGAAAATTAATATACAAAAGCTTCTTTCTGGTAAATATGCCTTATAGTGATCCATTGCTGCTACCTGTTCCTTACTATTTAATTATACAATACAATACCCATGTTAATATTCTAATTTAGTAGTTACTGCTGTCAGCAATACCTTACCTTTGAAGGGTTCATCCAAGTTATCCAGATCTTTACTGATCCAGTTGACATAGTCTTTACCAACCCAGAGATGAGTTGAGGTCGTATCTTCCATGGTGACCAAGTTGTGGGCATGGGCAAGTGAAGAGCAGCTGCCCATTTTCTCTTTGGTAGCCAACTTAAGTTTGTGACGCTTGTAGAACCTACATACATACAGACAACACCCAACGGTCAATGAATATCATCAGCAATGTAATAAAGATTTGTCGTTTCATTACACTATTTTATATAACTCTAATGAAACAAAATATTATATACACACTAACTCAAGCTTCATTACAAAAAAATATTTTATATTTATCACTTTATCCCTCTATACCTTATGCTCCTACATTTTATTACTTTACACACATTTTCACAATTTTGAAGAAAATCAACAGTATTTCTGAAACTGTAACATATAAATAGAAGTTGTATAATGTAAAGGTCAACTGGCATGAAGGTAAACAAACCTATTTCTTGAGTTCTGTACCGTCTCTCCTTCGTCAGATGAACTATCTGAAATTTCAGAGTCCGAACTGTTTCTCCTGGAAATTAGGAGTACGGCATGTAGAAATATTTCATATCATTAGGCACACACATTTTGCACACACATCCATGTTTTAGTACAAAAATTCATGCAGGCATAACTATTTAGGCTACTGAATAAAATCATTTAATTATTCTAATGCTTGGGTCAGTCAACTTTAGCACACCTTTGACATGCATCAAATCTTTTAAGTCTCCTTTTCTACTTTTTAAGCCAGTTAATGATGCACTCAAATGAATTAACATATCAAAATAGGATAAAAAAACAGCTCAAATAAAATTAAAAATAAAGTGTTTAACACAATATTTGGCAATGCAATAATCTGTGAAACTCTTGCTGTGTGTGTGTAGTAGTAGTAGTAGTACAATAATGGTACAGGTGACTTGCATGACTGAGATAGTGATTTTAGGACTGACAGTGAAGCTACGATGACTTGCTGTGATGATGTGACTTACAGTGAGATGGTAGTGGTGGCAACTAATTGTTTTGGTGGAGGCGACTATGGTGATAGGTGAAAGGGATTTGTGAGGGGTGGTGGGACAGCCCTCTTGAAAAAATTCACTGAACTTTACATTCTATTTCACTGTAGTGACCTACTTTAAAACCATTATGGGTACCCCCCCCCCCCAAAAGAAAAAAAAAAAGAGATGTGACATATATTTGCCCAAATACAGTAGCATTATTATTTTGATAATAATGGAACTACAAGTATTATGAAAGAAACAACTAATTAACAATAAAATGTGAAACTTCATATTCCCTGTAAGCAGTTCATACAACACTAAACAAGTCTAACTATGCTAGTTTCACCTGCTTATTAAATACTGTACTTCCTAAAAAAAAAATTAAATAGCATTTAACCAAGCAAATCTGTAGTAAATTAGATTGAGAGTTTTAGTTTTTGCATAAATACTGATTATTCCAAAGAACTTGCATTAAGGGAAGCAAACACTGCAACTGAACAAATTCCGCTCAAAATCTGATGTTAATTGACTTACCGATGTAACTGAGGTAGCTTATGAGCAGTCCACGCTCGCACTTCCCGCCCCTTTTCTTTTACTTCCTCAACAAGCTCCAGACCTATTTTGCGTACTTCCCTAAAGCTTTTCCCCATTTTCCCTTCACGCTGTTCATCGTCACTGCTCTGGTCACTCAACTGAGATGGATCTTTAACAGATTTTGGCTCACGTCTAAAGAATCTGGACTTGGCATTTAATGTCTTTGCGGAAGATTGTAAGGGCATACTTTCAATAGCTGTAGATTCTCCTGAAATTTTCTCATTACTAATATTATTTTTTGCATCTTCAGAAGAGGTTTTATGAGCCGTCATCTCTATTCCTACTGTACCACTGTGATCCACTGTGTCTTCACCATGAACCACTGAAGCATTTTCAGCAACATTTCTCTCTGGACTTTCATCAGACCTCTTTGGGGATTCAGATTCATTTGGATTTAGGAAGAGTGAACTGGCAGTGGTACTCTGTGTCGTGTTACCACAAACGGAGGCATCCAAAGATGTTCTTCTGCTACTGGGTGTTGATCGGTTAACTGTGTTCATTAGCACCTCATTTGTCCCACGCACCAACTGCTGCAGAGCGCTTCCTAGGATTCCTTGGCGAACTGGAGATGCCTGCACTCCAGCATGTCCAATGTCTACAAGCCTATGTCAATAAAATTCTATCATTGGTCATATAAAATGACTTTAAAATAAATTATTATGATGAGAAAGTGTATTGTTATATTGTTATAATTACTCTACTAAATATTGTAAAGCACACCTATGTTACGCACAAAATTAGCAATAACCTATTATTGGATATATTATTTTGTAAGTTGCAAAGTGAGCAACAGCTTGCAAAAGATGGTTACATCAAATCTCATTGGGCTGCTGAGGAAAAAGTATGAAAGACTATTCCAGTAAATAATGCAATATCTCAACACTGAGCATCTAAAATTGCTACCTGAAAACTGTCCTAAGTTCTTACTTGTGTCTATAATCATCCCATCGTCCAAAGGCCAGGTCAATTCCACTGACGAATGCATACATCTGATCGATGATGACGAGCTTTTCATGGTGAGCCCAGTACAGCACTCCTCCTGATAGATGATCTGGGTGACGAAGTACCTACACAGAATACGGAAATTACAGCACATTAACAAAGTAGTTGTCCTTCCTGTCCAATTAAAAAGATATCAAGCATCTTTAAAAAGTAAACAAATGGGGATTACAAAACATTATCGTGTATTTAACTGTAGTCTTATTACTGCACAGAAAATGGCTCATGAAGAAGAACACAAAAGTTGTGGACTAGGATCCCAGAAAGCACCAAACTCACTACTGTATTCACAGACCAAAGACCAGAAGGAAGAAAAAACTCTTGAAATAAATCAGTTGAAATTGCTTCATATATCTGAAAGATGTACTGAGCAGCAAGGTTTCTCAGCTACAGTTAATGTGTTGCGGTCAGCTCTTGTGATACCCCGAAGGTGTGGAGTGAGTTTATAACTACTGTACTGTACACATATTTCATATAATGTTGTAATTATGACATTAGGTCAGCCATTTTCTGTAAAGTTGTGTAAACTAACCTAACTATAAATATACAAATAGGACATTTATGAATAAGGTTATGATTGATTGATTGATGACTGATGTGCTTGAGAAAGATGACCGAGCCACCATACCTCTAAATTATAAACAACAAATTATACAAATGGGCTAGAGCATATGCATAACAAAATTTCAAACATTTCCATGAAGAACTTTACTTTATAATAGAGCAAAATGAACTAGAGCCTATACAGCTGCTGAAGAAGCTACCTCCCGCAGATCAGTTATCACTCCACACCATCAGATATCACAAGAGATATCACACACAGATATCACACACAACATGAACAATGTTACCCCATAACACCCCAACAAAGTTATGTATAAAGATTCCATTAAATACTGTACCTTGATATTGGGATGAAGTTGGTTAACAGTATGCTTTGTAAGAAGAGAGCTGATCCCCAAAGCCAGTTCTACCTCCTTGTATAGCAAGATAAATACTCTCACTCCACTTTCAGCTTTCCTTCTTAGTATTTCTCCCAACCTGGAAATGTTGTCTGTTACCTTATATAATTATTATTCAAACCTACTTCTTTAACATTAAATTTATGCTGATGTTACTGAACATCCGATCTATCTGGTCTTTATATAACACTCAAGACACTGGACGCGTCTGTGAACAACTCGTGTACAGGGGGTAAGGAGGCACGAGGCCGCCATAGAAATAAGCCCTAAAATGTCCATAGAGGTAGCCAAAGATTCTGAAGATTCTGCAAGGTCAAAGGAGAACACTTTCCGAGTCTCAGAGCAAGCAAAGTTCAGATAGCTCAGAATATAATGGAGTATATGATGGGACTGCTGCCACCTCTCAATGACCAAGCATAGATGGTAAGCGAGTCGAGTCAAGACAAGGTCTGGACTTCCGTGCACTGGTCACAAACCAGTGCATTTCTATGGGCCATTGCTCCTCGTGCCTCTGATGGGGGCTAGATTCTAGCTCGTGGTCCCCAGTAGGCCTATAATTCCACCCACATCGACTGATGCCAAATTCTAAAGAGATACATATTAGCCTGGATAGCTCTGGGAAGCAGTAGGGGCTCCTCCTAGAAAATACAAAATTACTATAGGTACACCATGCATTAAGCTTGCACACAGATATCAAGTACAGGTACCTAAAATATAGAAAATGTACACTGTACCTAAATGTATACTGTTTACAATCCTACTACTACTACTGTGCACTTCAGATTAGAAGATTCTCAAACATCCTGTACTCAACCCTACACCAGACCAAGACCAAAGTGATGCCACTAAAAAAAAAAAAAAAAAAAAGATGGAAGGCATTATCCTGTTTCCACGAACCTCCAACGTCGTCCTGTTAGGTCAGGTCGCTTAAGGTAAATTTGTGGGCTCATCCACCAGTCGGTAATAAAAATTTCCTCCTTCGCCCCCTCAAGCATGTCTGCCACATCCCACATGTACCGGGCACCATCCACGTACCTGAGGTATAAACAGGCAACACATCATTACTCATGGCAACACATCCTCTTTTTGTACACAAGCTTAGTCGAAACTTAATGCTGTCATCTAATATCAAACCTAAAAAATAATGAGAACAAATATGTTCATAAAGAAATGTGATGAGTTTGGTGAGCTGTTTTAAAACTTGCTGGGAGAAATAATTCCATGGTGTATTTAGGCCTCATTCCAGGTATTGGAACCAGCTATATCAGATGAATAACTATGCTCTAAATCTTTTCAGTCCAATGATATACAATAATTATATGCAGTAACAAGATTTATTTTAATAACCCTCATCTATAAAACAGATACTACTAAACAAGGTAATTCCATAGGGTGGCTATCCATAAAGTGCTAGACAGTCCCATAACTCACCAGCGAGCATAGGACCCACGCCGGACTGGGGCAAAGGATCCATATCGCAGATCTTGGTTGGTGAAGTCTTTGGCTGTAATGAACATATATATGGTAATACTATAAGGCAAATTATAAGTCATGCTTAATATTTATACACATGGAAAGATTAAAATACAGTAATCTATGTTTTGAAGAGTTAAAGATAGTAAAAGAAAACTATAATACTAAATTTATTTTGTCTACATACGTAGACAAAATCCAAGTACCCGTAGAGACAAATCATAATTGAAGAACACATTTTCCCTGTAAGATTTGTACCAAATTTGTTATGTTCGCGAAAATCTTTACACGCAAAACATTCTCTTCAATGAAGTCTATTCTGCTTAGAGAACCTATAGTGAAACCAGCCCTTGGAGCTTTATTCATTCCCTTCAGTGGTATTAACCAAATATGTACTTTGTACATATTATGTACTTAAATATCAACACTTGACTTTCTAATTCCTTCCACTTTTAGCAGCATCACGAGAAACCAGTTCCACACGACTAGCAAAATATTTCAAATAGGCACGAAACAAATTGCTTACCATATTTACGTTGTGTTTTAGTAATGACTGAATACCACTCCTTTTTGCTGCTCTCTGAGTCACACTTTATCATCAGTGACCTGTGGGAAAGAACATATCAACATACTTCTAGATCATGATGTATTTGGAAAGGCCATATCTATGTTATCATATATGTCTACTTTATCACATACCTGGAGCTACCTGGAGAGGGTTCTGGGAGTTGTTCTACTTCCCGAGCCCAGCCTGAGGCCAGGCTCGACTTGTAACAACACGTTTATGTAGGAGTAATTTTATTGTAGGTTTTTGTTTCAACAAAGAATTGATGAGTGGTGGTAGAAAGAAGGTTCTTCCAGACACCTCGTGTTAACACTAACTGTGTGACTTAAGTAAGATGCATTTCAGAACCAAGATTTTTATTACATAAAGACTATAGATACAGTAATCTATGTACCATATTATAGCATTAAAGCTTCATTAACACAATTTCATGTTTGATCTCCTTGCATAGAACTGGGAATTAAATATAAAATAATTCATACATTGTTCCTGAAACTGATGATAGTTACCCATCCTACAGTATTCTCAGCCATCCAGTAGTTAGCGAGTGTCTCACGGCTCTTCCTATTCTGATCATGAGTAATCTGCTACACAAGTCAATTTACTATGCTCGCCCCAACAAGAACAGCTAAAGTGACAATTTGCATTGAGACAATAGTTAATTCCTAAACACTCAAAGCATTTGAGAGCCCAATTTTGCATCACAAAGATTCCTCACTCACCTGAAATTATACTTTAGATTTAAAACCCTAATTTTAGTTATAGCAAAAATGAATCTGTTTAATGTAAGATTAAGGCCAAATCTGTAGGACACATACCTCGAGAGATTAGATATGAGAAGACTGTTGCGAGCACCAATTAGTCTATAGCTGTGAGAGATCTGGAAGCCAGAGTCCATGAGCATTACAGTGCGCACTTGACCGCTCTCTGGGGCCAGGAAGAAGAGGCACGTTTCCTTCAGTACCAGCCAGCGGTTCTTATATTTTCCTGTACATGTTGAACACCTGAAGGGAGTAAAGACTATAAATTAGATTTAAAACATACATTGGCATACACCTTAAAAGTCTGGTCACAGCACCTTTTATCATATTCAGACAAATGTCTAAATCAACATTCATTAAAGAAATGTATTCCACATTTAAAGTATATGAGTTTCCAGGCTGTCTGATGAGTTGTCTAACTTGGTATACAGTATTTAATTCAGCATAAATTTTAGTATAGTACTTATGAAGCCACAGCAAAGTTCACATTACTCGAGGAAGGCTTTTCCATGTTAATTCAACAGTTATACAAGTGGTTTTGTTGTAATTTGTCAATACTGCACAAAATAAAGAAGCCACTAATAATTCAGTCTGTTCTCCCAAGCACTCCCAACATCACAAACTGCTGTACTCAATTGCCCAAATTGTACTCAACAGGACAGAGATTGGACCAAAGAGCCAGAGCTTAAACCCCACAAGCACAACTAGGCGAGTACACCACATCAATTTTGCAAGCCACTACATACCATATTTAGTTCATCAATTTTTGGCTTTAGTGAAATATACTTTTCAGAGGAATTGATTGAATAATTTAGAAGGACAAGAGAATTTAGTAACATAAATGATTCACAAAACTTTATTGATAAACATTCTTTTGTAGACTTATCATTTTAACTAATGACTAAAAATATTTCAATTACAATCTCTACTTCCTTAAAAAGAAGACATGAAAAGTAAACCTGTTATTGCAAATTCATAAGTATTCTACAAACTTGTACAACTTCAGCAAACTTTGGGATGATAGGGAATATTTTTAACATTACCACAATTTTTAAGCACTGAGTAAACTAACAAAACCACAAGAGTATAACAAATACAACACAAAAGTCAACTTCACACTACTAACACCCTCACCAGTTACAGCAACCATGCGGGTTCCCGCTGCCGGTCCTCTTGCCAACATATCCCTCTTTAATCTTCTCTCCCAGCTCATTGATGAAGGATACAGGAGATATCTGGAACAAGTATCTCATTATATACCCACATATATTATACCCATCATTATTACAGTATCAGAGGCCAGCAATTAGTTAACCTTTCAGCAAATATAGAAAATATTGCCGGAACAAAGATCAAAGTCTTCAAGACTTGACTAAGCAGGCTCCAATGTGACGTACAGGATGAGAGTGTTTGTGAATACTATGTGGGCCTTTGGGCCACTGCCAACACCAATATTATCCACAAAGTCATTAGGAAAGCTAAGATTCAAGCTGGTCTACAGAACCAAAGGAAATCTCAGAACTGGATACAGATAATCCCTCATATAGTCATTATTCTTATTTCTCACTTCCCGTGGATCTGGAGGCTACACTTGAGAAAAAAGGTGAGTAGTATAATGAAAAGTTTCTCAAGATGAATAGTGGGGATCATCCACAAGTTCTCTGCTTCATGTCCCCAACACAACCACTAGAGATAGTGGCCATCAGGTAAATCAGTTAGATTAGATATTAACAAAATGAATAACATATATAGCTATGCTTACTCTTATCAATCTTTGAAGAATATCAGCATACATGTGGATTATTAACCATCACTGCAAATGTTCATGCACTTCTAGTGGCAAAATTTAAAACTTATCAATTTAATTTAAAACACATACAGTACTGTATACTGTATATATAAACCAAACAATATGAACAACTAAATTAAAATATAGTGATTTCCTACTTATAATAAAAGAAGCACCTCAAAAAAATCCAGCACAGCATGATGACTACGGAAGAGCGGGTGGCGAAGAAGGTTTTCAAGGTAGGTCTCCAGGTCGGCCTTTACAGTGTCGTCCATTGTCTGCAGGGCTCGACGAGGATACCTGCGCCATACACCATGCTATTACTACGCTTATAACTACTCTCTAATTCACGATTCCAATTTTAATCATGCTGCTATTCTTTATTAGCTGAAGATACAGTGAAAATCTAATCAGCATTTTCTCCTAATTATTTTTATGTTATGATTGAAATGCTCTGGGTTTTAGTGCATTAAGTATTGTGCTGCACATCTCTTACCTTCAAATTTTCAAGTGTTCGTGTATCATATGTATGTACTCTTGAATAAATAAAATATTAATATCATTACAGTATTATTATTATAACTACTGTATGGTCATATTATCATCAAAAGATAAACAGTTATAACTATGTATGGAAACTAATGAATACACTGTATGAGTGTAACATGTATGAATAAAAGAAGTGATCTGTATGTATTCATGAAGGAATTAATCAAATTGGTCACTAGCCTACTATGTCCTGATGTCTTACAAATGCTGATACATTAGTAAGCAAAATGAAATACTTATGGAAATGCCAGGCATATAAATAATACAAGTTGAATGTGTTTTAAGTATGAATGCCACAAATTAAAATATAAATATTAGTTGACTGAAATGTGATAAGTGTTCATCTGAACAAAAACAATAAAGGTCAAAATTAGTGCATAAATTAATGTATAGAGAAATAAACCTCACAGCTGATGATGTAAAGTGTCTGGCAACCCTTTCAGAAGAGTAAACTTGACTGAACAGACTGAGGGACAGTGCCAGATTGAGGGACAGTGCCAGACTGAGAGACAGTCTTCAAATACAACAGAAGGCGCCAATAAAGTGTTCCACAGGAAGGTATCAACACTAAGTCCTGATGCAAACATTATCAGAATGAAGAAGGCTGCAAACATTCATTATATATAATTATCCATACCCAATTTCCCACTTTCAGTGGGTGGAGAGGCACCAACCAGAACAATGTTGTTGACCAGACCACACACTAGAAATTGAAGGGACGACGACGTTTCGGTCCGTCCTGGACCATTCTCAAGTCGATTGACTTGAGAATGATTACACAACAATGTTGTGTAATATACTGTACTGGATTATTAAAAGAATTATAGATATTAAATACCACAAAATTAAAACTCTCTCTTGAGCTACTGTGATAATATTTTCCAGTACATACCTGAGTTGCCTATTGTTTGGGGTACAATTTTCACCATTAGGTGTACCAGTTGCTTGTTCAGCTTGCTTAATTTGCTGCCTCATGCTTTGCCTTCGCTGCCGCGTGACTCGTGTTGCTGCCGGCATTTTCAGTCTTGTTCTGAAGTGATATTTTAATTATTAATGTTCATGGCCTGGGACAGTACACGAAACTGATGACTGACCAAAACATGATACGATGCTTTACGTTACACTTATATAATTTATTATTAATAATCTGTTCCTCAATTTAATTGTTTCGGGAAGGCAACAGCCTGGAGAAAAAACATGACAAACAGGAAAAGATGGTTGCAAATATTAATAAAGAAAAATATCCCTGGTTCAGTCATTATATCATTTACACTAACTAACTGTTCTTTCTATCCAGGACTTTCATTGTTCTTCCTAACCATGACTTTATAAATATAAGGAGCAAGTGGGTGAGATATGATTAATTTACATAAAGTTGAGATAAAACACCGATGGCCCTAGATTAGACCCCCCAGGCAGTGAGAGTGAGAGGAGCGGAAACCCACCTCAGCAGCACCAGAACACTGTGGAGAGACGCAACCTGCATCACTTTCTTCTGGACTGTCCAGCTATAGTCTCCATGCGCCATACTAATCATCAGCCTATAAATAATGAAGGTACGATAAAGTAAAATATGAGATCATACATACCGTAACTAATTAAACCAAGACTGAGATGCAGAATATTGCAACTTGATAATATAAGATAACAATGCAACAAGTAACATTAGAGAACTCAGTGTCACTGCTGCGTCTCAATACTGTACACAAATGGGACCAGGCACGGTGGGACAATTATAGCCAATTGTGTACAACAGGTACTCTGAGAGAGAACTCTATCAACATCAGAGGCCCGAGACTGTTCAACACGCTTCCGCTACACATAAGGGGCATAACTGGCAATCCCCTCACAGTGTTCAAGAGAGAACTGGATAAGCACCTCCAAAGGATACCTGATCAACCAGGCTGTGACTCATACGTCAGGCTGCGAGCAGCCGCGTCCAACAGCCTGGTTGATCAGTCCAGCAACCAGGAGGCCTGGTCGACGACCGGGCCGCGGGGACGCTAAGCCCCGGAAGCACCTCAAGGTAACCTCAAGGTACAGTGGCTAATCAACAAATAATTAATACTTCTCCACATTACAAAAGAGAGAGGCAAAATATAGGTTAATTGCTATTGATTTTTTTGGGGGAAGAGTATATATGTGGCTTTACTTGGAACCTTATGATGAAAATACAACATTATTAGGTGGGAATAAACATTTAAGGGAAATTCAGCAACCAGTTAGGGAAGTGTGGTCCCATGTTTACACAAATACAGAAGTTGCAATAGCATTAACAAAACAAATTCTACAACAGATTCCAGTCATTAGTTCAGACTACAAATTAACATAATACATGTACTGAACACTGATTAACCTGCGTCACAATTGTATTATACACAGATCACTTACATATGATTATTGAAGATATGTATATGGGAATGAATAGGCTGAACCTTGGTAATGCGGAGCTGTACATGACGGTTGGGAACAAATGCTCCTGGCATCAACTCGGAGAATTTACTAGTCTCATACACTCTGCTATAAGGCAGTGAACCGACACCTAGAATAAAAAACACAGATAATATATACGATTATCATCTGTAATACATATTCATTTGAGTATAATATCTTTAAAATGAATTTTGAATACAGTAACCAAAATTCATGAAGGTACTGCATACGAAGTAAATTTTGTTAAATACTGTAGTGTATTATATACGTACCAGTACTACTGTAAATATATTCTTTAATATAATGATATACTGTACTGAAATTTTGTGTAAAATAACTCGATTATAAAAATACAACTATTTACGAATAAAGATGTTTTATTTATTGAACTTTACCACCCCTCCCCCCCCCCCACCAAAAAAATATGTCCAAGACTTACTATCATTTGTATCTGGAAGAGTATCTGGTGTGTTGTCGAGGTAGCCAAGAACATCTATATCGGAGTCGGGTGAACCGAGAGTTGGACTCTGGGTTAGAGCAAATATTTTCAAGGAGGGTCGATTCTGAAATTATAATTAAAACAAAAAAGTTGCCTGTCACTTTCTTTGAGTGCCATCAGGGGTATGATTATATTGCACCATCTCCAAATTATGAGCAAATAACTTTGAGATCACATTACAATGCTCAATGATTCGTGCATAACATAAAAGAAATAATTTCATTCTGATAATACAATACCTACTACATAATCTTAATTGATTTTTATACTGTACCATATTGTATTTGATTGAATTTAGAGTTGATACAAGTTTTTAAGGTTTTTGAACTGTTTTGGGGTAAAGGTACAATACAGTATAGAGTTGTACAAAGTTTGTTTATAACCTACATCTGCAGTACAGATATTTTACCCCCCCCCCCAACCACACACACACACACACACAGACTACTTACATTTCAGTCCAAATTACAATATTAATACTCAGTCATGGTTCTTTACTGCCTTTGCTAGAATATTATCATCATTGGGGTGCCTCGTAGCCTGGTGGATAGCGTGCAGGATTTGTAATTCTGTGGCGCGGGTTCGATTCCCGCACGAGGCAGAAACAAATGGGCAAAGTTTCTTTCACCCTGAATGCCCCTGTTACCTAGCAGTAAATAAGTACCTGGGAGTTAGTCAGCTGTCACGGGCTGCTTCCTGGGGGTGGAGGCCTGGTCGAGGACCGGGCCGCGGGGACACTAAAGCCCCGAAATCATCTCAAGATAACCTCAAGATCATACTGTATATCTGGAAATTGTTTAGAGTTTGAAGATGTTTAGAATATCTAAGAAAGCCTATTCCTGAAAACAGGTTGCATACTGTACCTGTAATTTCTCTTTTGCATCAGAACGGAAGATTGCTTTTGGACTGAAGTCGGTATCATCAGAGGGAGGTAACGGCAGATCTAAAACATAGGAACAAATTTTAACGTAACACTACAGGTATTTATATTAATTTATATTTTCACTGCTAACATGTTAGTTGTACAGTCAACAATGAGATTGATCATGTCAACCATGAGATCAAACTGGAAGTACTGTAGTTTTAATTGAAATTTAATTTCTGTCTATTTTGTCAAATAACTAAACATAATTATATATTCTTTACATTTTTCCACAAAATAATAACAAATACCACTGCACATTCCCACTTATGTCGCCTTATAAAGCAAAAATAACTAACTATAATTTTGATTGAAGTGAATGAATATGAAACGCACCTGTCGGCCTTGGAGTTGTGCTCCTCGAAGACACATTACCAAGCCTAGCACCCAAGGACGACTCTGAGAATGACGACGACTTCTTGACTTCTATAAAAATAACCAAGCATCTAATAACTTTAGGCATGGATGTTGCACAAATAAAATTATTAATTATTCTAACAATAAATTAGTCTAGCAAAGAATAAAATAGATTTTCCTGTAAGAGCCATATTGAATGTTGTAGTACTAATGTTATAAATAAAGATTACTGTACATTAAAACACCTAATTCTTGATATACGATATTAGGATTCTAAACAAAGTTCAGAGTCAGAAGACACTTCAGGATGTTACACCACCAAAGATCACATTCACTTCAAACATCCTACTACTTGCCGGCTACTCATGCCCGTGCCATCTTTGGGGGTGGCTTAATCTTCATCAATCAATCAACTAAATCAAAATCAAACTTCATAAAACAAATCACAATCATTGCCAATTTCCTAATACAGTACTGTAATACAATGAGATTCAATTTAGTTTGACAACTTTAGTGTGAGAAAAAGAGATGAATTTAAAACATAATACAGTACTGTACTGTACTGTATCTTGATTTTTACCTGCATGATTACTGTGTTGGTCTTCATCTTCATACTGCAGCTGTGAAGCCACATCGACGAACTGGTAATGAGTCGCCCCATAATTATTGGGAGTCTCAGCACATTCATCGTGAGCAGCTAGGGGCTCCATCTCCTGCTTCACATTACCCCTGCTTACCTGAAACATTCAAAATAATCAACAACTCTCTTATGGCAAACTATAGTACTGTATGTGGAGATTAAAGAAATTATACAAAATTTTATCCCTAATTTCTTACAGGAGCCAGGATGGGCTCAATTGATATTCTCCCATAAAAATTTCAGCCAGTGGCCAATTTCACTCCTTTACTTCTTAAAATGGCACATTTCTAAAGAAATTATAAATCTTGGTTAATTTAAATATATCTATACATTACTAAAGAAATCATCAATATTGCTTCATTTAAATATATCTATACATAAAATCCCTGCAGTGTGTTTCCTTGTTCACTTGCAATCGTGTAATTGCTGCTATCTATTCCCCTAAAAATTTTGTATGTTGTGGTCATGTCTCATTTATTTCTTCTATCTTAAAATGATGTGAGATTGAACTCCTATATTCTCTCTCTCTGTCTCGTATCTCTTGGCTCTTGAACTCGTCTAGAGGCAAACCTCTAAATATTTTCCAGCTTCTGTTTCAGGCAAGGGAAAGGTTGCTGTGGTTCAGCAACAGCCACAGCATCGCCTGGCCGGGTACAACTAGTGTATATATATATATATATGTATATCGCGCATGTATGTACGTATGTATGTATATATATATATATATATATATATATATATATATATATATATATATATATATATATATATATATATAATCACAAAAACATGTGATTCAGTTATGCATAAGTATCAACAAAGGAAAATGAAACAAAATTAATCTGAGTGCTTTTGTGATTGAATACACATTCAGAGAATACAGGAGGCAGAAAAGAATTGACCGGTTTGGCCTAATATCAACCCTCAAGTTGTTATCTGTCCTAATCCAGGAGGGTTTCCTCTCCTGTGTGGCACCTTCCAACCAGCCCCCTGTGCCCAACACCCGGTTTTCATTACTTTGCCCTGGCTTTGGTTAACCTCTGATCATCCTGATTGATACCTGGTTGATGGGGTTCTTTGAGTTCTTCTACTCCCCAAGCCCGGCCTGACTTGTGAGAGTTTGGTCCTGTATTTAGTTAGTGCAGTCTTCCATCGCATTTATAATTGGTGCACACTAGTGCCGACTAGGGCCTGTCTTGCTGCTTGGGGTCAGTCCTGTTGCTAAGGTTTTTTTCTTTGATGTCAGTCCTGTTGCTAAGGTCAGTCCTGTTGCTAAGGTCAGTCCTGTTGATTGGGTCAGTCCTGATGCTTGGGGTCAGTCCTGTTGCTAGGGATCAGTCCTGTTGCTTGGGGTCAGTCCTGATACTAGGGGTCAGTCCTGTTGCTTGGGGTCAGTCCTGTTGCTAGGGATCAGTCCTGTTGCTTAGGGTCAGTCCTGATGCTTGGGGTCAGTCCTGTTGCTAGGGATCAGTCCTGTTGCTTAGGGTCAGTCCTGTTGCTAGGGATCAGTCTTGTTGCTAGGGATCAGTCCTATTGCTTGGGGTCAGTCCTGATACTAGGGGTCAGTCCTGTTGCTAGGGTCAGTCCTGTTGCTAGGGTTCAGACCTGTTGCTAGGATCAGTCCTATTGCATTCCACAAGCGTGTGGGTGCTACTCGTCAAGGCACACAGGGGGGGGGGGGGGTTGCGAGACTGTGCTGACCTCTGGGTCTTGGGCCATCGCCCAAACTGACCTTGGCAGCTTGCAAAAAAAAAATGAGTACTGTGCAACGTTCGCTCTCCCTCACTGCTGTTTCCTCCTGAACCACCCAGGATTAACCTTACCCACACTACCTAACGTACAAATCCCACCCGGAAACTTGTCATTTTAAAAGGAAAGGTAGTTTGGTCTTTATTATAGATATAGGTAGATATAGTAGATATTAAGTCATTGCACATTCTCTCATGTGTATTATACATATATAAAACGCTGAACTGTAATGCCAATCCTGACCTCAAAAGCTTCATTGAAGGTTGTAACAGAACCCATGAGCACCACACCAGAAATAAATACAGTTTTGATATTCCTCAAGGTAACGACTTAATCAAACTAGAAATGCTCTACAAATCAAGGGACCCAGAATGTGGAATGACCTTCCCAACCATGTTAAAGACTGTACCTCTCTCAACCAGTTTAAGATAAAAACTAAACACTACCTAATAAATTCCCTGTAACCTACCTTACCCCTCTATTGTCAACCCATGTCTGTTATTTTTTTTTTTAATCAACACTGTTTGTCAACCTATTGTATTTGTGCTGCTTTTTCAGTCATGTTCCCCCTTTTTTTTATCTTTATTTGTATTTGTTCTCAACACATTTTATTCTTTATGCTCAATTAGTATTAAGTTCTAGATATTAATGTTTTTCCTGCCCGAAACGCATTGCGTAATAGTGGCTTTAGGCATTGTATGTACTAGCTCTATCTATATATCGATCCATTAATGTAACATCACTTGTATGTATGTACCTTACCTGAATAAACATATTTATTTATTTATTTATTTATTTATTTATTTATAGCAACGAGACCACGATGTCGTAAAATTGAAATAACTCATTAAAAATGTGCGAGAGAATAACAAACATCGCAAACTACTTCAAGAACATTTAACTGGTGATCGGTTGTTAGTGTACTGGCGACGAACCTTAACACCACACACACACGAGCACACCACTCCCAAACTACCATGGTGGTGGGTCCATAGTGTCACCAGCCGCCTCCTCCACCTGGCCATGTTGTGGGGCCTCACCGCCCACACTCAGTACAGTGACACTGACAGACACTGTACTCGACACCACCACCACTCCTGAGGGGTAAATACACCTGACTCACACACCGGGAGAATCTGGTTCAGGGCGGCGTGGCACCTTGAGCCGCCGCTACGCTGGGAAACACACACCTCATAATGGTGATTTGTCGCCACTCACAGGTAAGCCTGGCACGCTGTCACAGTGCAACTCACCACTGAATTGGTGAACTCACGTTATCGACTTGAATGGCGACAATCAGCTCCTGGGGGGGCCTTGTCTTTTAGTTATATTTAACATAGCCGACTTGAGAATGGTCCAGGACGGACCGAAACGTCGTCGTCCCTTCACCTTCTAGTGTGTGGTCTGGTCAAATTACTTTAGCCACGTTATTGTGACTCATCGCCTGCATAGCCGAGGATGCCTATTAATTAGGTTAAATTATATCAAGACCCCGCCAAAGGTCAAATACCCAGGATTTAACGCACAATAGGCACCAATATGCTGGTAGAACTGGAGTATCAGGTGAAAGGAAATGGTGGGCAAAAGTTTGTCAAGCCGCGGGAATTGAACCCGGAGCCTTCCGGTTGTAAGGCCACTGAGCCACCTGCTTGTCATCATACCTCCTCTAGGTCATAATGGACACGCTCACGGCCTTGAGAAAGTAGTAGAGCTCCCTAACATTCCTATGGCTTGTCAGTTTTTTTTTTAGTTTCTCGTCCGCTGCTGTCAATGCCTCAGTGTCATCTCTTGTCCACCTCCCACAGCCTCAGATCTCTACTGTGTGTCCACGGTACCAGTCTAGTAGAATTAAAAACTAGAGTTTTCTTCAGTTTTAGAGTCTATAGTTTTGTTGTATATTTTCTTAGATGGTGATTGTACTGTAAGGCTGCATACTCTAGTGCAGGTCTCGCCTGGGTGAGACTTCCTTGTTCAGGGGGTTTTAGATTCAGCTACTGGGAACAAAAAGTTCCAAGTAGCACGGGCTATAGTGACCCCATAGTGGACTTGCCTGGCAGAGGAGCGGGACTGTATATGGTATCTTGTCCAGGTATGTGATGGTACCTAAATATTTCCTAGCTTACGTGCCTCTGAAGACAAGCCTAGTGTTGTTTACTTTTCATAAGACTAAATCATGAAACGTTCCACCTTTTTCATGTTCAAAACGCTTTGCATATTAGTGGTTTGATACAATATGTTATTTATGTACTAATAATAAACCAGTGTAATATGTTCCAATGCATTATATATTATAAGTAGTTACAACACACGTTGGGTGGTTCCAGAGGAGTCTTTAATTTAAACCCGCCTCCAGTCTCTCGTTGCAACCCGTTCTCGCACTTGCTTACAGTGCGAGAACGGGTTACAGTACCCGAGGATGGGAATGAGGTGAGGTCACCAAGCAGGCATGGTTTAGAGCAGGACTAATATGAGGATGCTGTGGTAATAAACTCGTCGTCTCACTCACATAATTAGCTCGCATCGTCTGCAAACATTGGCATGTAGACCCCTACTTCCTCAATTATATCACCGGCATACCACACATACACACTCTCTCTCTCCCTCTTTAGCGTGTGTTACTTGTTCTTTTATTTATGTCGCAATTCCCTTCTGTGTTCTTTGGATCTCGGTATATTCTTATACTGGGATATACTTGTATATACTTGGGATCCTAGTATCCCAGCCTGTCAAACCATGGACTAATTCAAATTACAATTCAAAAACTTTATTCCTAAATATCTGAATATTTATAGCTTACAGAAAATTACAATACATTAGTTGCCTAAGATAAAGTCATGTGTAGCTTCTGTACGGTTGTTCACTTCCACCAAGTCTCTCTCTCTCCAAGCTTCTTAAATTGGCCAAGTACAGTATTTCCAGCTACCGGCAAATCCACTCTATATGCAAGCGGCAAATGCCTGCAGGAAGTGCCGGTCCAACCGGGTTCTGGGAGTACAAGACCTATACCTACTCCCGGTATATTCCACGTCAGCTTCGGCTTAAACTGTTTTCAGTTAGGCCTTAGAAGGTTATTGTTCCCCTCTTAAGAATAGTCTTTCGTGTCTACTGTTTCGTGGGTTGTGAGTTTGCTACTTCAAGGCTAGGGGAACATTCACCAACCAGCAATCACAGATATGGTGGAAAAACTATAATCCAGCAAAACAAAATCACCGAAAGACCAGCCTTGTGATGAACAAGGTGAAGGATAGCGTTTACCAATAAGACGATAGCATGATGGTTACCTTGAAATGGTTTTGGAACTTAGCGTCCCCGCAGCCCGGTCCTCGACCAGCCCTCTCAATGGAGGAA